GCCCACGAGGCGCTCGGTGTCGGTGAAGGCCACGTAAGAGGGGGTGATGCGGTGGCCCTGATCGTTGGCGATGATGTCCACCCGGCCGTTCTTCCAGATGCCGACGACCGAGTAGGTGGTGCCCAGATCAATGCCAATGATGGGGCCGTCGAAGAGCTCCGCTTGGGCCATCAGCGCTGCTGCCGTCCACAAGAGAATCACCGCTGCCAACTGTTTCATGAAGAGAGAAGGTGGATCTTGTGCGTCGGCGACAGTGTTGGTCTTTGGGTCACTTCCCAGCCCTGGTTTTCTGGCCGCGAAAGGGCGAAACGTGGTCTGTCTCCATTGGACCACCGCGAAGGGAGGCGATACGCCATTGGTCCACCACACGACGCCTAACGTTGCACTTGGTGGGATACGACACCGACCGCTCGGTTTGAGCGTGGGTCGCGAGCGAGCGGGTGTGTCGACATCACCTTAACCTTGATTGCTGATTGCGTTCATTAGTGATTGGTCGAGCCACACCAAGCTTTCCATCCGCACTTCTTCTGTCCCGGAGCGCGTTATCCACACGGAAGATGAAGCGTGAGACTCTGTGCCTTGCCGGGCTGTTGTTGTGCCTTGCCGCGCTGCTTGTTTGCGCGTCGGCCGCGCCCAAGTTCAGCGTGCGCCGTCTCAATGGCGGTCGCCCCATCCTCACCGAGAAGGACTCCGTGTGGCTCTACAACTACAACACCGCCTACATGCCCGTACTCTTCCTCGCCCCCCCCCCCTTCAATGATTAATACTATTATTATTAACCATTGATGGTGACCCTGGACTCGACACATAAAAATTATTCATTAATATTAAATTAATAATTTTTATTTTAGTAAATATTGCAAGCTAACAACATCCGTCCATTACGTTGAGCGCAGTACTTTGATGCCAATGGCTTCGAGATGGCATGTCTGGCGGTGCGCGTGCAGAACCTGACGGCGAACGCGAAGTCCATCTACGACGTGGGTCCCTCGTCCATCGCCTTCGCGTTCTCCAACACCGGCGGCCTCAGCTTCAAGCCCATCAGTGCCTCCGGTACGCTCCTCTCTCTCTCTCTACCCCTCTTTTCCGTGGCTTTCTGTGACCGTTGTGTGCGGGTCGTGATCGTAGACACGATCATTGCGCCTGGCCCCAGCTCGGAGCTCGGCTGTGAGGACCCGCGTGTCGTGTACGACTGGAAGACCAAGACCTACTACATGTTTTACACTGCGGTGACCAACGGCACTATGCCCTCGGACCTCGGAGACGTAAAGGCCATGCTCTCCCTGGCCGTCAACTCTGGCAATCCGTACTCACGCCTTCGCTTTTCGCTTTTCGCTTTCGTTCTTTCCCCCCTGACCCATTGGCTCACGCATACAATCGCCGCCACAGCGCTGCGCGTGGCGACTGGAAGCAGCTGGGCTACGTGTTCCCCGACCTGAAGTGGTCGAAGAGCGGTACGAGTGCACTCCACGCACGTCGGCCCATTCAGTGTCTTACTGTGGTGATGTTCTGTCACCACCACACAGGCGCGCTGCTGCTGAGCGACCAGGTGTTCCACAAGGAGCACTACCTCTTCTGGGGCGACTCCGACATCTGCATCGCCACCACCGAAAACCTCATCCACTACACCAACACCGTACGACAACCTCTTGACCATCTTCTTTGCCGTTCAATGTTGAATGTCGCTAACACAAACAATATCACCCGCCGGTCCTAACAGGGCAAGTGCCTTCTCAAGACCCGCTCGGACAAGTTCGACAGCCAGCTGGTGGAGAGCGGCCCGGAGCCCTTGCGCCTCTCGGACGGCAACTACCTGTTCCTCTACAACTCGGCCAGGAAGTATACATTTCCTCTTGGTGGCTGATGGTCATTGCTCATTTGCTCACGCCCAGTGTGCTTCGCGATCAGGGCCAATATCGCCAACCCGAAGCCCGGCTGGGATTTGGAGTACAACCTGGGTTGGGCCATTCTCGACAAGAGTGATCCCACCAACGTTCTGTTCAGAAGGTACCCGATGCTGCTTTGATTTTTCTGCGTTATTTATTGAGGATTTTAGCATCACTATTATCATTATTTGTTGTTATTATTTGGCCCTTGACGCTCACCACCGTCATCACGCGCTATCGACAGCGAGGAGCCCGTGCTCTCGCCGGAGCTCGATTGGGAGAAGTGCGACAAGAATCCCGAGGGGCTCACTCCCAACGTCGTCTTTGTCGAGGGTACCCGCCCATTACGTCATTGTGGTTTGATCGCACCATGTTGCTCATCCCCTCTCCATCTGGCAGGCTGGAAGAAGCTGGCGGAAGACTCCTTCCTCGTGTGGTACCAGGGCTGCGACTCCCGCATCGGCGTCTTCCACCTGTCGGTTCAGGTCTGATTGTAGACCACATGCCACATGCTCACTCAGGGAACGACCGTCATTTTCCACATATCGGAGCACACACAACTCTTTGCGTGATGTCGTCGTTCTCGTCTCCCTTGATGGGGCGGCTGTGTCTATGGAACGAAGGCGCCAAGGTGCAAAACTGGCGGTAAAGACGACAAAGGCGACGCCGGTGATGACTGCCACCGTGCTTGAAACGCAACGCGAGAGAATGTGGCGTCGAAATATGCAAATAATTAGGAATCTTTTAGGAGGCGGTTGAGGTTGCGAGATTGCGACCCAAGCCGCGACATCATAGGCGAGTGTACAAAAACAACTAAAGGATGCTGCGTCGAGTTGCAGTCCGGTCGGGCCTCGCCCCAGTGACAGAGAATGTTGCGGCTCCCGCCGCGATGGCCCTCGCTAGCAGGAGGGATTACACTACGGAGCGGTCCTACGGCAACCTGAAGGATTCGGACCGTATCTTTACCAATTTGTATGGAGAGCATGACATCTTCATCAAGGGTGCCCTGGCGAGGGTACCGAGCGCTTCACATGATTATTATTTAACCCCCCCCCTCCGAATTGTCGCGTAAATACAAAATGGAGATTAATGGTGCGTTCATGTAGGGTGATTGGTACAAGACGAAGGAGCTGCTGCGCAAGGGCGAGGACTGGATCATTAAGGAGATCAAGAACTCGGGTTTGCGTGGACGGGGTGGCGCCGGCTTCCCCTCGGGCCTCAAGTGGTCCTTCATGCCGAAGGTCTCCGACGGCAGGTACAATCCGCATCCTCCCCCCCCGCTATCAAATTCCCTCTTCGTCCCGAGATTGCGGTCTCATCCACGCGGCTGTGCATCTAGCACGCTCGGATATATGCAAATGATTAGTAATTCGCTACGTGCTGGCTTATAATCGATTGTCTTACTTGTTGCAAGGCCATCATACCTGGTCATCAACGCTGATGAGGGTGAGCCCGGTACCTGCAAAGATCGCGAGATCATGCGCCACGACCCCCACAAGCTCGTGGAGGGCTGCCTTCTTGCCGGCTTCTCCATGAAGGCCAAGGCTGGTGCGTCTCTCTCTCTCTCGCGCGCTTTCTTCTTCACTCGCCTTCGCCTGTCCTCCTCCTCACCTTCATCTTCATCCTCTCCCCCGTTGTCTTTTTGTGTCCAGCCTACATCTATGTGCGCGGCGAGTTCGTGTACGAGATCAACAACCTGCAGAGGGCCATCGACGAGGCCTATGAAGGTATAAGGCCCACCCATGCTCCCTCCTCCACCATCATCATGCGTGCAGTCACTTACGCCCTTCTTCTTCTTCTTCTTCTTCTCTTAGCTGGCTTCCTCGGCAAGAACGCCTGCGGCAGCGGGTTCGATTTTGACGTCTACGTGCACAGGGGTACCGCCGACACCGTCTCCCGCACACACGCGCCTTTAAAGCGCACACAAGTTTGACGCTGTGCCCCCTCCCATGTGCGTGCTTTCAGGTGCTGGTGCCTACATCTGCGGTGAGGAGACGTCGCTCATTGAGAGTATCGAGGGCAAGCCCGGCAAGCCCAGGCTGAAGCCCCCGTTCCCCGCCAACGTTGGCGTCTTCGGTTGCCCCACCACCGTACGACCGCCCCTCGGCCCTTCGTTATTGAGCCGATGATTGATGACACGAACGCGCACCACCACCACCACCACCACCAGGTGACCAACGTGGAGACCGTGGCTGTCGCCCCCACCATTCTGAGGCGCGGCGCCGAGTGGTTCGCCAGCTTCGGCCGACCCAAGAACTCGGGCACCAAGCTCTTCTGTATTTCTGGCCACGTCAACAACCCCATCACCGTCGAGGGTGCGTTCTTCTTCTTCTGGGGCTTCTCACCGGCCCGGCGAGCCACAGTCCGGTGTCAGTCTGACCTTCTTCCCTTCGTCCCTCGCAGAGGAGATGTCGATCCCGCTCAAGGAGCTGATCGAGCGCCATGCCGGCGGCGTGAGGGGTGGCTGGGACAACCTGAAGGCCATCATCCCCGGTGGTTCGTCCGTGCCGCTGCTCCCCAAGAGCATCTGCGACAATGTCCTGTACGTGCCCGCGCCAATGTTGGACTGCTGCTCGCGTTCGCAGCTCACTTTTCGGCTTATCTCGATCGTTGGCCCGCGTGCAGCATGGACTTTGATGCGCTGAGGGACGTCACGTCGGGTCTCGGTACTGCGGCCGTGATCGTGATGGACAAGTCCACCGACGTCATTGCCGCCATCGCTCGCCTCTCCAAGTTCTACAGGTGCGCCTCCCTCGCCTTCGAAGGCATTGCTTGCGCTCTCTATCGCTCTCTATCGGCCGTCCAATGATGTCTATTCAGTATCACTTGTTGACAACCATGACATTAACCTATCATCAACTGAGGACCCACGCTGCAAGCCAAGCGCACGCCAGCTCCAGAGTTGCGTTGTTACCTTACTGACCTAACTATCATTTCTGTTTTGTTTCGCACGCGACAGAAACGAGTCGTGCGGTCAGTGCACGCCTTGCCGCGAGGGTTCGCCCTGGCTGTGGAACGTGATGGAGCGCATGGTGACGGGCGATGCCAAGATCGACGAAATTGACATGCTCTACGAGCTCTCCACCCAGGTGACCACTCGCTCCACTGCACCACCACTTCACTGCTTTTTTGTTCTCAACTCGAGACCCGGAGCCGGGCGCTGACGAATCGGGCTCTCTGCTGTGTCGTCGCTTGCGCAGATCGAGGGTCACACCATCTGCGCCTTGGGCGACGCTGCGGCTTGGCCGGTGCAGGGTGTCATCAGGCACTTCCGCGGCGAGATGGAGCAGAGGTACGCGCCATTCCCCGCCCACCGGTGGCCGATGTCCATCCACGCGACTATGATGCTGACGTATGTGATGGCACGACCATGGCGATGGTGGTGGTGGTCGAAACAGGATTCACGACTACAACAGCAAGCACGGCCAGGCCATCGGGTCAGCCACCGTCGACGAGTACGCCAGCAGGCAGCTCCACTTGGCCAAGCAGGCTCCCCTCACCTTCGTGCAGTAAATAATCGAGCATGCGTGCCCCGCCCCACAACCATTTATCTCCTCTCTTCCACCGCGCGCGTGTGTGTCCACACATTGCTATATGGATTGTGAAACAAAAAACAGCCAGCCACCAACTTTCATCTCGTTTCAACATGTTGTGGCTGTTGATGTAGTCCCCCCCCCCAGCCGAGTTTTTGATTTGGGAGCAAGTAGAGCCAGAGCATGTTCATGTTTGCTAGAGAGCGCCAAGAAGAGCTGCGCGAGATGCTACATTGGCTCAATGGACTGAGTAACCGGGGGGGGGTAAGATGCCACCTACGCCTTACGGGTGGAGGGGGCACTGGAAGGGGCGCTGGAGGCGGTGGGCTGGTCACAGGGGAAACTGGGGCCGAAGACCTTCTGGAAGCACGGGCAGCAAGCGTCGGCACCGTCGCCGATGCAGGTCAGGCAGGTGGAGGGATCAGCCTCGAAGTTCTGGCACGCGTCCTTGCAGTCGGCCAGCTTGGCGGCGCACCTGAGGGCGAGTCCGAGGGTGCAAGTGTCGCTGTAGAAGAGGGATTGGGTTATTGTTAGAGCTCGTGGGGGGGCTTTAACTTCAAGAGAGACTCAGTACCTCCTCATCCTCTTGGCGAGCATAGCGCCGTGGGGCACGTGGGAGGTCCTGGGGAGAAGAGGTAATCATCGATCAGCTTGAGATCAAACGGGGGACGAGAATACTCTCACTTACTTGGGCTGGAGGGGGGCCGCAAGGCACACGGCGATGAGGCAAGCAAGAACAAGGAGAATAGCGGTGGTCTTCATCGTTACGATGTTGGTTTCTTGATAGAGGTGGTTCTGCGAGGATGCGGTCTTCTCCTTCTTTCACACCCCGCCGTCTTTACCCTATTTGGCACTAGCCACTCAACGGGTGATGGCGCCTCCTTAAAATAAATACCGTGAGGTGGAGCTCTAAGTTCTCGGGTGTCATCAAGCCCTCATTGGCAATGATGTAAGTTTATTCTCCAACACACCAGGTGTTGGGTTGCACATAGTGCTTCCATTATGGCGGTGGTCCGTGGTATGCTGTCAGTACCCCGGGCCAGCCCGAAAAACAAGACAACTTCGGGTTCTCTGCCACGAAATTTCGGGCTTGGCCCCAAGTCACCTTTCGCTGGTGGGCACAAGTAACGTTCATCTTTCGCCCAGAATCAAACAACACTACACCACACTACCACTACTACAACATGTCGAGGCCTGGAGGACTTGGAAACGCGCGCCCTGCTGATGATGAGGTCAACCTGCTCGTTGCGAGCGTGAAGGCCGATCTCGAAAACAAGGCTGGCCGAACCTTCGCTGATCTTAAGCCCGTCTCGTACGCCACGCAGGTAGGAAGCCCTATACTTGTTCAGTCAGATGCGCAGTGAACGATCGCTAAAAGATGAACTTTACACTCGTTACAGGTGGTGGCTGGCATCAACTACTTCGTCAAGATCGCTGTGGCGGAAGGCGAGTACATCCACGCCCGCATCTACCGCGATCTCCAGAGGAACGTGAGCGTACACTCGGTGCAGACCGACAAGTCGGAAACTGATGAGCTCGCGTACTTCTAGGAAGTCCCCTTGATCTCAGCGACGTCGCCCAAGGCGGTCAGGATTTTGTTCCATTCATTATACATACATTCCTCTTAACCAACCCTCTACTGGTTTTTATTACACTAAATCTTGATAGAAGGAGAAGAGCAAAGGCAGAAGAGAGAATCGAGGATGATTAGAAGCGCAGCAAAAGATGAATCAAAAGGGAAGGCTTGATGCGCCGCGTGAAAAGATGGCCGCGTGTGCTTCTTCACTTCTGGACCACCACCCTCGGCAGGGTGACGTCCGGCGGGCACTGCGAGAAGGGCGGCTCGATGAGGAGGCCTTGCTCGTAGATGACCCTGATGATCCCGTCCTTCTCGTTCTTGGCCTCGGCCAACTTGAGCACTCCCTCGCCGTGTCTCCGGTCATCCTTCCACTCACCAGTGTAGGTCATGCCGTTCGTGTACGTGAACGTTCCCTGCCCGTTACGCTGTTGTCGTTGGTCGTGTCGTGTCGTGTCGTGTCGTGTCGTGTCGTGTCGTGTCGTGTCGTGTCGTGTCAGGGCCTCAAAACGAAAAACCGCACACGCACTCGGAGCAAGAACGTACCATGTCGTTGACCCAGTCGCCGTTGTAGACGCCGGTGGCATCGGTGAGGATGCCCTTGCCCTCGCGCACGTCGTTGACCCAGTCGCCCACGTACTTGGTGCTCTCGTCGGGGGTGGTGAACACACCCTGGTGCCGCGCGTGCCAACACCACCTCAACCATCAGTCACCGACGATCGTGGCCTTTGTAACGACGACAAAGGCTTGAATTGAAGCCTTGTGCGGGGGTGGTGTCAAGCACCTTGCCGTGTCTCCTGTCCCTCTGCCAGTTGCCCGAGTACTTGGAACCGTTGGCGTAGGTCATGACGCCCGAACCCTCCTTGCGACCCTTGACCCACTTGCCGTCGTAGCGCGCGCCATCCGTGTCGATCCACGTACCCTTGCCAAACCGCTGTACGCATGTGTGCGAGAGAACGACACGCGCATACACAGTGAGCAGGGCGACTCGGGCATGCGTGCATGCTGTGTACTACGGCGGCGTCGGCGGCGGCGGCGGTGCGTACCAGATCGGAATGCCACTCGCCATCGTAGGTCTCTCCGTTGTCGCCGTCCCACTCGCCCTTGCCCTCCTTTCGGTCCTCGGCCCACTGGCCAATGTAGGTGCCCTCAGCCGTGTCCAGCGTGCCTGTGGCCAGAACACGGACAAAATGGTCAGCCCAGCACTAAACGTGGGTGTTTGTGTGTGTGCTGCGTGTGTGTCTGCGTGTGTGTTGTGTGTATCGTCGCTGCGTGTGTCGAGGTGTGGTACCTTGACCGTAAAGTCGACCGCCTCTGAGTTCGCCCTCGTATTTGAACCCGGGCTTGATGTACACTCCAGTTCCCTCCATCACGTCGTCCTTCCAATCGCCGTCGTACTTGACCTTCTTGTCCAGCGACGTGAACTGGCCCTTGCCCTCCCGGAAGTCGTTCACCCAGCCGCCGGTGTAGACATCCCCGTTCGTGTACGTCATCTTTCCCTGGCCGTTCTTCCGACCCATGCTCCATTCACCTGGTGGTCGCGGTGGTCGCGGTGAGCACAACCCGCGAAGCCGGCTCGCACTACACACAACGGGGGAAAGATGATGGGGTGGGGTACCATCGTAGGTTCCAGAAAAGAGAGTGACCAGTTTGCCGCGGCCGTGATACTTGTCGTCCTTCCACTCGCCTTCGTAGGAATTGCCGTCCGAGTACTTCATCACTCCCATGCCTGTTCTCGCCCCCCCCCCACGCGCACACGCACACAAGGCAAGTGGTGCGTGAGCCTCACAGAACGAACGCCGACTTGTGGGGGGGGGGTAAGGAAGGCTTCAGAAGCCCAACACGGTACCGTCTCGGAGATCGTTGACAAAAGTGCCCTCAAAGCTATCTCCGTTGGTCCAGGTTATCGTTCCAGCGCCGTGCCTCCGGCCCATTTCCCAACCTGCGCCACACGCACAACTCGGCGGTCAACCGACACGACACGACACGACACGACACGACACGACACGACACGACACGACACGACACACGGTCGCGAAGAGACCCCGCAAAACGACGAGTGGGTAGGGCAGGGATACCTCCGGTGTAGGTGCACAGAAGAGTCGTGAGCTTGCCCGTGCCGTGGAACTTGTCCTTGACCCACTGGCCCTCGAACGACTCGCCGGTGGCCCACACCATCTTTCCCTGCCCATGGAACTTGCCTCGCTCCCACTCGCCCTCGTAGACACCCTACACCACGCCACGGCGGTGAGTGGCCGCACCGAATTCAATCGTGTGTGTGTGTGTGTTGTGTGTGTGTGCGTGTGTGCGTGTGTGTGTGTGTGCGTGCGTGTACCTTGTCCGCGAAGCACTGCTTGCCCATGCCGTCGAATTTGGCATCAATCCAGGTACCATCATAGATGGCGCCATCCTTGAATTCGAACTGGAACTTGCGTCGCTCGCCTTCCATGACTCGGTTCTTCTGGCAGGTGGCCACGATCCGCTGGTGACATCTGTCCACCCACAGGGTCTTGTCCTCCCTGTTGGCCGACGCAACGAGGAAGGTGTTGCCCGGCGCGTTGAGTTGCCACATGAGCTCCGCGCTCGAAGTGTCCTTCATCGCGTCCACCCACACCTGCTCGAGCTGCACGATTTCCTTCATGTCGAGCTTCTTGGCCGACTTTGGCGACGGACTGGCGAAGACGGCCACGTCGGAAAAGAGCAGCAGGTAGGTATACTGTGATTTGTTGGGACTCGTCACCGACACCGGCCCGTGCTTGATCAGCTGTCGGTTGGTGCTTATCATTTTCTACATTCACACATCAATATAGAACAAGAGAGTTTCACCCGAGTTTAGTTGAGAGGAGCAAACTAGGAATATTCTGGGAGAAAGGTGTGCGTACGTGGATGTTGGGGATTTGTTTGGCCAACTCGTGCACGGCCTTTGTGCTCTCTGACACCTCCACCGACTGATTGATCTCGTCCGCAATCTTTTGGATACCTGGCGGAGAACGCGGCGAGAAAGGGGTAAGGCGCTCCGTCGGCCATGGTCCTTGGGACGCTAAGTTGGGTGGGTGGGGGCAGAGAGAGAGGGAGCACCTTCGACAGCGGTTTGGAGATGGGAGTAGTCGGGGTGGCTTGGGTCGGTCACTTCGACGAGGGCCTTCAGGAGCAGCGGATAGCGCAGAACCCTTTGGACCGGCGTGATGAGCAGAGCGTTGATGTCGAGCGCAGACCCGGAGGCTACTTGACATTCCTTTTGGGTGGGTTGCCCGAGAGAGAGCAGCGTGAGCCGACAATGGTTGGCCAGCAACGTCACAAAAAAAAGTCCACCGATGATCTTACCTTGAGGAACATGACCATCTTCTTGTTCTCCTTCTTGTTTTCAATGAGTTCGTTGGCAGCTTTGTGATCCCTGCAATAGGGAATGTAGATCTTCATGAACGGCATCTGCGGAGAGCCAAAAAATGGGGGGGTGAGTAGTCCGGTCACGACCTCAATACGAGTACTGACCCCAAACAGGCCTGGAGGGCACCGTACGTTTCGGGTGAAGATGTCGCCGACCATGCACTGGTCCGTCCAATTGAGCATTTGCTGTCGGATGGCGGTGAAGAGCTCTCGGGAGAGATCGCGAATCTGCTCGATGTTGGAGAAGATGGTGCGGATCTCCTTGTCGTTGAACACTCCCTTGGTTTTCGCGGGCAGGAGGTAGTCCTGTTGCCATTCAATCGCGCGAGGGAGAGCACAACGTTGAGAACGTGCTCTCTCTCTCTCTCTCACGCCTCACAATCGAACTGCCTCCGATCGGTAGGTACCTTGAGCACAATGTCAAGACTGGCCAGGTATGATTCTTCGGTGGTGTAGATCTCCTTGGCACGATAGTCCCTGGTTTCGGAATGAATGGAATGAAATGGTCAGAAAAGTCGCTTCCGCTTCGAGCACCGACCATTACAGACAGCCAAACACCTACCTGATACCCAGGTCCTTGTTCTCCTTCACAAAGAGCGCGCCCGAAAGGTCCTGCTCCGGCAGCTGCGATGATGGAAAAAACACGACAATCAATTGTTTAGCCAGACCCCAATCAATAGTGCTAGTGGGTACCACACCGCACCTTGACTCCTCCGCTCGAGGAGGGGGCGACGATGCCACTGCCACCGCCGGAGAGGGGCGACCGGATGGTGCCCATGTGGGAAGCGGTCTGCGAACTGAAGGATCCCGGCAAGACCGGCGCCACACCGTACATGCTCTGCGTCTTGCGGGTGTCGCCGCCTGAGAGAGGCGACTTAGTCTGGCCCGACGATAAGGAAAGGCCACCGCTAGAGTGCGGGGCGATGATGGCTGAGCCGCTGCGCTGCTGGTTCAGAGCGCTGTTGACATTCATGCCGCTCATGTCCATCGACCTGATGTCCCTTCGCGACACCCCAGCACCGTCGCCGGTGCTGTCTGCTGGCGCACTCTCCGAGCTCTCGCCGCCGCCGCCGCTGCTCAAGGGCGCTGGCGGACGCATGGTGGAAGAGCCCACTGTGCATATGCAATATATATGCGCAGAGATGGATATTTGTTGTGCATAGATAACAAATATGCAACATGGAGCGCGGCAGAATATAGAATTGTGTAGAGCGCGCCACATAAAGAACGGAACGTCGTGTAGAGCGCCAGAGTGGTGATTTGAATAGAGAGCGATCGATGGAGATGGATAGAGTAATATCGATGAGAAGGTTGAAGATATATAGAGTGGATAGGTGCGAAGCGTTAGGGCTTTTTTGGCGCCTCCAAAGAGAGGAGGAGAGCGGGGAACGGAGCTCGGGAGAAAGGAAGTAGAGGAACAGAGGGAGGTGGTCATCACTGAGTAAAGCGGAGTACGCACTTGTGGCAGAGTGAGCGGTACGCGACATAGTGGCTTTGCCGGGTGCGGTGATGTCGGAGGTGATCGCCCTCACCCGCAGTGTCGCATCCGAGCTCATTTCTAAAGAGCGTAGAGGGAGGGGCATGGAAATGAGGAGGGTGTTGGTGGTGTCTCTCTTCCACGCCGAAGAAGAGACCCTGCACCAGCGCTTTCACTCCAACACGTTAGGAAGGCGTACCAGGTTCGGCTGGTTGCGTAGCGGCAATCATCTGAACCAATTGGGCAAGCATGGAAACAAACTTGTCGGCATCTTCCGTCGAGATGAAGCTCAAGCCGAAGATCGTCTACGCCAGCGAAAGGTTGAGACAAACTTGGGAGAGGAGAAGGAGAGGAAGAGAAGGAGGGGAGGAGAGATGCGACAGGTACCTGACGGAAGCGCCACTGCACAAAGTTGTCCCTCAATTTCTTGTGCACCAAATCTCCCTTGATGGGCGAATTGACGTTGTACTGTGGAGGGATTGTGTTAAAGATTGCTGCGCGGAAGACAGGCAAAAGGTGTCCACTAGGCGTACCTGCTTGTCGGCGACTGACTGGCCGATGACGCGGTAGGCACTGGTGGTCTGATTGTGAAAAATCCAAATGCGTGAAGCGCCAGCGTCTTTGGCGACCCATGTCTTGAGATTGGTGTCGTAGTTGTAGACGGCTGCTTGAAGCTCCAACAAAGGAACCTCTCCACTGATTATTTGTTTTTTTAGAATCCACAATCAAACAGATTCTCCATCTTCTACAAGACAGCGACGGTACCTCATTTTTCTTTAGCTGAGGATGGAGGAAAGATCGAATTCTATCAATCACTCACTACGCCCTATCCTCTATCCCAATCTCTTACGCGTCGTCCGTCTTTGAGAGGATAAAGGGGGAAGCAATGTTTCGTCCTCCAACTGCGGACGGCAGTTACGGCTGACTCTGCCCAGCCACCAGCACGTCGCCAGGAAAAAAGAGGGACTTATTTCCTTTTTTCAGCCGGTGCCTGTTCATTATGTTATGATAATTAAAAAGCAGGACAGGTGCTTGATACTGTAGCTCAAGAACAGAGAATAGGATGAAGTTAGTGTATATTGAACCTGTTGTGAGGTTGTGGCAGTCCCATCCCCTTTGGTGATGGCCATATCATTGGGCAGGTGCAGATGGGTGTACACAGCCTCCAACCTGCCCCCTTGCCCACCAGCCCAGTAACCCACATCACTGGGTGACACAGATATCCTTGCATTGGCTATGGTGCAGGCTGGTGGCTGGTTGCATCATGCAACAAGTAAATGATGACTGGACCTCAATGAGTGTAAGGGGAAGTTAGATACAAGGTCAACCTTTGTCCAGGACAAGCTCTGATCAAGCCTAAAAAGGACAACTCAGGGGGGTATCTTCACTCCTTCTCCCAGCAATCATGAAGTGCCAGCACACTTGGTGCCATGGTCATTAACCCAGCCTTGTGGCTGCAATTGGTTTCCACCTGGCACCACTGAATTTAAGCACAGAATGTTAAATTCAGCGAAAAGAAAAAGAAAAACTAGTTCTGGTGTTGTTGCGATCCTGTCCTTGCCACCATTGATTTTTTTGGTTTTGCAGAACAATAACGCCCAATCAGCCCACACGCCATGAACGCGCACGCCGATCTGTACCTATACAAGGCCCCTCTTTCAATTTGACTCGCAACGAGTTGGCCACAATTGCTTGGATTGCACCTGCACTTCTCCAAGGCACTGGATTGCACACCCCCTCCAGTGATGGTCTCGCCTCCTACGCCTGCATGCTCTCATTTTTTTCGCCGGCATTTGTTTAATTTACTCATTACCCAATTCCACCCATCAGGAGAAGCTTCTCGAGAAAACGCAAGGCCGATGATTTGCACCAACAACCACAACTCATCCAAGAGCACTCGTTCGACAATCACCAGAACCAATGCGGCATCTGTTTGTCCTGCATTGAGCCGCCAGGCGTCCTTGGGTGCGCACACAGCTTCTGCTTTGACTGCATCACGCACTGGAGTCAGATTACCAACCGCTGCCCTCTGTGCCGCCGACGGTTCAGCTCCATCGCCACCATCGAGAAGCGAATCGAAAATGGCGTTGAGATGGAGGTCGCCTGCGAAGTAGCGGTGGAAGAGCGCGATTTCTCGCCAGCGCCGACCGAGGTCGACTACTATGGTGCGATCGATCCCTTCGACGAGGAAAGCGCGGAGAGCGAGAGCGAGAGCGAAGACGACAGTAGCGCAGATTACGAAGATGGCGAAGCCGACAGTGAGGATGAGTGGATCCTCAACACCCCACAACCACTCCCGACACCACCAACGGCACCGGTCGACGAGGTCGAAGAGCTGAGAAAGAGGTGGGCCAGGGCGTCCGTGCGGCGACGCTTCCGCTGCGAGCACGAACACTGCGAGAAGGCGTTCAAGACCGGCTCCGACCTCAAGCGCCACATGCTCATTCACGCCCAGGTGCGCCAGTTCGGCTGCGAGCACTGCGAGAAGCGGTTCATGCGTCGGCAAGACCTCAAGCGCCACCTCGTCACGCACCTCGCCGCGCCCGCTCCGCGCTCGGCTTCTTCCGACGACCAGCAGTTGGTCGAGACCTCGATTGCCGTCGTCGCATCAGCGTCCGCCCCACCACCTCCTCCGGTCATCGTCGACGAGGCGACGGGCCAGCGAAGATTCGTGTGCACCTACCCGGGCTGCGACAAGACCTTCACGCTGAACCAAAACCTCAAGCGCCACCGCAAGGTGATACACAAGGATACCACTACCACCACATCGTCGTCGTCGTCAAGCGAGGAAGAACGACAGGCCGCGACCATTTCGACCACCACCTCGTCGTCGTCTGGGGTCGTCGTCATCGACGAGGCCACGGGCCAGCAGCGATTCGCGTGCACCTACCCGGGCTGCGGTCAGACCTACTCGCACCGGCCCAACTTGACTCGCCACCGCAAGAGCGCGCACAAGGACACCACCGCCTCGGCCACTTCTTCATCGTCGTCGTCATCATCAGGCGAAGATGAACGCCCTCGACCACCTTCGCCAGCAACATCGACCGGCGTCATCGTGCAGGACGAGGCGACGGGCCGGTTCGTGTGCGACTTCGTGGGGTGCGACAAGACCTTCACGCTGCGCAACAACCTCGCGCGCCACCGCAGGACACACCAGGGCGCGAGCTACCAGTGCCCCGAGTGCGACAAGTCGTACACGCAGTCGGGAGACCTCAAGCGCCACTTGAGCATCCACAGCGGCGAGCGGCCATTTGCGTGCCACCTGTGCGAGCAGGCCTTCCGCCAGAAGGCTCATCTCGCTGCTCATCTCCGATCGAAGGCGCACGCTTCCTCGCTCTCTCTGTGACCTTTACCGGCAAATCAAATGTACATTCCATGTTTCACCTTCATCTCGAAGCGACAAGAGGGAAATGAATCCATTGATCTGTTGCGTGTAGACACGATACAGTTTAGGCCTTCTTGAGCTTCCTTCGAAGGAAGCGAGACTCCTTCAGCTTCTTGCGGTGCTTGTGCTTGTTCATCTTGCGTGCTCGCTTGCGCATCACCGAGTCCATCTGGTACGAATCGAGAGGCTGCATCTTCTCCCACATCGAGATGGCACCGTCCGACCAGGGAAGAGAGACCGGCACGTCGACCATCGAAGCGAACACGCCCACGTTCTTGAGGTAGAGGGGCTTGCGCTCTGCGAGGGGGTTGAAGTTGGCGGGGCCAACGCCGTTGTGGAGGCGACCGCCGTGGATGGTGAAGAAGCCCTTGGTCGTCCAATTAACGAAGGTATCGTTGATCTTGCCGAAATTCTGCCCCTCCTCGTCGGCAGTCGATCGCGGCGTCGTTTGCAGCAGCGTTGGCACCGCATCGGAACAAAGGACTTCGCTATCGATGGGACCCGCCCCCGAATCGATGCTGCGTCGCGTCACGGTAATCGAGAATGTGCGAGCCGTCCGGGCAGAGGAGGCAATGCCAGCAGCTCGCGTCCACAACGTGGCGGAGGAACTCGACATCTCGCGGGGGAAGAGGCCACGCCTCATCCATCCGGCCCGCTGCATTTTTTTTTTCGAATTGAATGGCTTAAGATTAATCTTCCTTTTCCTTTTTTCTTTTGAAGCAAAATCCAGCAGACGAATGTTGTTTTAGTTTTTGCCCTCGTGATGCTGCCTCAAATCTCATTAGTTTAAGTCTGATGCGCTGGTTTCCTTGCCTCTTGGCGTGGTGATGGTGCCCTGATTTCAGCAATGGTACCTGAAGGGCTTTATTTGTTTTTATTCATTTATTTATCATTTTCCATTCTCTTCTATCGGGCGATGATTATGACCCTTACACACCACTGAATGCAAGTGAATAGCTTCTATGCTTCTCCTTCATTGACGACCCAAGAATGGATATATGAGCCCACTTCTCTTCTTATTATCATTTATAATATTTTGGCCACCTACACCTCCATCTTGTTGATCCTTTATTGCAACTCGCACAATAAAGAGCCTCCATACCCTCCTGTCCTCCTCCGCTTCTGTGGCGCCTCTTCGACGAGATTCAAAACTTCGCTTCTTTTGATACACTCTGCTCTGCCTCTTGTCTTCCCATCGTCCATGTGTCTCTTTCGCGCGCAGCTTCTCCTCTGGCTTCTTCTTCTTGCTTCTCCGCCTCAGTGGGTGGTGTTCTCCATCCATCATCGTCGTCGTCTTCCTGGTCTTCCGTTGTCCTTCTTCTTACGCGGCGCCGTTGTCCCTCTTGATCGTCGAGCCCTTCGCTGGCTCGGCAGCCGGAGAAGACGAAGATGACGACGACGACGACGCGATGGACGTTCCACTCGAGCCTCCCCTCAGAATCGAGCCGGACCTCTTTTTCGATCCGCTTCCGGTCAGCTTCTCCTTCTTGCCCTTGCCCCGCCTGCTACCGCTCGTCTGCTCCTCCTCCTCCTCCTCGCCGGCGCCCTCCGGCAGGGGCTCGTAGTGGCTCACGCTCTGCATAATGCCTCCGAGGAGGGCCTCCTTTGTGACGGGCGTCGCCTCGGACACCTTGCCGCCACTGCCGTTGTCCTTCTCCTCGCCTTCGTTATTCACCTCCGCCCCGGCCTTCTTCCTGCCAAAGTTTCGCTTCATCGGCTCGTCGTCTTCGATATCCCTACCTGCGCATGGATCGAACGTGATTACAGCACACTATTGTCAGAGGCCGAACGCACGCATGCATAGAGAGAGAGAGAGAGACGTCGCGAACTGCAGCAGAGGTGATGATGATGATGATGGACTGCGTACATTTTTTACAGATGAGTTTGTTGCCCCACTCGTGGCTTTTTGGCAGCAGCACCACGCAGTCCGGGCAGTACTGGTGATTGCACCGCACGCACTTGTGCTGCGCGAGGGAGGGACACGGGGGGAAGCGGTTGTCAGTGGTTTGCGAGAGAGTGGCGACAGCGTCGACGACGGGGGACAGTTAGAGAATCGTGCTACGCGCGCGTACCTTCTTGGAGAGGAGAGAGAAATCCTTGAAGCACTTGGTCGACCAGCAGGCCGAGCCTGGCCGCTTGTTGCTACGGAAGTTGATGATGGCCATGATGGTCTGCCCGAACACGTCGCGGAAGCCCTTGTTGGTGATGGCGCTGCACTCGATGTACGACACGCAGTTGGTCTCCTTGGCGAGTTTCTTGCCCTGCTTGTAGGTGACGGGCTTGATGTTCTTCGCCTTCAGCTCGGCCAGGCGCGTCTCGTCGTCTCGGCAGTCGTTCTTTGTTCCCACCAAAATGCGCGGCACCTCCCTCGAGTCTCCTTTCGTTATCTCTGGTATCCACTGTGCGACCACACACACACACACACACAACACACACACGACACACACACACATTACGATGTCAACAACTGGCTCAGAGAGTCATCACAAGCCTGTCGCCGCAGGACGTACTTTGTATTTGACGTTCTGGAAGGAGACCGGGTTATCTATGGCGAAGAAGACGAGGAATATGTCTGCGTTCTGATACGACATGGGCCTCATCATCTGGAAGTCGTCTTGTCCTGCCGTATCCCACCTGGAAGAAGGAAGAGGGTGAGCACATAGTGGCGCCAAGCCACCACCAGCCGACAAGAGACCCAAGCAAAAGAGCTCTTTCGCGCGGCAACATAGATTCTACGTAATCGCAGGAGTCAGGAAGATTTGAAAGGAGATTGGAACGTACAGTCCAAGATTGATCGGCAGCCCGTCCCACATTACCACGGCATTGTAATTGTCGAACACCTACCGAGAAATGGAATGAGCATTGGGAAAGGGGCTCGTACAGCATGGAAAGAGATGCGAATCTTGTGAGCGAGTAAGCGAGGGGGGGGGCGTACAGTGGGAACGTAATCCTTGGGGAAAGCCTTCATGGTGTAGGTGATTAGGAGGCATGTCTTGCCCACCGTACCGTCACCAACTATTGATCCATTAAGAGAATGATCAGAATGACAATGGAAAGGAAGGAAATGGGCCAGATAGCTTGATCGATGATCCATAAGGGTGGGTAACCACTACGCACCCACTACGCATTTAATGTGCTGCATTGCAAATTGGCCAAGAGATGCTGGATTCAATGCAATGGGCTACTCGCGAGAAGACAGACGTTGGACCAGAATTTCCAAAGCAGAACAATCGACACAATTCGTTCTTCGTCTCAAATCGAATGGTCGTCGCACGGGTCGATCGAGTCGTGGGAACGGCAGTTACGCTCCGCCGTGCGTGGTCGCTCAAGTTTCCACCACCCCGCCGGCTCGGCCAATCGATGCGGCTCGAAAGCGAAAATTCTCTCCCCGGTTTTTACCTTCGCTGACGTGGCAGCAAAAAAACAGAGGAGATGGTCAGGAAGGTGAACGTGGCCCAAGGTGGACGCCGCGGTTGGCTCTGGGTGGGCGTGGTGGCGCTGGTGCTTGCTGCGGCGCTGGGTTGGGTGGCCACCCCGCCGCAGGACATCGTCCCCAGGACTCACCCCATCGACCCCTCCACTACAGTGTACGTAGTAGACGTGCAGTCTCCTTTTACGCCAGACCTCTGCCCCAGGAACCCAGCACTACGGTGCCCAGCCGTGAACATTGCTCTCACCGCCGTGTGCTACTCCACACGTTGCAGGATCGACAACGGGTTCTACGACACGGAGGACTTTGCCTACAACTGGTGGGCTGAGGGCGGATGGGCTGCCCCGCTGCTTGCCATGAACGACGCTCGGGTGCCCTACTTCGACCGCGCCTTCCACCACCTCAGTACTTCACCAATTCCCTTTGCCCATCTTCTTGTAGAGAGCCGACTTGTCATGCCCGCATCCCCATACAAACAGACACCTACACTGAGGCTAGCCAGCAGCTCTTCCTCGACATTGGGTGCGGAGGTAAGTAGGGATCTGGGCTACACACCTCCTACTTGCAGCGAAGGCGTGTGGTGTTGAACAACACCATATGTGCAGGCGGGCTGGCTACCGAGGCGATGGCCAGACACGGTCACCACATGATCGGTCTCGATATCTCCCCGCGCTCCATCGAGACGGCCCGGAGGCACGCCCAGGTCCGACCCACTCCCTCTGGCCTTGCGTGGGACCTGTGACGGACAGTGTTCGTTGTTGTGGTTTGGACCTCCAGGAAGAGGGTGTTAGCAACGTTGAGTACGTCGTGGGATCGGCCCTGGAGCTGCCCTTCCCCGATCACCACTTCGACGGCGTGGTCATGTCGGACGTCATCGGTTCGCTCCGCCTTGATGGCTGTTGTTGTATCGTCGGTGCTAATGGCCCTTCTATAGAACACATCCACGACCTCCCGGCTCTGGTCAAGGAGATCAACCGCGTGCTCAAGCCTGGTACTTAGGAGCCCCGGGACCCATCGCTCTATAGAGCAGCTGTGGCCGGATGGTGACGGCCCAGCGTTCATTCACGTTTACACTACTTTACTCGTAACAGGCGGGGTGTTCACGTTTGACACTATCAACCGGACGTGGAAGAGCTACATCCTCAACCGCATCCTGCAGAGCTCGATCCTGATGTCCATCATGCCTCCGCACACCCACGACTACCGCCTCTTCACCACCGTACGATGATCTACTCTCCCTCTGTTGAGTGCCAGTTCGGTTGTGCCTGACATCTCTCGCCCCACCGTCAGCCTGCCGAGCTCACCGAGCTGCTGGCGCCGGCGATGGACGTGAAAGAGATCGTAGGCCTCGAACCGGTGGTGGAGCCCAGCCGCCTCTTCCAGCGAGGTGAGTCCTCACACTGTCGCTTTGCCTCTTGTCACATGTCTGACCACCTCGCGAGCAGGCAAGCCGGTAGACATGGTCACCACCTTCCGCCAGACAGATGACACCGATCTGAGCTATCTCGGCTACGCCGTCAAGGCCAAATAGTCAGTGCGTGTTTGATGGCCTTGTGCCACACACGCAAACGCAAAAAAACACGAATGCCGAGGGCCTACGCAGTCGCCTGCTGTTCGTCGATGTGCGCACTGTCGTCGTTGGTGGGCTGTGGTCGGGGTTCGCCGTCGGACTTGGCCGGCGGGAGGATGACCTTGCGCCAGGTGAGCGAGATCCGATTCTTCCGCTTGAACTGTACGCCCTTCCACGTATCCGACACCACCGCCGAAATGCCTGTCACGCAGCCAAACTTGAGCACACCGCACACACCGCCGCACACGCACATACACCGCACACGCGCACACGCACATACGGTAGATGCGTACCGTGTGTCCAGCCATATCGCGCCTCGCCGGTAAGCATGAGAGCTGTCCGTCGCTCGAAGAAGACGTCAACGCGCCTGCCCGTCTCGATGTGCCTGCGTGGCGCCACACGATCAAAACGTTAGATTCGGTCGGCACGGACGCTACCGCGCAAAGGAGTGAGCGGAAATGTGTGCTCGTCGTACTTGAACTCCATGATGCAGCTGGAGCCCAGGCCCAGGCTGCCGACGACGCCCTCGAAGCAGTGGGTCTTGTCGACGTGCGGGTGGATGCCCTGGCCGGGCGTGTAGTGGTTGATGATCATCTGGTCGGGCTCGTACGGCATCAGTCCTGCAGTTTGATCCAGCAACGTCGTCATCAGCGAACGATCGCACGCATCGACCGCACACGCACACGCACACACACACACGCACCTGTGGAAACGAGGCGTGCTGTGACCTGCTGCGCAAAATCGGGCAGGGGTCCGAGGTAGCCGCCACGCAGGTTCTGCGCGTTGTGCTCGAAGCGATAGCCGTACTGCTGCACCTTCCGCTTCAGATCGAGGTCCCACTCCCTCTCCTCCACCGCCTGCCAAAAAAAAATAAAAATAAATTTAGATGGAAAAAAACTAATATAAATATAAATAATAAAATATCAACAGAGTCGGCCGTCTCCGGTCGTGCCTGGATGAGCTGCTCCTCTTCCTCCTTGGAGATAAAGTCCTTGACGAGTACGAGGCCCGGAACGAGAAGCCGGGGGTCATCCTGCTGGACTGGCGCGCTTGCCTTGAGCGCTGCTTTTTTCTTGCCTCCGCCCTTGTACGGATTCCGTCCACCGTCCGGCGCAGTGTCCCCTCCTTTGCCCTTCTTCATGAACTTCTTTCTCCGTTTGTTTGTTTTTTGTTTTTTGACGAATCGCAGTCTTTATTTTTATATTCCTAATTTTGCTTCGGTGAACAACAAGAAAACAATTAAAAATATGTTGCTCAACACGTGCAAATTAACAAGCTCGGCCAACGGGGGGGACACCCCTGAAACCGAGGTCTGTGTTGGCATTTTCTCCCTGGCTACGTGGCATTGCAACACCCGGGAATCGCCACGGGCACACCCTGCATGGCAAGCCGATGCTGGAGGTCCTGCGCAGATCGATTGCAAGGCGACGTCGTATTCAGGCGTGCCTATAGGTCTCTGTCAAAATAGAAACACGTAAACACACCACGCGGTGAGGTCATGACATTCACCAGTTCGAAACAGATCACCCGCCTGACGCGCATGTCTCGGTGTAGTCGACTCCACCATCGCACGTAAACATGTGAGGTCCTGGTCTCGTTTGGAACACACCACCCTACACGGTTGCATTTGTTTTGAACAAGTTTGTCTGGTTACACGCCAGGTGTGTAGTGTTCGCTTACATCTCGCCATCGTCGTCCTCGCCGGGCAGAGCCTGGTTGACAGCGACGGACATGAGGGCCTGAAGCTGCGCCTCGTGCTCCGCCTGGGCGGCCTTGTCGATCTGCGTCTCGGGCGGCAGGAGCGAGGGCTCGGCGGTGAAGGCCAGCCGCGGGTCGTTCACCAGCCGGCGGCACACGTAGAGGAACGGTTTCTCTGCGAGAGAGACAGCGAGAGGGCGGGGGTGAGCCGAAGAAGATAGTGGTGAAGACGACGAGCCTTAAGAGAAAGACAAACGTACCAAAGTTGTAGTTGGACTTGGCTGAGATGTCGTAGTACTGGAGGTTCTTCTTGCGGTGGAAGGTGATGTCCTTGGGCTTCACCTTGCGGTCCTTGACATCGACCTTGTTGCCGCAGATCACCACCGGGATCTTCTCGCATACGCGGCTCAGATCTGCACAGTCGGCCGAAGCGAGTGTTAGTCTTAGCGCTGGAGACGCACATCGTAGGGGCTGTTGGGGGGGGGGGGCTGGCGTACCGGTGTACCACTTTTGGAGGTGGCGGTAGGTGAGGCGGTCGGTGACGTCGAACATGATGATCGCGGCGTCGGCCTGGATGTAGTACCCGTCCCGCAGGCCTCCAAACTTCTCCTGGCCGGCTGCATCATCAAAAAAAGAAGTCGAGGTGGTCAGCCATCGCAACAAAGAGCGAAGAGCGAAGAGAGAAAGAAGCGCGTACCGGTGTCCCAGACGTTGAGGATGATCTTGCCGTGGGTGGTGTAGAAGGGCAGGGGGTGGACTTCGACGCCGAGGGTCGGGACGTACTTGCGCTCGAACTCGCCGCTCATGTGTCGCTTCACGAGGGTCGTCTTGCCCGTACCGCCATCGCCGATGAGCACCACCTTGAAGCCCAGATCTCTCTTATTCATGTTCATGCTCGCTTGTGTTGTGTTGATGTAGTTTCTTGATGTAGTGAGGTACTGGGCCTTGGTTGGGATTGCTCTCCTGTACCGCTGTGTGCTGATGCAATGCTTGTCTTCTGCAGGAATGGACTCCTTCGTTTTTATACCACAGGCGTGATGGCCGACCTTCTGGAAGCTTCCGGATGACAGAGGGCAAGGGGCCTGTTCACCTAACCGTAACGGTCAGTTGAGCCTGAACCTTCGGGAAGGTTTGAGCAAAATGGAAAATTGCAATTGAAACGCAAAATGAAATGGTTTGGATTTTTTCTTCGGTCGACAAGAATGTAGTACCTGGGTGGGGTCATTGGCGTGTGGCGAGGTCGTCGATGACACTGGCGAGCCGGCGCACTCCCTCGGCGATCTCGTCGGGCGAGTAGTACGCGAAGCTCAACCGCGCGTAGTTCTCCCATGCCGACGACGGAGGCGAAGCAGCGGTGAAGCGGTGTCCGGGCTGGTAGGCCACACCTCGGTCGCGGCACGCGCGGGCGAACGCTTCGTGCGGTCGCAGTGAAGCATCGTCGCTGGCCTCGAGCAGAAGGTCAGGCAGGCGCAGCCACACGAAGTAGCCGCCGCTGGGCCGATCGAAGCACACGCCACGTCGTCGCGCCTCGCCCGCGGCCGCGCCGTCAGCACCGTGCGACGACAGCGACGTGAGGCTGGCGGTTGGGAGCGAGGCCTGGAGCGCCGAGCAGAGGGTGTCGCTCAGGTGTGCGTAGGTGCGTCGCAAATGGACCAGGTGCTGGGCGAGCACGCCTTGGCCGCGCTTGTCGGTGGCCTCCAGCGCATGGTGGACCAACTGCAGCACCACTGGGTTGAGTCCGCCGCCGCTCTGTATCGGCCCGTCTGATTCCCGTACACATACCAACGACCAACGACATCGCATGTCAAGTCTTTGGTGTGTGTGTGTGTGTGTTGTGTGTGTGTGTGTGTGTGTGTGGAATGTACATTCTTCGATGTGCTTGAGCAAGGGCTCGGACGCCTGAAGCCAACCGAGCCGTAGGCCAGGGGCCATGATCTTCGAAAACGAATTCAATGTGATCACGTTGTGGTCCACGCTCCCACCTGCGACGTCACACACTTAGCCAGCAGTCCTCGTCATCAAATGGCGTTGGGCGAGTCCACCGCAGCGCTCACAAGATTGCAAGCGAAAGAGAAATTCTCACCTTGCTGGGCCAAGTGGAAGAGAGACGGTGGCGGACGGTGCTGGTCGCCGAAGGCAAGGAACTGGTAGACCTCATCGGCGACGATCTTGGCCTCCGTTCGTCGGCTGAGATCGAGCAGACGGTGCCTTCGCTCCATGCTCAGCGTGACCCCGGTCGGGTTGCTGAACGTGGGTATGACGTACACCACCGGCGGCTGCGCACACACCACAACCGCACCCCACATGAGATGTGGTACGGCGCCTTGAGCGAATCGTGGCCAACCTGCAATTTGGCGCACCTTCTTGTTGAGCCGACCGTGGACACGGAGCTTGGCTTCGAGGTCCTCCACGTTGATTCCCTGCTCGTCCGTCTCCACTCCGACCACGTTCAAGCCTCGACCCTGCGGAGCAACCGCGTCAGCACGCACGCGACCACGACCGCACGCAGAGAGGTTGGAGTGACCTTGAAGATGGCCAGCGCGAGAAAGTAGGTCGGGTTCTCGACGAAGATGGTGTCGCCCTCGCTCGTGAAGAGGTCGAGCACCATCTGGAGGCCCTGCGACGATCCGTTGGTCATGAACAGCGATTCGCCATCGACTGCGTGGCCCGCTTGGTCGCGCAGGAAATCGGCAAAGCGCAATCGGAAGCGTCTGCCGCCTCTGTCCTCTCCATACCCCAAACAACCAGACCTGCCTGTAGTGTTGCATCGCATGCGAGCGTGTCGTGCGGTGTGTGCGGTGTGTGTCGTGTGTGTCGTGTGTGTCGTGTGTGTCGTGTGTGTCGTGTGTGTGTCGTGTCAATAACCGGCTCGGCGAGGTGATTAGATGAGGAGACGGTGAAAGGGGACGTGCCCTGAGCGTAGAGGGTGCGTAGGTCGTCAGCAAGACGAGGGACGGCGACGTCCTGCAACAGACCGAAGGGCAGCAACGAGGGCGCGGGCTGGCCCCGTCCAAAGTCGATCGCGGTGGTGGCTGGCGCGGTCGTGGCCCTTTGTTTCCCCAATCCCCAATTGCGGTTAGGATTGATTGATTGAATCGTTCTAGGAAGTAGTCACAGACTGTTGGCGTACAGACGACGGGCCGCGGTTGGCTGAGGCCCGGGCACGAGGTGACACACGCGCGAGGCGAGCACCTGTGGATGGAAGCCCCAACGCTTCTTCATGTGCAATCTTAGTTTACAAAACAAAAATATTGTCTTTTCTGCTTGGCTCGGTTGCCGCGGACACGAGGCACGAACAGTTTGTCGCAAGTTACAAGTAAGTTGACGGTGGGCGGAGAGGGTACCACAGAGACTTTATGCCTCTTGCCGTGGTTATTGAAGGTGCCTTATGTTCTTCCAAGGGACCCGATTCGCTTCTCCTTTTATTGTCGCTTTCGTTCTTTATCTTCAATCTTGATGGTAGATTTATGCCTGACACCTTCCACTCTCCAGTGTTGGGCGGGTGCGGCCTCGCCGGACGTGACAAAGCCGGTATTACCCCCTTCCACATGAGACTCATTTTTCTATTTATTTTATAAGTCCTGAGTCTATTTTTTCTTCTTTATTTGTTTTTATTTTACAATTTAAATAAAGAATAAAAATAAACTCATATTCTGTGCTGCGCCGTGTAGGGCTGAGCGACCCGTTCTGCACCATACGGTTCAAGAAAAACAAGTACCGCACCAAGACCCACCCGCAGACCGTCAACCCCGTCTGGAACGAATGCATCAAACTGTACGTTCCTCATTCCCCTCGACCCTCTGTTGCGACTCACCTTTGGTCGATTGGTGCACACAAAGGGGTCTGTTCACAGAGGAGGACGATGTCGAAGTCACCTGCTGGGACCGGTGCTTCATCGCTTTCTCTCGCTTTCGCTCTTTTTCGCTCTTTCTTGCGCAGACTCACACTGGGCCCTGGGCCTGCCGCACCGCGCACCTTGGTACAGGGATCGTATGAGCTCCAACGACGTGCTGGGCTACTTCAACATCCCACTCAAGGAATTCGCCCTCCCCTTCATGGTCGGGGTACGGGTCTCCTTCTACGTGCGTGCGGTGGTGTGTGCGGTGGTGTGTGCGGTGGTGTGTGCGGTGGTGTGTGCGGTGGTGTGCGCGGTGGTGTGCGGTGTCTTGAGACTCAATTAATGGTGTGAACGGCGAGTAGGAGCACAAGAAGAGCTACACGCTGCAGTCGCGGCCGGGCCACAAGGATGTGGGCGTGAAGGGCTCGATCGAGGTCAAGATCATCATCAAGGACAAGAACAGCAAAAAGGACAAGGAAAAGAAGAGCAAGAGCAAGAGCAACCGGTCGAAGCGAGCCACCACCTCCCTCACCGCCTCCGGGTCGCCCGCGGCTTCGCCCGCCCTCGCTGGCGGTTCGCCCGAAGGCGTACGCGATCCCTCCGCGCCATGTGTGCGACGTCACATGTTGGAGAGATGCTGATTGTGGTGCGTGTGCAGGAGTTGGAGGACAAGGCCAACGTCAAGAAGAGGCTGACCTCATTCTTCAAGTTCAGGTTTGAGGCTTTCTCTCTCTTTTTGGCTCACTCTTACTTCAGCTTCACACCACCCACCCACACCACACACCTAATTTTTGTTACGATTCATCGTAATCGCAATTTGAACCACCTCATGGCCTGCTCTTTATTCCAACAGCGCTCCCGTGTCTCACTCTCATGTCTGCAACTCCAATTCGCAATTCTCTCAGTTTCGTCTCTAACGCAACGCAACGCAACGCAACGCAACGCAACGCAACGCAACGCAACGCACGCACAACACGCAACACACACACACACACGCACACACGACACATGGCGACACCAATGACATCATGCAGGCCGGCATCAAGGGAGGAATTCGAAGATAAGCTCTCGGGCAGCGGCTTGATCCCTCGCGGTCCCAAGAGCACCAAAGTGTTTGGCGCCACTCTCGACGAAGGTACTTTGCTTTTATTTCTTTTTGGCTATTAATTTGTTTTAATAATAATAAGAATGCTAATAATAATAATCCCTCGCATCGCAGTAATGGCGCGGCAGAAGCTCTCGCACCCGGAGATGAAGATTCCGTTGTTCGTGCACCTGGTCCTCGAAAAGCTGGCCAACAACCCGCTCACCTTCAGCGAGCAGGTACGGGCTTTGATCATTCTTCACGGTCAGCTCGAGCTGACACTACTTTCTTTTTTGTGCTGCTGACAACATCACCCATGATCACAATGTGTGCGTGTGCGTGTGCGTGTGCGTGTGCGTGTGCGTGTGCGTTGATTTCAGGGCTTGTTCCGTATCTCGGGTTCGGCGATCACCGCGCAGAAGGTGCGGTCGCAGGTCGATAGCGGTACGTGACGTCTCTTCTTTCTTCTCTGTCTCTCCCCCCTCCCCCCCTCCCCCCAAGCCACCCCGTCTACAATGTACGATTTTTATTTTATTTTTTTGGCGGCGTGGATGCAGGCAAGGTGCCGGACCTGACGGGATGCACGAGGGACGACCTGGCGTCGCTCCTCAAGGAGTACATCCGCGAGCTGCCCGAGCCTCTCTTCACCTCCGCCCTCTACCGCCAGTGGGTCGACGTCTGTACGCCCGCCCGCCCGCCCGCTGACGTCATCATCACGCCCCGCCCCCCCGGACCACATTCCCTTACTTCCCTGCGCGGCACACGTGGCAGATGACGTGCCCGAGGAGAAGGTGGTACCCACCCTGCGCGCGCTGGTGCGAAAGCTGCCCCTCCACAACCGATACCTGTGGGAGGAGGTCAACAAGTTCCTCTTCCGCTTGAGCAAGCACTCGGACGTCAACATGATGGCGCCCCAGAACATCGGCATCGTCATCGGCCCCAACGTCCTCTGGCAGGTATGTGTGATAAAACGAAACAAAACCAACGTTTTCCCTCGCATTCCTCGCATTCTGTTCTAACATGGTCACCAGCCGCCCTTCAACATGCCGGTCATGGAGATGAACGACGTCGTGTGCCGCCTGGTCGAGAACTGCGAGCAGATCTGGGCGCCGGTACCAACTTCGCCCCCACAACCCACACAGGCCACCACATGCCTAACACCGATCCACTCGCCCCCTAAAGGGCCCCGAGGACGAGCAGCTGCTCCAGCGCACCGCTTCGGCCACCCGGATCGCCCACTCGCTCTCCGTCGGTACCGACCCCTCGCCACTTGGCTCCATCTTTGCCGGACTGGCTGACGTTGCTGCTGGCTGACGCTGTGCCCTGGTGGACGTCCAGACATGGGTTCGTCCGGTGCGGGCGTGCCCCAGTTCATCAACCCGACGACGAACCCCCTGCGCGTGGGTTCGACGATCGGCGTGCAGGTGCCCCTCTCGCGTACGTTCGCCCAAACCCTTCTGCCCATGTCCACGACGTCGCTCTCCCATCGGACTTACGCTGTGTCGTGTGCGGTCGTGTGTGTGTCGTGTGTGTCTTGTGTGTGTCGTGCGGTTCGGTACTGCGCAGCGTCGGCTCTTGATAGGCGTCGATTGACCGCTCCGCCCGGCGTTATCCAGCGAGAGCTGCTCGCTCAGCAAGAAGCCGCGGCCATGACGGCCGCACCCGAAGAGAGTACGCCTGCCTCTCTCTCTCTCTCTCTCGTTGTGTATCGTGTCGTGTTGTGTGCCTGTTTCATAGTGATTCCGACATCTTGCAACTGCGTCGTATATCAACGCTTGGGGGGCGTGGCGGCAATGCAGGCCAACAACTGCCCGCTGATCCGGCGCAGTGGAGCGTGAACGACGTGGCCGAGTGGCTCAGCATGAAGGGCTTCTCCCAGTACGCACCCACATTCAAGGGCCACTCCATCAACGGGTACGTCGCTTTCCGTCTCTCTCTCCCTCTCTCTGCTCTGCCTGGCTCTGCTTCCCTGTCGTCTGCCAGTCGTGTCTCTTCGCTTTCTTTTGTGTTCGTTGTTTGGGCACTTGCCTTGTTTGGCCTAAATTTGCTCGCTTTGCTTTGAAATTCCCAGCATCACCCTTGACGCCTGTATTGGGTGCACATCTACACCCAAATCGTTCTTTCACGTGCTCATATGAATCACTTTCTCACCTCCCCTCACCTTTTATTTTTTTTTGCAACCCCACCTGCCGCACACAACCAACATCACACCACACCACCACACCACAACAGAGATGCGCTGTTGGGCTTGACCGCAGAGAAGCTGCTGACCGAGTTTGAAGTCAAGTCGCTGGGCCACAGGAAAAAGATACTCTTCAGAATTCGCGACCTGAAGAGAGCGTGATGTATTATGGCGTGTGTGCAAACCCACCACGATAATGTACAAGACAAGAGGGCCGACAAGTCAAACTCTCTGGAGGTGTGCGGTACACTCTACCTTTGTTTGGCAATACAAATTGGAACACACAGCCAACAAGAGGAGAGTGCCAATTGGTTGTTGCTGGAGAGCAGTGGGCTCACCACGCGGCTCGGGCAAGTGATGGACTATTTTGAATGCGCCTGCCAATGAGAGTTGGTGTCAAGGGCGTGTCCAAGTTACCTTTCGGCGTCAATCGCGCCGCTTCAGGTCGGTAACATCAGAGAATGTCATGTCGCTGGTGTCGACACGGAAGGGGCGGTGCACATCGCACATGATCGTCTCGTACAAAGCGTGCAATGGGCGCCAACCGCCACCTGTTCGCACATCAACACGCGCCTTTCTCTCCAATTGCTCCGCAGGTACGACCATGACCGAATCTCTTTCTCGGTCGCGCCTCAACCGGAACGAAGCAAGTTGTTGATGGGGAGCGGCCAGACCTGCCCAAGCGCTCCCGGTAATGGAGAGCATCTCGCTCGGGGTGGACTGGGTAGCTTCCTTTCCAGTGTGTACGGGCCTGCCCCTCCGCCCAATCACACATACAAAAAGAAGAAGGGCCACACAGACCCTCATTCCTCCTCTTTGTCTCTGCGTTTGTCAACCACAACACGCAAGCTACCAGCTACACCTCCTAGAAGCGCCTCATCGACCGTACCATCTCCCGACCACCGTCGCCCACCATCGAGAACGCCGTGACCTTCTTCTTGGTATCCTATAGACGAACCTGCCCGACCACCGCACCTCCAAACAATCGGCCAAGCCCATCTTTCTTCTTCTTCTCACAACACCATCCACGCACCGCACCGTCCAGCACCCATCACCTACCTGCTGAGGCAGCACCAACTTCTTCTTCGCCGTTTTCACCACCACCACCAGCATCGGCCAATCGCCCTACTTCTGGCCTTTTTCTCGGTCCCGCTACTTGACAACATTCAACATCAACCAGCATCGACTACAACCACAACGACCACGACACGCGAGGAGGCGTCGATGTCGATGTCGATGGACAACGTCCCTACGCTGGGGTCGGCCCTTCTGAGGGGCGACGAGCAGTCGAGGAGCCAGGTCAACTCCCTCCTGCTCGGCCTCATCCAGTCGTCTACGTCGAGCCTCGACAATGCCTGCTGGTCTCGAGACGAGGCTCGACGCCGAGGCGGTAAGCGCCGCCAGCGCAAGACCACCGTCGACAAGAAGGACCGCAAGCGAAGGAGGAAGGAGGAGGAGGAGTACGAGGAAGAGGAGGTGGAAGTCGAGACGAAGAAGAGACACAACACGCAACCCGAAGAAGTGCGACGTGTCGACAGAAACAAAAGCGCGGGAAGGCAAACGCACAAGAAGACGCAGCAAGAATCGAAGAAGATGAAAGTCGAGATGCAGATCACCACCGAGCCTGAGGTGCAGGTGCAGGAGAGGAGCGTCGTGGAGATTCGAAGGACGGCGAGCGAGGAGGTGTTCGTGCCCATGCTGCCCACGGCAGACGTCTACGACTACTTCGATTACCACTACTACCCGCAGTCGGCCTACTCCACCCCGCTGCCCTCGCCCCACACGCGGTCCACCCCCTCGTCGCCGTTCGCTTCGCCCTTCCTCTCCTGCGAGACCCGAAGCTCCATCCACGTGCCCTTGGCCTCCTTCTCCTACGCGCCCTCGACGGTCGTCCCTCTGCCGCTCGTCCCGTCCATCTCCTCCTTCGGCGTCCCGTGCCCCATCGACGCCATCTGGGCTCTGCCCTCGCGTCCCTCCACGCCCACCCTCGACTACTGCACGCAGTTGCTCCTGCAGTAACCAACCATCATCTTGTATCCACCTCTAAACATACATATACATATATACATATACCTAAACATAAATCTATTTATTTATTTAAACATACAGTGTCCATATCCATCTCTACAAAATCAGCTGAGTCTGACGCACAGATCTGGGTACCCATCAACACATATGGTATCGAGCTGTGGAACATGTAAGAACGCGCACTACATTCCGTTCTTGCAGCAGCCAATGAGCACCGACACGATTTCGGCTGAAAGAATGTGAGTGCTGGCTAAGGTATCACTTTTTCCAGCCAGCAAGCCGGGTGGCCCTGTGTGGATATAAAAGCACTGCCAGGGGAGTGGGAAGGACATCTTCTCGGCCTTCGTGGCTAAGATCAAGTGTAGTATCTGTTCTTATCAGCTTAATCTCTGGTAGTGGGCCTCAATGTGCCTCACAACTCAAGATTAGACTTATTTCTTGTGGGCGCCCTGGCACTAAGTCCCTTGCAGCTGAGCTGTAGGGCGGTCCAGGGAGCAGTGATCAGCTTCACATTGCACCCCTGTGAAGTTCTTCAAATGGTCCACCCTTCCACCAAACCAAAATGACAAAGCAACATCCTTGATGAAGTTTCTCTTCTAGTCAACAAAAACAAGAATGTACAGGCCAAGAGGCTGGGCCCTTAGTAGTTCCCGAGGAGGATGGGGTTGCCTTTCCAGGCCGTATGCGTGAGCAGAATGCTCTGCACTGAGTTATAGATGGCGGTCGGGGTTGTGGTGGGCTGCAGGCTCACCACTACCCACCCGCCATTGTCGCCAAAATCGAAGATCACCCACCGTTCCTTATCCTCCTCGGGTCTGCCGAAAGGGCAGATGACGCCACGTCAGCACAATCGCACACGCACAGAGCGAAGGGGGTCATACCGGGTGATGGATTGAATGTGCTGAGCTGGTCGCTGCCACAGCTCAAACTTTGTTGTTGTGTCAATCATGCGCAGCCCCTGCAGCTCTACCACTAAGGTGCACAGCTTTGGCTCTTTTTCCAACCCCATCTGTCCGACATGAATGAGGTCAGCGTCACTAATCGTGAGCTCGCATGGAGATCTCAATAACAGTGAAGTGTTTTACCTGAAGCTCCACTGTGTAGGCCACTCCGGAGTGCCGCTTAGCCGGGTTGGCGTAGAACACGTTGGTCCAGAGCGCCTCAATCCACTCCTTCTTCTCTTCGGGCGACGCGGCCTCCAACAGAAACATCTTCTTCCCTCCACTGACTCGAAACGTACAATCTGCGCCACACACACGTTAGAGCTGGGCTGGCATTCAACTCGACGGAGAGCATTGAACTCTTGTACCTGCCCGCTTGACATTCTTGATCCCGTTGGTGGCCGCGTCCACCATGCAGCCTCCCCGCAAGCTGATGCGGTCTTCCGGCGGCTTGCCCGCACCTGTCCCCCACAGGAGGAAGGGGTACTCCAGCACCACCCACCTGGAACCCCGCGTCGTCCATTCAGATTACAGGGGACAGTGGTGGGGGGGAGGGTATAGCCGAACCTCTTCTTCCACTGGGCGAAGAGGCCGTCGCCCAGCTTGATGAGCCACCCCTGCTTCTTTACCGGGTCTGCCAAATCGTCTGATAACAGAGGAACCCAGAGCTCAACACTGGGCTTGGAAAGTAGGCACAAGAGGAGTGAAGAGGGTGCACCTCGGTTGATGGTCTTGGAGCGACACTTGACGACCACCTTGACCCCGTCCCCGTCCTCCTTCTCCTCCTCCGACGAGTACTCCTCGTCGACCAAACTCTTCGTGTTCCCCTCGTCCGCCTCCTCGGCGTCATCATCTGTACCGCTGCTGGTGTTGTTGGCCCCTTCAACCGCCTCCACCCTCCGTTGGCGCCCCCTCCTGGGTACTGGATCCGGCGACGCGGTGATGCTCAACTTCGGAATCGCCAAGCCTGAGGCTTGCACCGTTGAACCTCTTCGTTGCCGCAGGAACGTCTCCACCTCACTCACCGCCTGCCGCTCTTTCTGCGCCTCGGGGCTGTGTGGTACGTTCTGTTGATTGTTGTTGTTGTTGTCGTTGTTTTTGCTGCTTCTGATGTCGTTGCTGTGGCTCGCAGCGTCGTGATGGGCGTCGGTGGTGTGTGGCTCGACGGACGATGGCTTCTTGGTCTGGTCCGAAGGCCGACCGCCGATCTTGACGAGCACCGCCCGAGGCAGCCTCCCACAGGCGCTGACCAGCCAGTTCTTGCCCTCGGTCGCCTCCACGACGTCCGCAACGCTGCCGCCTCCCACTTCATGCGGTGATTCACGCAAACCTCCCCGCCTCGACCCCAGCGTCAGATCGCCGGTCTGGGCCGCACCCCAGGCCGGCCCCTGAGGGCGCGTCCGGGGAGATATGAGGCCCGACTTGGTCAGCCGCCTGAAGGCCGCTGCAGCCGCGCTGGCCCCGCCGTCGTCATTGTTGGCCTCGGCGTCAGGCTGACCACCGTCGGTCGATGCCTCGTGGTCGAGCTCGTAGTCTGCCAGGGGCCGAATGGTATCCAGGCCGTCGGAGGAGACGACCGACGGCGCCCGTCTGCGCATTGCGAAGCGTCGACGGGCTGGGGGGAGCTGGGACTTCTGGCGGGAGATGGCCTGGCGTCGTGATCGCTCGAGCTCCTCCCTCTTCTGCGCCGACTCTATCTCCTGGCTCATCTTCTCCCACTGGCGGATGAGCCGGCTGCGCTTCTTGGACTCGAGCTCGACCAGCGACAAGCGGCGCTCCTTGCTCGTGGGCGCCGAGAGCAGGTCGCTCGACGACAGCTGCTGGAGCCGCAGGCTGACCAGCCCCTGCACCCTCTTGGCGCCATCGGTTGTTGGCGAAGGAGCATTACTGCTTGGGGAGTCCCCACCGCTACACGCATCGAATGGCACTTGCACAGACATTGGCACCGCACGCGATCTCTGCAAAGACGTGGGTGAACGGCAGTCAGCGGCGCTGATTTTTGTAGCAGTGCAGCCCCCCTTCGACTCTTCCTCTTCCTCTTCCTCTTCTTCTTGAAGTGTGCTCGGTTGTTTGTTGCTGGGCTCGTCCAAAAGCCGCCACAAACTGGCTTTTCCTTTTATAGATCAGTGATGTTCTTTCTTGTCGTTTTGAAACATTTATTTATTTGCACAAGTTGAGTTTGGTTGCAGTTTCGTTGCGAGCTGAGCAAGTGGTCGTGTGTCGTGCGTGTCATTCGCTCATTCACTCGAGAAAGTACTTCTTCAGGGACGAGGGCTTGGGGAATCGGTGCTGCGACTTGGACGGTGTCGTCGAGGCCGACGATGACGACGACGAGCCGTACCGTGTGCGGTCGTCCTGCGTGTAGAGGAACTCAAAGTCGGAGAGGTCCTCCTGGAGCGAGCCAAAGGTGCCGTTCTGCTGCGATTGCGACGCTGGTGGCGACGTTGGCTGTTGTCGCCCGCGGGCGCTCGCAATCATCACGCCGCCGCGCTGTCGGTCCCCCGTAGCGCCGGTGGCCGCCTCCGACTCAGAGTCGCTGCCGCTGTTGTTGTTGTCCCGCCACGAGACATCAGCGCCGCTGTCATCGTCGTCATCGTCGTCATCCCGCAGCAAAACGCTGTTCTTCAGCTCCTCGGTGACCTTGAGCAGGTCCTCAAGCGCCTCCTCCACGCCGCTGTCCGAATACGAGGTGTCGTCGCTGCCGCTGCGGCCACCACCAAATCGGCTGTTGTCGCCCGTGGTTGCCGGTGCCGCCGCCGCCGCCGCCGGAGCGATTGACGATCGGTGGTTGCCCAGCGCGCTCGTGCTCTTCCGCAGTCCTGGGCGCTGGAGCGGGTCCGTCAGCGCAGTCTCTCTCGGCGTCGTCGGTTTCGTTGTGGAGTTGGTGGACGTCGACGATGATGAAGACGACAACGACGATGAAGACGATGATAACGACGACGTGGTCGTTGTTCGTTCCTCGCTCTGGCTCCGCCTTCGCTGCCCCGCGGCGGCGGCCTCTTCGTCCGCGGCCTCCGCCTGTTGCGCCGCATCGGGCCTGTATCGCGGGCTGTCCCGCGTGCCGATCACCAGCTCGCTGTTCCGCTTCGACTTGGCCGAACTGAGGTCCAGGTCGAGCTTTCGCTCCGTCACCCGCGGATTCTTGCCCTCGACCACCGAAAGAATTGAGAAATCGTCGTCGCCGTCGAAGCCATTATCACGAGCTTCCCCGACGTCGTCGCTGCTCTCGGCAGCGGCGGCCGCTTCCTCGTCGTCATCCTCCTCCTCTTCGTCGCCGTCGCCGATCGTGTGCCACTCGCGCCCGAGCTTGGCTTCGTTCTCCAGGAACTGCTCCTCGCGATACTGCATGTTGTTCTTGTGCACGAGCCCACCCGATGGATTTCGCGTGGCCTCTTCGTTCTTTCTTTCCCGATTCCTCTTGGCCTGACGTCGTTGAGCTCCGGTAAGTTGGTGCGTGTCATGCGCGTGCGGTGTGTGCGGCGTGTGCGGCGGTGCGTGTGCGTGTGCGGTGGTGCGTACCACGGCCATGAAGTTCTGGTGCGCCTCGGGAGTCCAGGTCTCGTCAACTTCGTCATCGTCTTCGACGTCCGGCTCAAAATATAATTTCATCTCGAATGCGTGGTTGAATCTGCACGCACGACACATACGCGATTAGCACCGCACCAAGTATGCGTATCGGGCGCCTGCAGAAGATGAAGATGGAGAAGAAGTACCGCTTGTCTTTGTAAGCCAAGTCGAGCTCCTCCTTCGTGAACACCAACACCTCACCGTCGACAAACGCGGTATGGAATTGCTGGAATTGTGTGAGGCATGCGTATGAGCGAATAGGCTCGTAATCTCGGGGGAGGGGGTAGTTTTAATTTGGTCGACGGGAGGGAGCTTGCGAGTACCGCACGAAGGACCGGTACGGTGGCCGTCATGGAGCCGCCGAACCGACTCGACAAGTGGTACAAGCGGATCAAAATATCGCCCTTCAGCTTGATCGGTACTCGGAACAGGAAGTCCACCTTGCCTTCGTAGGGCGCGTAGTGCCTGCGACACACACACACACACACACACAACCACACACACACACACACACAACCACACACACACACACACACACAACACACACACAACCACACACACACACAACCGCACACGGAGATAAGAATGCGGGCTTGCGCAGATGGCCATCATGAGAAGAGGGGGGAAGGCACCTGATGTCGATGTCGGGCACCGGGGCGTTGGTGTAGATCAACGTCTCCGGATATTGGGTGGTGTTGAAGATGTGCAGGACTGGCCGGATCCCGCTCAGGTGTGAAAATGAGGGTACCGGTCGCAGCACCAGTCGCTGGACGTGCGAGCGCGCGTACACGTCAGCGAAAACACGCGAGTGCCGAGCAGAGCAGAGTAGGTCAATGGGGAAAAAGAGGGATGCTCACCTTGAGCCTGCGCGTCTGGGGTCGCGGCACGAAGCCGTTGAGGACGTCACTGAAATAACTCACATACCGCTGCTGCGAGGGCTGCTCCACGCCGGCCTCGATCGCAGAGCTGCGAAGACGTCGAGAGTGAGCCACCGGTGCGTCCGCATGCGGTCAAGTCAAGCTACAAGCGCGCGTGCAGCGTCAAGCGCCGTCGGTACCGTTTTCGGCCGAAGAAGCGTATGGCTTTGAGAGGATCGTCGAACTCGCCGCAGTATAGTAGATAGGAACAGATCACCGTGCCTGTTCGTCCCTTGCCAGCCTGCGCGACGAATGCGTCCCACAGAAAATCACGCCAATTAAAGCCTGCGTGTGCGGTGGTGCGGTGGTATGCATGTGCGTGTGCGGTGGTGCGTGTGCGTGTGCGGCGGTGCGCAAGCATACCATGCAGTGGACTACGGCAATGTTCTTCTTGTCGGCCTTGAGCCACCTGCAGTGTTGTAACGTGACAGTGAGCGAGTGTTGCTGTGAGCGTTGCTTCAGCCCAGAGGCGAGCTTGACGTACGAGTCCATGCCAGAGACGATCTTGAAGAGGAGGGACAGGGCGGGAGCGTGGTGGTCGGGCCAGCCCAGGGGTTGGATCATGTCATGGAAGAGACCGTAGTCGTAGGGACGTTGGCTCAAGTTCCAAATCATGTAGTGCATGAAATGTCGTGCTGCATCAGAATCATAATGGAAATGGAAGAAGGGCATCAGCAAGCACGCATTCACATGCGGAGGCAATTGCAATGATTTACCGTTGAGCATTTCGGCGACGTGCCCGATGTCGTTGCGATAGGCAGACTCCACGCCACTGGCAGGGAATCCCATCGCAATGACATTGTCCCTAATGTACGTAAGATCCTGCAAGATACAAGAAGGGGGCATTTAATCAAATTATTAAAAATTGAATTTGTAAAATCGTTGCAGCAGCCGAGTCTTCTATGGTACCAGATCGTACTGGCCATCCCTGAATCTGATTTTGTCTTTCGAGACGGCAGAACGCACGTACGACAAAAGATCCATCCCTCCACAGCAAGGCCCCTCGGATTGATTATTTTATTTTTGTTGTTTTGATTCAATTTTCCGTGCTGGCGGCCCCGAACTTGACTTCAGCTGTTCTTCGCCCTTTTCAACCGAAACTTCTGTCCTTGTCGCACCAGCAACGAGCCACGAAGAACGCAGAACACACAACTTGGTGTCTATGACAAAAAATAATAATAAGTGTTGTGTGTTGTGTTGTGTTGCTCACGTGTTGTATGTAGGGCTGGTGGGGAGCGGCCGTGCGAACTGCGCGGCTGCGCGCGCCTCCCGCGGCCGAACGGGCACTGGCGGCGCGGCGTACTTGGCACCACTCCCGGACAATGCCAGTGGCGGCGGCGGCGTTCGAGGCGAGAGGAGGGTTGACGATGTGTAGGACGTCGTTGACGACGCCAGCGACGACGGCGAGGCTGGTGGCCGTGGCGACCGCGGCGAAGGCAGCGCGGCGGACTTGGACAGCGCGGGCGTGGGCACGGGAGGCGGGCGGGAGGGCAGGTGCATCATCGGCGGGGCCACGCGTCTCCGGTTCGGGGTGACCTGGAGCGAGTACCGACTCGGGTGCACGGGCATGGGCTGCGGCGGTAGTTGAGGCGGTTGCTGCGAGAGTAGCGGCGCGTCAGAGGGCACCGGGGGCAGTGCCTTCTTGTCGCGGAAGACGTAGACGGGCAGAGCTGAGGACGATACTGAGAGGCGCTGGTCGTTGTTGTTGCTGCTGCTGAGGCCGTTGGGGCGTGTGGGCAGCGGGGGCATCGGCTTTGTCTGAGCTCGCGTCGGCGCCGGCGCCACAGCGGGTACCATCGGACAGTCCAAGGACCTCTGCAGCTCTGTGCGTGTGATATCACCGGAGCTCTTGGCTGTAGTAAAGAGACCCGTGAGTGAGTACCACCCAAGGCAAGGCCACCACGTTCACGGGACGCGCAGGGGCACATGCTATGTACATACGTATGCAGACGTTCGGCGCTCTCTGGATGGATAGCGTATATGGACAGACACGGAGCTGTCGTATGGAGAAGAGAGAAGATATGGTGCGGTGGAGTGTGTGCGTGTGCGGTGGACAAGGTGGTGCATGTAGCCATGGCAGGCAGGTGTGGCGATTTGGTTTATTGCCGTGTGTGTGCTGGCCTCGTTGGGTGTGTGGGCTATATCGATACATAAAACGCACCACGCCACTGCGGTCTATCTAGAAAACGGAGTGGGGGAATGCGCGCGCGCAGGTTGCGTGGTGTTGTGCAGTTGTGGTGTATGCTACAATTCGGTGGCTTGATGAGCAGAAGGAGGAAGAGGAAGAGAGATAGATATGTAAGCGGGCACGAACGCACAGGTAATGGATACACCACGGCGATATGGAGAGCAACATATCGCAGCAAAGGAGAGGGGGTGGTGGTACTGTCTATGGCGTCCTTGTCGATGATTCCCGACCCACGGTTAGGCACAAGCTATCGACCACCCACCAACCCGGGTGAGCCGAAGCGAGCAGAATAGGAAGAGGGGGGAAGCGACTGGCATACCCCCATCTCAAGTCGCGGCGACAGGACGTCGGTCTGCTGCTGCCCATTCATCTTGTCGCGGAGCGTTTTCCTGTGAAACCCAACCCAATCGCGAGGCGTGAGTGAGCTGTCGCTGTGTGTTGTGTGTGTGTGTGTGTGAACCTCTTGGAAGGTTGGCCGGAGAGATCGGCAAAGCAGTCATCGCAGACACGCTCCTTGCCGATGTTGGGCAGCTCATATCTGTGCTCGGTGCACTTCCCGCAAGCCAGGCGGCCACACTTACGGCAGTGATGCTGCACCGCGCCATCCGCGAATATAGACTCGTCAGCAAATACGCTTCGGTACACGCGTGCAGCGAAGGTTCGCACGCGGAACGCACCTTCCTCCTGAGCGTGGTGAAGTGGATTTGGCACAGCGTGCACGTGTTGCTCTCTTCGTCGTTCTGCCAAATGGGCGCCTCGTATTCCTCGTATCCCTCTCCGCCGGTGGTGTGTGGGTTCTGCTTCAAACTCTCCTTTGCTGCAAAACAAAAGTAAACTTTGTGTGAACACACAGTATGCTTGCAAGCAACCATCACACGGCGTGTGCAAAAATGGGGGACAGTGCAGGGGCGCGCACCAGCTTCGATCTTGGCCGTCCAGCTCAACTTCTCCTCGGGCGTATCGGCCCATACCAAAAATGATTTCTCTGGTTGGTGGTCTGTGGGTGAGCGAAGAGTGGAAAGTAAAGTAAAAGATAGAGGAGGTAGGCAGCAATGGTGCTCACCTTTGCTGATGATCTTGAACCCGTTTTTGACCTTGTCGCTGTCGTCGACGGGGATGATGCGGCCTGCCAGCAGCGAGATGGTGCGGTGGATGATGTACGTCCTGTTCAGCGGATTCGCCACTCCGTACAGCAGCAGATCGTTGAACAGGAAAAAGTAACGCTGAAGAAGAGATAAAAACAAGTCAGCCGACAGCGACAGTACAACACACGACACACGACACACAAGGAAGCAAGGTGTACCTTCTTGGGGACCTTGCGGCAGAGCTTGGTCAACTCGCCCTCGTGAATCAGCACTCGGCCGGCCTGTGTCATATTTTTCTGGTTCACGGCAACGCTTTAGGTGAGCCACGCGATATCACCACATAGAGATGAGATACGCCGACTGGCGGATGACGTACTGGGTACTTGCCCATGAGGCGCTTTTCCAACTCGGCCAGCTGCTCCAGGTTCTGCTTCTTGCGCACGCTCTCGTTCACCAGCAACGCGACTTCGCTCACCTGATGAGTGCGTCCACAGTCAGCACACAGCACACAGCACGCACAGCACGCCACTGACGCTTATCGTGATGGACACAAGTGAGGCGAGGCGCACCCTCTCAAGAGCGTTTGTAAGGGCCTTGTAGTCGTGGTGCGTCTCTGGTGTGAACTTGACCACTTGCTGTAGGCCATCATTGTTCATGTCAGTGCTAATGACATTTGCATGGCACAGAGCAGGTACGGCGATGCGAACCTCGAGAAGCATCTTGTATCGGGGGATGCGCTGGATGGGCATGATGAGCAGCGAGGGCAGATCCAAAATATTGTTCGTGTCTTTTTGTTTCTGCAGGGGGGGAGAGCGTGGTGTGAGAAGGGATGGGCGGCGCTGATGGTGCCGCACGACCAGTCAATGGAACGTACGTTCAGGAATTCGGCAAATGATGACTTCTCCGAGAGTTTGAGCACGAGGGCCGTCACGTTGTGGAAGTTGGAACAGTACTCGCTGTACAGGCGCAGCCATGGAATCTGAACGGCGGCGCGCACAAGTGCCTCCACAGTCAGCACACAGCCGATAACGCGTAATGCTTGGGAGCAATGAGAGAAGAGAAAAGGAGGGGACATGCCAGCTTGTTCATGGCATCGCCCAGCACGGAATCCTCGTTCCATGTCGCAATCCTCTTCTCCAACGTCTCTAGCAACTCCCTACGAGGTGCGAAACGGGGCCATGCGGTGAGAAGAAGCGAGTGGAGAGCATTGAAGAGAGAAAGCCGTTACCTGTTGATGATGAGGATGTGCTCGACGTTGCCAAAAATGAAGGCCACCTTGGGCTTGGGCACGATGTTCTGCTGTCGCATGGGCTTGAGGTAATACTGTTCGCGCGTAATTAAATGGTAATTAATTTTTTTATATTATAAATAAATGGGGATCAGGCGGTACAACATGTGGGTTGAAGAGGGGCACCTACCTTGACGAGAAGATCCAAGCTTGCGACGTAGCTCTTCTCTGTGTCGTAAATCTCGCGCACGACGCGGTCTCTCCTCTCAGAGTCGGTGGTGAGGGCTGGTAAAAATAATAATACTCATCCATTACATGATTACCGCTTCTCATGGGTGATGGGTGGCTGATTGGCAAGGTAGAACGCACCCTTTTCCTTGGGAGGAGACATGCCTTCACCATCACCGGAACGCGGTGGCGGTGTAGCAATGAATGACATCTTCCAAAATTTGTAATCGGTCTGAGCGATTGCACGGGCAAAAACTATCTAACACGGCCTCCCTCGGTAGGCAGAATCCAAAGATGCGCCCGCGTGCTTCCTCTTCACTTCAGTTTTGCTTTTTTGAACTTCGAATTTGCTGGGGCCGTTCTTATTGCCTACGGCACGCGCGACGTAGAAGCTTGAGCGCACAAGGAGTGGACTGGTGGCCGCTGCTTGCTCTGTTTCTCGCGGCACTGCTTGCCTAGGTGACGAGGCCCTTACCGCCTTCGTCATCTACCACCACGTTCCTACGCCCTTCCTCCAGCTTTAGTTTGGCTGGGGTTGTATGTAGCAACTGGCTGGGACGGATGGCTCTGCCGGCTTCAACGAACAGCGCCACTGAAGAAGCCGGAGAGGCCCGGTCGGGCCGCCACGATCACCCTAATAAACGGGCACAAGCGGTCTGCGCTGTGTGGGACACGTGTGATAGCCACAACACCCTAACTAAAGATGGAGGAGGACGTGGTGGAGGGTGTGGACTGGTGGCCGCTGCTGGCCTTGTTTCTGGCGGCACTGCTGGCCTCGGTGACGTCGGCCCTCACCGCCTTCGGACTGGCCATCATCTTTCACGTGGTGCTGCAAGCCCTCTTCATCTTCGGCCTCCTCCAAGTCGAGCTCACGGATGTGGTAGTCTACATCCTCATGATGGGTCCCTTCACTCTCTGGCCCATCTTCATCCTCTACTGGAAGGAGATCGATTGGCGCCTCTTCGGTCTCATCTTCCCTCCCAAGGTGCTGCTCACCTTGGCAGGCACCTACCTCCTCGTCTCTTTCGATTCATCGACGCTCAAGAAGATTCTGGGGGCGATCCTGCTCGTGTTCTCGATTTGGAAGTGCTACGTCGAATTCAAGGGGCCGTTGGGCGCATTCTTCACCTCCATCCGAGAACGTGGACTGCAGCGAGACCGGACACGAAGCGATTTCTCAAATCTGGGCGAAGATGCAGCCACCAACCTCGGTGATTCATCCAATCTGGCCGATTGGGATGAAGAATTAGATCTGAAAAAGCCGCTACTCGAATCCGTCGCTGTCGACGACTGCGAAGAGGAACTGACCACTCCCAAGAGGCCGCCCTTCTCCTACCCCATGATCGCCCTGATCGTAGCGTGCGCCATCGGGTCGGGCCTCATGGGCGGCATGTTCGGCGTGAGCGGGCCGCCGCTCATGATCATCATCACCTTTGCGCCCCTCGAAAAGGGACCCCTGTACGCGTGCCTCCCTCACCTTTGTGCCTTCATGTGAGGCTTGACCAAGGTGTTCAACACCTACCATCGTCTCACCCACCTACCCACCCGTCATGACCCACAGGCGATCGACCTTCATCGGCATCTTCGCCCTGACCAACATCCCACAGTCCTACTTCCTCTATCGGTGTGTGAGCCCTCGCCCCTCTGCGCACAATCGCGGTAGATACGAGTAGATCGCTCACGATGATGCGTGATGGGCAGGGAGGGACTGTTCTCCTGGGATGCTGCTCCATCCTATGCCGCGGTGGCCACCGGCGGGCTATTGGGGACCGTGGTGGGCAATGCCCTCTACAAATACATGTCCACTCAGGCACGCTTCCTCTCTGTGTGTCGTGTCGTGTCGTGTTGTGTGTGTGTGTGTGTGTCGTGTGTGTGTCGTGTGTCGTGTGTGTGTCGTGTGCTTGGAGGCTCACATGTGATGTAATTCTTGCAGATGCTGATGCGCGGAATCCTGTTCCTGCTCATCTGCTCGTGTCTCACGCTGCTGGACCTGCCCAACTGGGCGCTCATCACCTTCTGCGCCGCTTTCGTCATCGGCACGATCGGCTTTTTTGCCGCCAACGCCTTGCTCGGTGGCCACAATCGCAACGGCGAGACACCATCGTCACCATCACTATCTCCGCCCGCGCCGCCACCAGCAACGCCGCGCAAGACCACCTACTCCACAATCTCGTAGAGACTCACGTGTACAGGAGACGACGAGTTGAATGAAGAAAAGAAGTGGTTTTAATAAGAAATGTAGAAGAGAGTGATGTTATCAACATCATCGTTTACGTGTAGAAAGGAGGAGAGGAGGATGAGACCGTTGTTCGCTCACAAGAGGTCAGCGCCGGTGGGAGCCGCCGCAGAGTCCTGGTGGTAGCCCATCGCACACACGCCCGCCGCATAGCCATCGGCCGCCGCCGGCATCTCCTGTGCCTTGGCGTAGGGGCACTCCCCGTTCTCTTCCACCGGCACCGCGTGCGGCTGGTTCATCATTCCGCCGCTGGCGGCGTCGTAGCCCATCGGGCACCTGCCTCCGGTCCTGGTGGCGAACCCGCCCGCGCTCATCAGCCCGATCGGCAGCGGCTCCCCACCCATCGTCGTGGAGGCGGAGGTGACTGGCGAGGCGGCTGCCAACGATGATGACGAAGCTGATGAGGCGGTGCGCGGCTGGAGGACTTCGATCTTGACACCGTCGGCGGGCGTCGGCGGCAGATCGGTGATGGCGAAGCTGGTCTTTTGCTCGGGCGTCCAGCGCCAGGTGAAGTCGTGCGCCAGCCGCGCGGCCAGGGACTTCATCATGAGCGTCGTGAGGGTCTCGCCGGCGCACTTGTGGTTGGTGTAGAGATCAGAGCCGCTCTGCTGGAGCACCGTGAAGCGCTCGTCGACCCGCCTGTGCTCGCCTCGCTCGAACCTCTCCGGCGCAAACGTGTCTGAACAACGTAGTGGGAACACCAATCAGTCACTGGCTGTGTGTCTTGTCGTGTCGTGTCGTTGGTCGTGTCACGTGCGTGTCGTGTCGTGTCATGAGCGGGGGAGCCGTACCAGGTTCGGAATAGACGCGCGGGTCGCGGTGGACGCCGTGAATGCCCAGAATGACGCTCCACCCTTGCGGGAAGATGAGGCCGTTGTACTCGAAGGTCTGCTTGACGCGCGCCATCATGAGCGGCACGCACGGATAGAACCGTCGCACCTCGTTTGCGATCGCCTCCCCGTAGGCCAGCCGGTCGAGCCACTCCTTGTTGGCGTAGTAGTTGTCTTCAGCCGGCATCTCGCGCAGCAGCCCGTCCACGTCGGCGCGCAGGCGGTCGAGCACGTGCGGGTGGTCATGGAAGGCGGCCAGCATCCACGTGGTCAGGTAGGCCGCGATCACCGTCGGCCGGATGTGGTTGAGCACCTCGGCGGCGGCCACCTGCTCGGGGATGAGCTCGCCGTGTTCGTCCTTGGTGGTGGCCACGGCGGCCAGGATGGTGCCCTCCTTCCTGAGGCCCTGGCGCTGCTCGCGCACCAGCTCGAGCACCCACGACTCGAGGCTCCGGCGCGCCTTGTTGACCTTGTTGATGCGCGACCCGGGCACCAGCTTGAGGTGCGGCACGGCCCCGAACGACTCGATCATGTGGACGATCTCGCGCCGGCGCTGGTCGACGGCTTCGTGCGTGGGGTCGAATATGCCCAGGATGTAGGCCATGGCGAACTCGGTGTGGAGGTTGAACAGCTCGTCGCTCAGGGCCAGCGGGCTGCCGGTCGAGCTGGTGGCGGTCCAGCGGAGGAGGTACTTGTCGAGGGTGCGCGCCCAGATGGCGGTGTAGCAGGCCAGGTGGTCGGGCGTGAAGTTGGCCATCACCTGGGCCTTGCGCGTGAGGTGGGCCTCGCCGTCGAGGCCAGAGGTCGTGTCTCGGCCGAAGAAGTACTTGGTCAAGTGCGGCGCTGCAATCAAAAATAGGGCGATGAGAACGTGGAGATGATGAAGATGATGATGATGAAGTTGATCAAGTGCCATAAGGTGGCTAGGTACCGTTGGCGTTCTTGCGGATGCAGCAGTTGGGGTCGAAGAAGAGCTTGGCCTCCTCGGCGCCCGCGATCGCAATGCACGGCTCGGCAAACAGGTGTGTGATGAAGATCGGCGACTTGTACCTGCACACATCATGGCCATCATCACCACCATCATCATCACCATGTCCATCGTCAGTAACTCTTCAACAAACAAGAAGAAAGAAATGGAAAATGTGATGACGAAGAAGAAGAGGAGTGGGGGGCGTACTTCTCGGCGCGGCGGCGGAAGAACTCGTAACCGTCCTTGTGGAGGAAGGACGGGTTCTCGCCGAGGAAGGTGCCCGGCGGCAGGTGGGCGTCGGGCGAGAGCGTGGCGCGCTGCGAGGGGTCCTTGGACGAGGCGGCCTGCTTCTTGACGCGCTTCTCGGCGAGCTTGCGGGAGTAGAAGGTCGGGTTGAGCATATTCTTTATGTTGAGCGGCTCTCTCGGCGGATTGGTGGGCAGCATTTTGTTTGTGTGGTATGTGAAGTGATGATGTCTGATGAAAGGGGGTGGGTTGATCAAAAGGTGAGAGTTGGGGTTTGATCAAAAGGTGAGAGTTGAACAGATGGTCTTGGTTTGGTGATGTGCTGATATGAGTGGAATAATAAAGAACAAGTGCTCCTTGCAAGAGCACTTTTAAAGGCCCTTTTGGTAGGAGTTGGTGGTGGCGACGATTGCACAGCATCAACTCCAGCACTATTTCTGGGCAAAGTTCGGCTTAATTTCAATCTCCCAGCCCAAGCCAGAGAATAGAGTGATGATTCCATGGACGCCTCGTTGGGAATCTGATCTGGAACTCGTCAAACAGAAATCTGGGCTTTTCTATTGCCTTGGCAATATATCAGGCCAGGCCAATGCCAGTGAGAACTTCGGTGTTTCTTGACGTTGATCTGCAACAAACATGAAATTCAAGAGGGATTTGGGTTACGACCACGTCAAGATGCATCAACAAGGTCAACAAGGCGCTCCGGAGCCTCGAGTCGTGGGTGCTCGAGCTGGTGCGCGAGCAGCGCCGGGGCCGCAGGAAGGACGGCACCATCCTTGCCGCCGTGGCCACCACCAAGGACGAGCACGGCGAGCTCATCCCCGAGCCGACATGTCCGTCTCTTCGCATAGCTGAGCAACATATCGATGCGCATTTATTGAAAAGATAAAAAAAGTGGAGGTGTTGGAGTCGATACGCAGCTTCCCGAGAGGACCCACTCAGGGCTGTGATCCCTCCACCAAGGGGACCGGCGTCTTTTCCCTGCTCTGTCAACCAGCCTGAGGCGGTGCGACGCTCATCATCGACCTTGAAGCCCTCCCCTCCGAGAGGGCCACAATGTCGAGTCTCCTTCTGGAATGGGGCAGCGGCCTTCGGCGTGGGCCTAAACCCTCGCTCGTCTACGCACGCCACCAATCCCTCCACCCACATGCCCCGCAAGCACGGTTACAGCCCGCTGCTTAGGCGGGCCGGCGAAATTGACACTGCGCTGGTGGCCCTCTTGACGGCCGGCCTGGGCCATATGGGTGGCCATTATGGGACTTAGTTGACGTGGCCGCAGTCAACGCAAGTCAAAACAGGGTCAAAATCGGTCAAATCGTTTAGATTTTATTGGTTGAGCGGGGTAGAGGGTGCGGCGAGGCCGTAGCCAAAGGGGCACGCGGCGCCGGGTGGTGCGAGGAGGCCGCCGTCTGTCTGCGCGCGCCGCAGCCTCCTCTTCATCGCGGCGGCCGAGTCCGGCCCCTCGGTGTCGCCCACCTCCGTCGTCGGCAGCCCGCCCTCGCTGTTGCTGTTGTTGATGCCGTTCAGGTCGTCCGTCGTGGCCTTGTGGCCGGCGGTGCTCTCGTTCTGGCCCACAGCGCTGGACGGCGGCGCGCCCACATCGGCACCGGCCACCACCACCATCGGCGGCTGCGCCAGGTCGACACCTATGTCGGGTCCTGTGGCCTCGGTCTTGGTGAAGCTGTCGACCAGCATGCCATCCAGCGGGGTCGGCGGGGTGTTGAGGAGCGAATAGGAGAGGATCTGGGGCGTGGTCCAGTGCCAGGTGCAGTCCTTGGCCAGACGCGCAGCCAAGGACTTGAGAAGCAGCGTCGACAGCTGCTCGCCCGGGCAGCGATGGCTAGTTTTCGCATCGTCGCCGCCACCTGGTGGACAAAGGACGAACGGTGAACCCATGGAGTACTGTGTGTGAAAGGGGGTTTGGATTTGATAGGTGGGGGGGACAGCGCACCATGAAGTACGGATGTGTAGCGTTCGTCGACAGCCTTGTGCTCCTCTGCCTCGAATCTTGCAGGACAGAAGGAGCCTTCCGCCAAAGGAAACCAACAACAGTAAAGAGTGTGTGAGTGCGTGCGTGCGTGTGTGGTGTGCGTGTGTGTGTGCGTGTGGTGTGTGCGTTTGGGTGCAATCGTGCATTGTGTGCGTCGCGTAGGTGAACTGCGCGGGATATATGGAGCGCACTTGGGTCGCGGTAGACGCGGCCGTCGAGATGAATCGCAGGAATGCCCAGGAGCACGAGCCAGCCCTTCGGGAACAGATGGCCGGAGTAGGCGAACGATTTCTTGACCCTGGCCGGGATGAAGGGCACCATCGGATAGTACCGCTTCACCTCGCGCACCACGCACTCTGTGTAGTCGAGCCGCTCGAGGAAGCTCTTGCGCCCGTAGTAGTTCGGCTCCGAGTGCGACCTGAGCGGTGCGAGCAGTAGAAAGTTGCCCGGTCATGTTCTACGTGAGTTTCTCACAGATGGCGCCAAAGAAGAGTGTGCACAGTGTGGCGGACCTGTGCACGAACTCGACCTCGGCCTGGAGGCTGTTGTAAACGTGCGGGTTCTCGTGGAATGCGTGGATCAGCCACACGCCGACGAAGGCTATAGGCCACAGAATGTAAGAATGCAACTCTGCAGTCACCAAGCAAACACGCGCACGCACATCAACGATTGCGTACCATTGCCCATTGTGTGGATGAGCATGTTGGTCAGCTCGGAGGCCACCACCTCTTCTGGAAGCAGCTCGCCTGTTTCCGGGTCCTTCACGTGCGCCATCGTTCGCACCACCGCCAGCTCGGCCACGTCCACCTCGGCTGGTTCGGCCACAGCCTTCTTCTTTTCGTCATCGCCCAGCCCTGCGTTGCTGCTGCTGCCGCCGTGTGTTTGTCGCTCCCGGCGGACCTGCTCGAGCGCGCAACGCTCCAGGCCGCGCCTGGCCTTGTTGGACCGCCACAAGCCCATGCCGGGCACGTTGAGCGGCATGCCCTCGGAGCTCTTGACGGCCCGGACCATGCGGCGGCTGAGCTTGGCAAGCTGGCGCGGCGCGACGTCGACTGCGCCGAGCACGGAGGCCAGCGCGAACTCAGCGTGGAGGCGGATCAGCTGCGGGGCGAAGCTGAAGTGCTCCAGCGCGGCCCACCTGTTGACGTAGGCGTCGAGCAGGCGACCCCATAGGCGCACGAAGCCGTCCAGGCGCTGATCGGTGAAGCAGGACATGATGGCGGCCTTGCGCTGGAGGTGCTCGGGGCCGTCCATGGACATCACCGTGGCCGTTCCTTGCATCGCCTTACGCAAGTAGCGCGCTGTTGGTAGGTCAACGATGGCGCCGAGTGAGTACGGAATGAGGTAAACACCCAGAGTTACGAGATATGTACGGAATGCGTCGGCTCTGGTGATGTGGTCGCTGTCGTAGAAGAGGCGCGCCTCGTCGGTCCCGGCAATCACGATACACGGCTCTCCGTAGAGGTGGGACGAAAAGATGTGCGACAGGTACCTGCTGCGCGTGTTAACAACAGTACTGAGCAAACTCGACACGGTGTGGTGTAACGAACCGTTGCACTCGATTGAGGGAGAACTGGTAGCCCTCGCGGTGGCGAAGGGCCAAGTTCTCGCCGATGAAGGTGCCCGGCGGAAGACTGGGCTTGCGGGTGTCCAGGGGGCAGGCCGACGCCAAGTCTGTGGTTGTTGTCTCCTGGGCGACAGCCTGGAATTCCTCGGCTGGTGGAGCGGACGGAGCGGTTTCGATTGACGAAGAGGACTGTGATGAAGGTGAGGTTGTGGCGGTTGGGGTCGGGAGAAGAGGCGGAGGGATGGCTATGTGGTCGAAGTCGGCGTAGAGGTGTGTGGCCCGCTTGTTGGCCCATCTTCTTGAGTAATAGGTCGGGGCGAAAACCTTCATTCTTTGTTCTTCTTCTCCTCCTTCGTGCGCTAGGGAGGAAGTACAGTTCTTCTTGGCCTGGAGGAACCCAGCCAACAGTAATTTGGCCGCGAGGCAGAACTGATCGTTCGAAATTCGGGTAAAATTTCCGTTCTTTATCCCGCGAAATCCCTCGGTGTTCTCTGACGTCAGCAGAGCAGTGAGATTTCCTTTTTTGTGTTTAGCAGTTCTTCCTTTTCCAAAGGACATGAAGAACGATTAGAGCAGAGCTAGATGAGAGCGGCGCACAGGTCGTTGATTTACCTGCTGGTCGTAGCGTCTGTGACGTTACACCTCTGGGAAAGCGGCCAGCGCATCGCAAACCTCTCACCCACATCATCCTGTCCATCTGCACCTTCCCTGCCTTTCAACCCTCCCCCTCCCCCACGACCATCCTTCGTCGCCAGTCCTCTGCGGATCGGCTGGGACCACCTGAGCGCCTCCAAATCTGTCGGCGTCTTCTCTGTCATGCAGGACCACCGCGCCTACCCCGCCCACCTGCCCGCCGAGCTGCTCAACGTCACCTTCAACGAGCTCAGGCCCGACCCGCGGCTGCGCATCTTCCAGTTCCACATGGGGATCGGGAGGGACTTTGCAGTGAACCAAGACACGCACATCTTCGATACGGTGGAGCTGAGCTATGACGACGACCGAGGTGGTGATGGTGGAGGCGGCGGCGGCGATGCCCTGCCGGAGCCGACCAGGGTGAAGCTCGCGGCACAGAGTTGCATCGGGCTGATGCCCAGCGGCACGCCGGGGCGCGTGAAGCGCAACAAGGCCGCAAAGTTTGGCGACTACGTCGGCCGGTGCGCGTTCCTTATGGACGACGCGCTGGCGTTGCGGCTGAGCGACCGCAGGCATCGCGCCAACGCCTCGTTCGAAGTCCATGCGTGCAACGACGTCGCCCGCTTCCCGCTGGCCGAGGTGCTCCACTTCCCGGAGGCGGCGCCCATCACCGAGCGCGGCCTGCTGCCACGACCGTCCCACGGCTTTCCCTCGGCCCCGTGGTTCGTGGCCGGTTGTCCCCAGCAGGAGCTGCCGGTCGTGCGCGCCCGCGGCCACGACGCCACGCTGCGGGTGGGGGCTGTGGTCTTCAAGAAGTACACATGGGCCAGCGACGACAACCTGTGGCTCCTCTGGATGCTCGACGTGGTGGGCGTGGATCACGTGGTGATGAACATCGTCACGGGCGACCTCAAGATGTCGATGGTGCGGGAGAGCATAGCCCAACACAAGGGCCTTGCCGAGCGCGTGACGCTGGTCGACCTCGCCTTCCCGCGGCGTAAGACCAACCACTCCCAGTCCTTCCTCCTGCAGGCCCAGGCCCACGAGCTCTTCCTCCGCTGGCAGGCCGACTTCGACTACATCTTCTTGCTCGACCCCGACGAGTTCCCGCAGCTCTTCAACGCCACCGCCACCGACACCACCACAGCGCAGCCGCGGATCGACATCAAGACCTTCATCAGTCTCAACAGGGAGCAGATCAAGGAGCAGGGCCATGCCTACTTCACCCGCCCGTTCGTCCTGCGCTCGGCGCCCAACTCGGAGGCGGACCCGCTGCTGGCGGCCTTACTGAGCGAGCTGGCCCCGCTCGACGGCCTCGCGACCAGCGCCGTGTGGGCGGACAAGATCCGGCCCGCAGAGGAGCTGGGCAAGGCCCTCTTCCCGGTCGCGGCCGCCCTGCGGCCCTACCTGCACTACAACGACTACTGGCCGGGGAGGAGCATGTACGATTGGCGGACGGGCCACGTGCTCCACGTGCGCGAGCCGCTCAAAAACACCCCCGCGCCGTCGGCGCCGGGCGTCCAGTGGTTCCTGGACGAGTTCGCCCGGGGGGAGAAGCAGAACGTTTGACGCTCAAACACCGAACGAAACCACCATACCATGACCTACGAACCCTTTCATTCGAAGTGGCGAGGTGGTGGGTGGTAGTGGTGGTGTGGTTGGGGCACCTAGTCCTCATTACGGGCGAGAGAGGAGGGCGGTGACTTCCTCCGGCCGGCGTGGGGTTTAGGCGCACCGCCGAAGCTCTTCCTGCCTGTGGCCGACGGCGACTTCACCCGCGTGTCCTTGTAGTAGTTCTTCGCGGAGACTCGATCTTTGGGTTCCCGGCCGGGTCGGCTTCGCCTTTGCGCCTTCTCGCCGCCGCCGGCGCCTCCGCTTCGTTCTTCCCTCCATCGCCGCCTTCTTTCTTGCCTCGCGCTCTCTTCACCTCCCTCTGGCCGTCGTGGTCCTTCTTCTCTAGCCCTCTCCCTGCTGCCGCTTCTTCCCTCCGCATAGGGGCCGGGCCGGGCCGGCTTGCCAAAGGCCGACGACGACCTCCTCGTTGTTGCCTTGGGGTGCTTGCTGACACTGGCGGCCTCGATGTCGTTGTTGATGTCATCTTCATCATCTTCGTCACCGCCCTCGACCGCGCTCGCTCGCCTTTTGCCCTTCGTGGCATAGTCGGCTGTGGCGGTGGGCAGCCACTCGGCGAGGTCGCGCTCGACCCGCGTCCACTCCTGGTAGCGCTTGTTCTTGATGAAGATGGTCTTGGCCTCCTCCACCATCGAGTCCGTCAGTCGCACGCGTCGGTCCTTTGCCAGGTCCATCACTTTCTTCACCTCCTGTGGCCGTCACGTCGCATGTCAAAACAAACATCGTTGCCTTAGACAATCACATGTGTTTGCTTGTAGCGTACCTCTACGTCATTACTCTCTCTGCACGTCACAAGCAGCGCGCCGATGGTCTTCTTGGAGATCCGCACCTGGCCCTGCAGAATGTGGTACCGTCAGTAAAAATAAGTAAACATTAAAAAAATAAAAAAATAGGGGAATATACCTTGGACTGCATGTCGGCAAAGGTGCTCGTCGCCTTTTCCTTGGCGCCCGCTCGAGTGTAGGCCGAAATGAGGAGCGCGTAGGTCTCCTCGTCGTAGGGCAAGTGCTTGCGGAACATCACCTTCGTGATCTGTTTCCAACACACCACGCACGCACACGCACACGCACCAACCGCACACGCACACGACGCACAGTGTACGCTGCAGGTCACTCGCGGTTGCAAGGGGGGAGAAGAGCTAATGATAGTAATACCTTGGAGATGACGTCGAGGAGGTATTGATTGGCTTCCGCGCTTCCGCTCTTGCGGCCCGGCCCCCTCTTGCCTTCATTCCTGGTGCATACCCTCAACGCCGAGTTGCACAGATGCGTGTCTAGCTCCACCTGGACCCACGTTGCATGTGAGTAGAAAAAAAAATCGCTGTCGTGGTACGGCACGAGAGAAGGGTGCGCTTCACACCAGCTTTCCCTTGTTGTCGGCGTTGAGCTGCACGGCCTTGTCAAAGAGCTCGTTGGCAAGTTCAAACTTGCGTTGCTTCCAGCACGTCATGAGCAGAATGTCGAACGTGTGGTGGTCGGGCGTGACCCCTTCGACCAGCATCTCCTTGTACAACTATGACGACCGAGTTGGCGTGTCAGGCGTCGGTCTAGCGAAACGAGAGACACTCACTCTCTTCTAATGTCGTACCTCAAAGGCGATGTCGCGGTCCTCGGACGATCCCTCATTGCAGATCTTGAGCAGTTCGTTGTATCCGCGCAGGTTGGGATGGACGCGGTTCTTCTTCATCTCGTCCCACACCTCGAACGCGGCGGCCACGTCGACCGTCGCCTTCGGATTGTCTGGTGTATAACCATCAGTACAGAATCTGTGCACACTGTGCGGCGTCGTGGGGGGTGGGCGGTACTTACTGGCAATGCCTCGTGCGGCGGTGGCCATCCACAGGGTGTAAGTGATGGCGTCGGGCTTGAGCCTGTACTCCTGCATCTCGGCGATCACGCTCTTGAGCTCCTGGTGGCTCTTCTCCGGGTCCAGAGCGAGGTAGGCCTTCAGCAGCACGTTGTAGATTTCCACCGACGGCACCACTCCGTACCTGGTGAGCGTGATGGTGGTTGGCGGTCAACAACTACTCTGGAACGTTCTACTCTTCTTTCAAATCCATCTACACGGCGTTGAAAGAAGAGGGAGGAAGAAGGAGAGGAAGAACATACTTGGGCATCTCCTGGTCCTTGAGTTGCTTGAGCTTGGGCAGGTAGGAGGGCGAAGGCTGGGCCAGGTTGGCGTAGGCGTTGAAGAGGATGGAGAACGTGTGGGCTGATGGCCGTACCCGCCACTCCTTCATGCGCGCGTAGAGACTCAGCGCCCGACGTAGATGCCCGCGCTGGGCGTAGGCGTTCATGAGCGTGTGGCAACTGGCCTCGTCCAATCTCGAGCCGGTTCGAGCACGTAGCTCGCTCCATGTGTGCTCGGCCTCGTTGAGATCGCCCGATCGCACAGCATCGGCCAATTCGCCTCGCAATGCACGCTGGGTGCGCTGGCGAGCACCCTCGATCACCTTCTGCCCACCGCGCTGCAGTTTGCCTTCCACCTTCGTGAGCCATGCGAGCGTGGGCGAAGGCGGAGGCGGAGATGGTGGCGGGGAGGGAAGGGGCGATTGAGGTGTTGTCGATGGCGCGGCGGTTGCCTCCAGTCTGAACTTCAGCTGGCCCTTCGATTTGGCATAGGCGAATGAACGATTTGGAATTAGAGGAATGAACCTCGCTGCGGGTCGCGCAGAGATGAGGGTCCCGGCAGCAACCAGATCAAGCTGCCTGCAAGCAGGCCACGGCGTTCGGTTCAGCACAGACGGTGCCGTAGCCGTGATAGATCGGCATCTCATCCATCTTTGCGCCATCTGGGAAAATTGTTTTGCAATCTCGATTCGAAATTTTATGTTGAAAAAGAGAGATGCGTTACACGGTCGACTGATCGTCACGGCCCTTGGCTGAGATGCGGTCCCAGCCCTTGAAGAGGATGTGCGGGTGGCGCTGCTCGAGGTCGTCGACGAGGGCCTTGGTGAAGCGACGGCAGCCGCCGATGTGCAGCGTGCGCAGGCCGCGACAGTGGGCGATCACCGACTCGACGTGGGGCGAACCCAGCTCGGTCATGCCCGACACATTGAGCACGCGGAGCGACGCGATGGGCGAGCGACGCTGACTTGAAGAAGTGGGCGATGATGGGGACGATGACGAAGATGGCGGCGCAGGTGACTTGGCACGATCACGACCACGACGATGAGACGACGAGGAGGATGTGTCGATGGTCGAGGGCGACTGAGCGCCGGTGAGTCGATCTAGCGTTGGCCGGTGGTCGAGCGACGACGGGGCCATGGCCCACAGCGAGCGCAGGCGAGGCGAGTGGGCGAGGAAGACGAAGAAGCTCTCGGCGTCAAGCTGCTGGCAGCCGGTGACGTCCACCGTCTTGAGCCGCGGCAGGCGCACGTTGGCCAAGCTCGTCACCCGGCTCCAGTTGAGGTCGAGCCTGGTCAGGTAGGGGCTGCAGATCTTGGGCGCCGTGATGCGGCTGCACTTGGACAGCGTCAGACCCAGCAAGCGGAGCTGCGGCGCCGGCAGTGCTTCAGCCTCCGCCGATAGTTCAGGCGATGACGATGACGACAATGGTGGTGGAGCTGCGGCAAGTGCAGGGCGGAGCGGGAAAGAGTGGTGCGTGGCCGAGAGATAGTCGTAGAGGGACACCATATCGGCGGACGATTCACCGGTCGCCGATGACGTGGCGAAGGGAAACAGGGCGACCAGGCCGGCGTCGCGGACGTCGTGGCAGTCGGCCAGCACGAGGTCCGTCACGTGCGGGCACTGCCGCGCGATGGCCCGGAGGTGCGCGTCGTTGACGTACGTCATCGAGCAGTCGATCCGCCGAAGCCGTGGGTACGCGCAACCGGCGGCAAGGTGGTCGGCGAACCACGGCGCATTGCCCCGCCAGTAGATGCAGCTGATCTCGAGGCTCTCGAGCGAGGTGGGCAACTCGACGTTGAGCGACTTCGCGGCTTGGCAGTGGTGGATCGTCAGCGATCGCAGCCGATGACCGGCACTGACGTCAGTATCAGCATCATCGCTCTGCGTCTGCCCCCACACGGTCGCGCAGTGTTGGGTTCGCTCGACTCGCCGGCGTGCGTCGAGCAGGCGCTCGAGCGTGGGTCCGGTGACCTTGGTCAGCTGGCTCAGCTCGAGCGCCTCCAGCTGGTCGACGAAGGGGAGCAGCGCCGCGAGAAGGCTCGCGTCGGTCAGCTTCGGCAGCGACGCCAGGCGGAGCGACACCAGCGACGGCAGCGGATTGAAGAGCGCCGGTTCCGCGCTGTCGCTGCCGGCGACTCCGCGACGAGTGGGGGCAGGTTCAGCAAATTTGTGGTCGGCGGCGGCGGCGAAGTCGAAGAGCGGGAAGTGGTCGGCGGTGGCGACGGCGATGGGAAGTAGCCGTCCTCGGCTTCGTTGTCGCCGTCGCCGTTGGTGGTGTTGGTGCTATTGTTGTCGACATCGGCATCGCTCTGTCGCGGCAGGTGGAAGAAGGGAAGACACTTGAGACCCAGATGCTGAATGAGCTTGAGCACCTGCAGCGCGGGCAGATAGCACGCCTGTCTAGCCGAGGGCGACACGCACGGCGATGCCGTGGCAGACAACGACAACGACGCCGACGGTCGATCGAGCACAGGCGGCTCGCCGTCGAAGTTGAGCTTCAGGCGCCGAAGCTTCGTGCAAACGGAGGGCACAAACGATCGAGGAAAGGGATAAGACGGCGACGGCGATGATGGCGATGTAGATAAGGAGGAGGAGGAAGAAGAAGACGATGAAGATGAAGATGATGCGGGGCCGGGGGAGGGCTTGGTGGGGGGCAAGCTGGACAGGATGGTGAAGAGCTGTAGCGTGACGGAGCAGCTGATGAAGGAGAGCGATTCGAGCTGCGACGCGTGCCGAGCCAAGATGCGCACCCCGTCATCCGTCACGTGGAGGGCGCGCGATATCGACAGCGACCTGGAAAGAGCGATCGCGACAGGTCTCATCAATCGCGCATCATGGGCGACGAACATCAATCAAATCTCTGCTTTACCTGAGCTGTGGGCAGCCGACGGCGATGGCCCGGATGCCCTCGTTGGTGATCTGGTCGGCAAGGGGCTGTGAACCGGGCTCGGCGGACTGGGCCCGATGGCCTTTCCTGCCTCGAGCGCGCTTGGCGGCGCTGCACTGCACGTAGAGCACCTCGAGACGCGGACAGTGTTCCGCCAACTCGAACAGTGCCGCATCAGAGATTCTGTTGCCCTGCAACACACACACACACACACACCACACACACACACACACACGACACGACACACAGTAAACATCAGACCTCGCCGCCACAATGTCACATTTGCACTAACCGTCGATACCTTCACGTTCAAATGTTGCAGCATGGGACTGGCACGAGCGATGCCGGTCACGCCCTCGTCGCCCACATGCAGAGACCTGCATCGATGATGCAAGTCAGGCCACAGCAAACAGAAGAGCAGCTGAGAGATCGTGATGAGGCACTGGCGCACCCGTTGAGGTTGAGGTAGAGCAGGTGCGGGCAGTGGAGGCCATGAAACGGCTCTGGCATCAGCCAGAACGTGTTGAGATTGATGTATTGTAGGCCCTACGACGATCGATGCCGAAGTTTAATCGCTTGCACACAAATGAATTGATTGATGATGGTGAGGGCGGCCAAGCACCTCATGCAGGAGGAACTTGCGAACATTGGAGTCATTGAGGGTGCGCGATCCGCCCTTGCGGCGCTTCATCATGTACTCGAGCACCTGCTGCGCCACGACACCAGGCAGCTGCCGCAGATCTGGAATGGTATCGAAATGATCCTCGATGCAACGCAGGCACTGCCGATTGAGCGCTTTTGGCTCGTTCAACTGCAGAAGCAGTTCCTCTTCTACATCACCATCATCCCTTGTGCTGTGCCCTCCATGCCAGGTAGCCTAGTTGCTTTTCAATTATTAAATAATATGAGAAGAAATAAAATCACAACTAAAACAAACAATGCAAAGATGAAGCGTACAGCAACGTCTCATCTCTCTTTACCAACAAGAGGAGCCATCCGGCGGCTCAAGGGAAGCAGCGCTTCGCCCCTAGCCGGGCTGCTGGGCAATCATCAAGCAGAATTTTTCGCGATTTCATCACAGCGATTTTACGGGCCAGCGATGAGGAGGGAGATGGGCAGTGGCAGCATCATCAACGATGCAACAACGGGTCGTGAGCAAGAAGAAGAAAAAGAGCCGGGGCTGGGCGTCTATGTGCACTGGCCCTACTGCTCGCGGATCTGTCCCTACTGCGACTTCAACCGCTATCTGGCCGAGAAGGGCGGGAGCGGCATCGACCACCGACGCATGACTCAGAGCTACAAGACCGAGCTGGCCGCCTTTCGCCGGTTCCTCGACAGCGATGGCGACCCCGCCGTCTTCGCCACCACCAGCACCCAAACACCCGAACCGACCACGACCACGACCACGACCACGACGACAACGACCAAGTTGCGACCTCCAGCACGTCGAAGGAGGGTCCGCAGCGTCTTCTTTGGTGGAGGCACGCCGTCGTTGGCCAAGGTACGAACCACATTCGTCAAATCATATCGCATGGTGGCTCCTTGCCGTAACGTTCGTTGACACACGTGTCGCACACGCACACGCACACGCACACGCACACGCACACGCACACGCACACGCACACGCACACGCACACGCACACAGCCGGAGGTGATGGAAGAGGTGCTGGCGTTCATTGATGCCCAATGGGGCTTCGAGCCCGATGCCGAGATCACAATGGAGGCCAACCCAACCGTACGTTCCACCTATGCCGTGTCGTGTCGTGTCGTGTCGTGTCGTGTCGTGTCGTGTCGTGTCGTGTCGTGTACCATGTTGTGTGCCGTTGTGCGTGGTGGGAAGGAGGACTCTGATGAGCGGCACACAGTCGGTCGAAGTGGGGAAGCTGCGGGACTTTCGCAGGGCCGGTGTCAACCGCCTGAGCATTGGCGTGCAGTCCCTCAACGCGGACGATCTCAAGTTCCTGGGCCGCGCTCACTCGCCCGAGGTACTTGAACAACTCCAGCGTGTCGTGTTGCGTGTCGCGTCGTGCGCGCGTGTCGTGCGCTGTGGCCAGTCAAGGAGGCACGCTGAGCACGCACTCCCCTGCAGGAAGCGCTACGAGCAATCGAGCTAGGGAAAGAAATATTCCCTCGCGTGTCGTTCGATCTCATCTATGCGCGACACCGCAACCAGACCGTCGAGGAGTGGCGTAAGGAGCTGCAGGTGCGTGACATTATTGGTTATTTATTCATTTATTCATTTTATTTACTAAATAAAATAGATACCATTTATTGTCTTATTTATTCATTTTCTTATAAATATTTATTTGCGCGTAGGCAGCTCTGGCGCTGGCCAGCGGACACATTTCGCTGTACACGCTGACGCTCGAGCCCGGCACGGCCTTCTTCCGCCGCGCCTTCCAGCCGGCGTCGCCCAACGACGCCCGTACGACGACTGCTCGCCCGTGTGCTGCGCTGGGCGCGAGCTGGCTGATGGCTGACATTTTGTGTGCTGCGCTGGAAACAGTGCCATATCCGGACGACGAGCGGGTGGCGGACCTGTACGAGGCCACCGTGAGCACGGCCGCTCAGGCGGGCTACCACCAATACGAGATTTCCAACTACGCACAGCCGGGGCACGAGAGTCGGTACACACACACGACACACACGACACACACGACACACACGACACACACGACACACACGACACACACGACAGAAAGGTGGTTAACGCCAGCCATGTCTGGACCACATGCAGGCACAATTTGATCTATTGGCGAAGTGAGGACTGGATAGGCATTGGACCGGGCGCACACGGACGCTTGACCACCCATCGGGATGGCCACCAGCGCCATGCCTTTGCGCAGGTATCAGGCCACACGACACACATCGCGCACACGACACACGACACACGACACACGACACACGACACACGACACACGGGGTGTCTACGAGTTGGCTCACGGTGAGGGGGTGTACCAGATCAAGCTGCCCAGCAAGTGGATGGACGCCGTGGAGAATAATGGCCACGGCGTGCAAGAGATGAAACTCATCAACCCGACCGAACGAATGGAGGTCCGTCCTCGCCTCGCTGTAGCCCGCCACCGCACCTGCAACGTCGGTTTGACGTCGTGTGTCGTGTGTCGTGTGTCGTGTGTCGTGTCGTGTGTGTCGTTGCATAGGAAGCGCTGCTCAACGGACTTAGGGTGCGTGAGGGCATCAGCCCTCTCCGTTTCCGCATGCACGCGGGTCAGTCCATTGAGGAGGTACGCAGCCGCCCCAAACTGGAGGGGAAAAATTTGTTTCCCTGTTCTGCGCACTCACGCCAGCCACGCGCCCGCCCAGGCGTTGGACATGGACAAGGTGGCGGAGCTCCAGGCCGAGGGCTTTCTCGTCTACGAGCCGCAGGCAGGACTACGACCCACCCCTCGCGGCATGGCCCTACTCGACGCCCTCCTTCCTCTTCTGCCGCGGCGCCCGAGCACCACATGATGTCCCCCCCCCCGCACCAGGGGCTGGCCTGCCAATCCGTGTGAATGCATCTCTGCTGCAGGTGCTTCTTTCTTATCTGCTTCTTCTGTTCCCATATTACTCTATTAACCATTGCATTCTTCTGCCTATGAAGTCAATGCGGAAATCCCCAAGCGCAGAACGCAACCGCTGCCTCGGCCCGGCAATGCATGCCTCCAGTCTTGAGTGAAAATGCTGAACATGTGAGCTCAAGATGGCTCTTACCACTCTCAGTACGCGAGTTGTTGGAATACACTCTGAAGAGCGAGGAATGGCGCCTCAAAGAGATGGATCGAAAGGAGAAGCGGGCAATGTTCTGATCCAGCAACCACTTGGAGACAAGTTTGTGTCATCAGTGAATAACTGGGTACTCGACGCCGGCCTGTACTGATCACCACTCTCCCAGCTGTCCAGTATCTCGGGCGGGCGCGTGTTGGAGAAGTTAGCACGTTACACGTTGTTGGTGGCAGCGCATGCTCCAAGCAGCGCAAGCATGCCAATGCGAAGCTCTCAAGGCGTCAGCACCGAGCTTCTCCCCAAACATATCCAACCAAGTGCTCAATGGTGGTCAACCGATTCATGCCCCCCCCCCTCTCATTATTCATTGCGGCCGTCCCAAAGAAAGAAGAGATGAGTTTTTTAATTTGTACACGCCACAGCGCGTGCTGGCGCTCAGCCGCACCACCTCGGCCCCCTCCTCCCGGCCCGGGGCGATCGTGTCCACCATCGCCTTCGTCGCCGCCGTTGTTGTTTTCGCGGGCACCGGGTGGAGGCGGCAGAGCAGGCTGGACTTGAGCACGAGCCCATTCTTGCTGCCGCCAAAGCGCCACACGCCGTCGCGCACGTGCGAGCTGACCTTGACCAGCGCGCGGTAGTCGTCGGGCAGCAGGCTCTCCACGCTCTCGGCCAGCCGACACACCACATAGCCCGGCGACCGCCGCCGCCGGCCTCCGCCGGTCTCGGTGGGATTGGCAGGGTCGGTGTCGGACGTGGTCGGTTCCCTCCTGGCCCTCTTGGCCGGCGGGAGAGCGTCGCCGTCATTGTCGTCGTTGTCGTCGTTGTCTTCGTCGTCGCTGTCGTCGATGCCGCTCGGGTCGCTGTCGCTATCCAAGACCTCGTCTGTGTTGTCCACGGCTGCGACGAGATCGCCCCGTCGGTACTGGTCCGGCACCGTCACGGGCCCAGCGGAGGGCGAGGGCACAGCGGCAATGGCGGCGGACGCAGTCGTCGATGATGACAAGGCCGTGGGCGCGATGGCCGAGAAGGATGGCGGGAAAGGCGGGGGCAGGGAGTAGCCGTTGGCCTCCGGCTGAAGCGGCGTGGGCGATGCGAGCGACTCGGCGAACCGGCTCTCGAGCAGCCGCGCGGCCGATCCATCGGCGACTGCGGGTGTTGTCGACACCAATGTCGGTGACGGTGAGCGCTCCGACGGCGTCGGAAAGCGGTTGGCCTCTGCCTGTTCGGCTGCGGGCCGTGTCGCCGCTCGCTTCACCGACGACACGTTGTCTGACCATCGGTCATGCTGTTGGTCACGCGACCGCTTGAGCGGCGCCGGCCTGACCGTCGCCGTCGCCATCGCCGTCGCCATCTCGGTCTTCCCTCTGTGCTCCTCCTCCTTGACCCTTCGCTTCCTCGTGGCCGGTTCGGAGCTCGAGCCTGAACTGCTCCACCGGGGGCGGTTGGAAATGTCCAACTCTGGCGTCGATGCAGAGGGCGACGGCGTGGCGTGCAAGACGGCCACCGCGGAAGAGGACGAGGAGGACAGACCCGCGCTCTTCCGCAACTTGCGCCGTTCGATCTCCTCGTAGATTCGCTTGAGTCGCTGCTGGCCCACGTGAAAGTTGGCTGCCAACCACGTACGCGCCACCGCTGCACCGGACAAAAAAAAAGAGAGTCAAGGTGAGAATTGCGCGTGCGTGCGTGCGTGCGTGCGCATACGTTGTTTCCTCGCGTTGCTGTCGATGATGTAGTTGATGATCTCCTCGTCGGTGAACTGCGGACGAGCCTCAAAGTCGGAGCCCCACACGGCCGAGGACTTGGATTTCTTCTTCTCCGTTGTTGTCGCCATTGTTGTTCCCGACGTCACAGAGACGGGCGGTTCGTCGGTGACGGTCTTGACCGCGGCCACAAGCATGTCGTCTTCCACGTCGTTGTCCTCTTCGTCGTCATCCAGGATAGCCTTTGACTTGCTCCTTGCCATCGCCGAAAGTGCCGACGATCGCATCGACGTCACCGTGACCGGCTTCCATTGATCGACGCCGCCGCCGCCACTCGTCGTTGTCGTCATGCCGGTGCCCGTGCCCGTGCTGGCGCCCAGCACGTCTTCGTTGTAGTTGTCCTCTTCTTCATCTTCGTCTTCGTCCTCTTCCTCCTCGCTGTCGTCGATGAGAGTGAAGCCACTCGTGTCCACGTGATTCTCGACTTCCTTCTCCGCCTTCAATCGCTCCTCCTTCGCTCGCTCCTCCTCACGCCTCGCTTCCGCCAGCTGCTGCTTCTTCGCCGCTTCCTCCATCTTGTCCGGTCTCTTCTTCTCCGTCGCTTCCTGCGCCACCTTCGAAGCTTTGATTTCGATGGCAGGCGCTGCGGGCGCTGCGGGCGTGGCGGACGCGGCTTCGGGTGGTGGTCTGGGCAGCAGCGGGGCCGGTTGCGTGTCGGCGGTCCGCGTGCTCCGCGGCGAGCCATGCAGCAACGGGTCTTCGTAGAAGTCCACCAAGCGCACCGCGGTCGTGGGCAGCGCTTGGCCCTTGCTGGTCGGCTCCATTATGAGGTGCAACCCGACCAACGGGCTTGGCCTCGGTCGTCTGCCGAGCAGCAGCTTACCACTTCCTCCTCCTCCTCCGCCGCCGCCGCCGCCTCCTCTCTCCGCCTTCTCCTTCTCCGCTTTCAGTTTCTCTGCTCTCTCCTTCTCCGCTCTTTCCTTCTCCGCTCGTTCTTTCGCCGCCGCTCGTTCCTTCTCCGCTTTCAGTTTCTCGGCCCTCTCCTTCTCCGCTCTTTCTTTCGCCGCCGCTCGTTCTTTCGCCGCTGCTCGTTGCTTGGCCGCTTTCTCCTTCTCCTCCCTCTCTGCCTGTTCTCGCGCTCGCTGTCTCTCCCTGGCCTTCTCGCGTTCGCGCTCCCTCTCGCGCTCTCGTTCCAGCCTCGCCGCCTTCTCCTTCTCGAGCAGCTGCTCTCTTTCCCTCACCCTGATGGCCACTCGCTCTTTCTCGGCCTTTTCCCTGGTCACCCGCTCCCTCTCGCGTTCGTGCTCGCGCTCTCGCTCGCGCCTCCTCTCGCGTTCGTCCCTCTCGCGCTCGCGTGCGGCGATCTCCCGCTCCAGGCGGTCCTTCTCGCGCCTCTCGAGTTCCATTCGCTCGTGCTCCGCCCGCTCGCGCTCCGCCCGCGCGCGCTGCTGCCTCTCCCTCTCCAGTCTCACCGCCTTCTCCTTCTCGAGCCTTGCTCTTTCCCTCTCCCTCTCCCTGGCGGCCGCTCGCTCCTTCTCGGCCTCCTCCCTCTTCCGCTGTTCCTCCAGCCGCCGCCACTCGGCCTCCCGCTGCTGCAGAAGCGCGGCATCGTGTTCGGCCTGGTCCTGGGCGTCATCGACGTCCATGTCCTGCTCCCCGCCCTCCTTTTCGTCCTCTCTCTTTTCTTCTTTCATTTTCTCTTCTTCCTTTGTCTTTTCCTCCGTTTCCTCGCCTTCCTCCTCTTGGCTGTCGGCTTCGTAGGGCACCCACACGCCAAACACGTAGACGCCCTTTTTCTTCTCCGCCGCTTGGGTCTTGACTTCGGGCAAGGCCTGCGTGGCCGTTGTTGGCGTCGCAGGCTCGGCCCGCGTCGTAGTCGGCGTTGTGGTTTGTTGTGGAGTCGGAGCCGGGTCCGGGGCCGGTACCCTCGACGCCGCGACTTGTTTGTCGGCACCCTCGGTTGTCGTCGTCGTTTCCATCGTCTGGGCGCGCATCAGCTTTTCGATGAGCAGCTGCTGCTGCCTGAACTTTTCGCGGAGCTCCTCGAGCTCCCGATTCCGCATGGCCTCCTCGGCGGCCATCCCCGCTGCGACCGTAGCCGTCCCGGTCGCCGAGGCGCTGCCCGTCGACGAACGCAGAGACGCTGGCCGAGGTGACGAGAGCGGTGGTGGCACTGGCGACTGTTTGGACGTCTTGGCGGTCGTTGACGGCCTCGTCTCTTCCTCTCTGGGCCTTCGCTCCTGCTCCGTCCTCCTCTCCAAAGGCTCCCTTTCCCGGTCCCTCGACCGGCCCAGCTCTCGCTCTCGCTCTCTCTCCGCCCGGTCCCAGTCTCTTCGCTTATGCTCGAGGACGCGCTCGGTCTCCGCTCGCTTCTTCTCACGCTCCCAGGCTTCCCACCCGGCGCGATCGTCGCGGTCGATCCGCTCGCGCTCGAGGGCGGCTCGCTCGCGAAGGCCCGGAGAGGCAAGCTGCGGACTGACCGGGCTGCGCGAAGATGATAGCGGTCTCTTTTCTACGTTGCCGCTCCTGGGCGTGCGGTCGCCGTCCGTTGAGCGCTGCAGCCTGTTGCGGCCGTCCTCGTTGGTCAGCGCGCCTTCCCGCGTGGTCGTCGACGGTCTCAAGGAGTCGCGGCCGTTGCTGACGACGTCGGCGTCGGGGCAGGGGTGGCGGATGCAGCGCTGGCAGCGCCCGACGCTTGACTGGTACTAGGCGGATGCGACGGAGCCGTCGGCTGGGCCACCGCGACGCCTGCCGTGACCGCCGCGGAGGCTGCGCTGTCGGTTACGGCTGCGCGCAGGCGCGGGTCCAAGTAGGTGTCTGGCTTGATGACAACGCTGATCATCGGCGCCGGCGCACCAAGGGGCACCAGGTGACGCGGAAGCGGAGGCGTTGTGGGCGAGGGTGGCGGTGGAGGTCCCGATGGCGGCTGTTGCTGAGAGGGGGTCGGTAGCGGCGGCGGTGGTTTTGGTAGCGGCGACCTGAGGTGCGGCGTCGGCGTCGGCGTCGGCAGCAGTGGCTTTGGTTGCAGCGGCCCGAGGTGCGCCGACGAAGGCGGCGACGGTTGGCGAGGTGGTAGGCTGCCCATGGTGGTCGAAGAAGAAGCCGACATCGATACTCCCAACGTGGTGCTTGCTACGTGCGAGGAGCTGATCGCCTTTGGCGCGCGCGTAGAGCTCGAGACGCCGAAAGGCAGAGCACCAGCGAGAGGGGCCGAACCTGACACGGGCGGAGGCACGGACGAAGGTTGCGATCTGGCGATGGAAGGCGCCGGGACAGGAGCCGGGCCGCGCGCTGGCGGGTAGGCGGCAGGGCGGGCGGGCATGACCGGTTTAAACCCAGGGGTCGTAGGGGCAGCCCCAGGAGGAGTGGGCGTCGCTGATGGCACCATCGGCGTGGGTGCACAAGGCGGTGGCTTGGGAAGAAGTGCGGTACGACCCGGTGCCGGCGGAGGTGCAACGAGCCCTGGTGCAGGGGGTCGAGAAGAAGGAGGAGACGGATGCCGCAAGATCACCCTCTGGGGAGATGGAATCTGCCGATTTCGCGATGGAGGAGATTGCGATCGAGCTCCACCGCGGTGGGGTCTGGGCGCCGAGGATGGCGATGTGTGGGTAAAGGATGGTGTTGCTGTTTGAGGATGCGGAGGTCCTGCACCGCGTAGAGATTGAGGGTGGTAGGGCCATTGCTGCGGGAGCTGGCCGCCCCAATCGTGTCGGTAGCGGCATTTCGTACCCCAAGGGCACGCCGTCCCATTGGCAAAGTTGACGCAAACGATTTTGTTGGGCGGCAATCGTGCCATCCCTGCAGGCTTGCCTTTGCCACACCGCACCCTCGGAGGCGATCTGCTGGTCCCCTTCCTCCCTGGTGGAGGGCTCTTGCTACGACTTCTGCTGCGTGTTCTGTTACTTCTCGCTTTGCGCATCACTGGCCTCGATTGCGGCCATCTCAGCCGGGCTGTCTTGGTCGGTTCGCGCCTTCGGGCACCCGGATGTTTTCCAGATTGGTTCGAGGTGCTGCAATGTGAGGAATGCAGAACAAGAAAATAAAAGAAATGCTATTGAAAATCGTCTTGAAATAGAATTTAATAGAGCAAGATGGAGGGGAGAGCAGCTGGGGGTGGGTCAGGAGGAGGTGCGACGGCTTCGGTCGTGGCTCAACCATCCGGCTCGCCAAGTGCCGGAGAAAGAAACGAGGGATGGCTTTACAAGAAGGGCAGGATTCACAAGAATTGGAAACGGCGGTGGATGGTACAGCGTGGTGCCCAACTCTTCTACTTCACCCAGCCCCACCTTAAAGACGTACGTCGCCCTCGTTAGTGCTTCCACAAGGGCCAAGATATCAATATATTGAAGTTCTATTACTTGCCTCGTGTGGTTGGCTCTACGGCTACGCCTCCAGAGCGCGGCCAAGGGGATCATCAACCTGGAAGGCGCAGAGGTCTCTCGACCTGACGACGCTAGCGCGCCAGAGCTGAGCCTACGTACGCGTGTGCCTCGATTCTCTTGACCGTTTACTGCTTGCTCACACCCACCACACAGCAAACGCCGGCAACGTCCTCTTTCTCGTCAAAACAGCCAAGGGACGCATCTACATGCTCAAGGGCGAGCAGGACAAGGTCATTGTCGTGTTGTGTCGTGCGTGTGTCGCGTGTGTTGTGTCGTGCGTGTCGTGTCGTGTCGTGTCATGTGCGTGGCGTAGCGTGTCGCAGAGTTCTGGCAACTAAACCCCTTGCCTTGCTGTCGATACAGGATGTGGAAGGGTGGATCCAGCGGCTACAGAAAGCCACGCAAGCGAAAGCGCCCGTCGGTGCCGGAGCTGGAGCCGGGAAAGAGGAGGGAAAGGACCACACCGCAAGTACTTGTCCGCCGCCCAAGTCTCAGTCCGCCATCGTTCGGCCTGTCCAAGCGCCACCCTCGAGCAAGCCTGCCGCAACCAAAGGTATTACAGCGTGCGGTGATCACCACGGCCATGATGAGCCTTTCCTTGCCGCCAACTCTACTTTCATCTTCTCTGGCATAACGTGCGGCGGTGACAGGTGGCAAAGGGAGAGGTCTGTACAAACGATACCTTGGCCAAGACAAGTAACCCCCGCCCCTTTTCGCTTCTTGGCTCATCATCGTTCTCACTGTTTTTGCTCAAATGTGTTCATTATTCGCTATTATTGGGATAGACAACGCGGACGGGTATTCGGCATTCTATTGGAAGAGGTACCAACCCTCCAACGTGCACACTAAGGCGTGTCACGCGTATTGCATAGATGCTGACCCAACCGCACGGTCTCCGCTCTCCCTCCAGCTGGTGCGCAGAGAGGAAACGAATCTCGGGATCCCAATCGTTGTTCATCGAATCCTTACGTATCTGGACAGCGGTATGAAGGAACCAGCACCTCAGAGTGAATGCCATCAGCGCTCTTGCTTACCCACTCGAGTGCTCCTCCGACTCCAGTCCTGGAGGTGCAGGGCATCTTCCGTCTCTCCGGCGGCGCTGAATCCGTGCGCAACCTCAAGAAGGCGTTCGACACAAGTACGCACCAACAATCCACTTTCTTCCTTCAACGGTTCCCTGTGCCAAGCTTCTTGGTGGTCGCTCACCGGCTTTTTATCACAGGCAAGGACCTGTGGAACGTTGCCTTGCCCGACTTCACCTCGTCCGGCCCTCATGCAGTCGCGTCCCTCCTCAAATTGTACCGCTCGCTGCCGCCCACTTGATGCCTACTTGCTACTTTCTGACCTGACCTTGCCAATCACGTCGGGCGCCATCTAGGTTCATGAAAGAGCTGCCGGAGCCATTGGTGCCGAACGACTTCTACAAGCTCTTCCTCGACCTACAGAAAGAACGATGCCACGATGCCACGGCACGCCTGGTATATACCATTCTTCCTATCGCCCCAGCTGGTCGAAATGACTCTTTCTCACGACGTCGGCTTTCTCTCGTCTCTCGTCCACAGCGGGATCTGCGCGAGCTCATCTTCAAAATGCCGCCAGCGCACCGGTACGCCGACGTCGTTGAGCCAATCTCCGATGATATGAGCGATCAGCACACGCTCGACGACTGGGCGGCGCCATTATTCTCAATTATTATTATCATTGTGTTGTTACCAGAGCAATGCTGGCAGAGCTCGCGGGGCTCCTCCGACGAATCGCCAACATGAGCAAAGTGAACCAGGTGCGCACCTGCACTATATCCTGGCTTTTCCTCGCTTGGCTTGGCTCAACCTGCATCCGTCTTTTTGCTCTGTGCGACGCAGATGACGCCCAAGAACTTGGCGATTTGCCTGGCGCCGAATATCTTCCGATCCAACGACCTCAACCTGCTCGAAAGGTAGTACTCCCGCTCCCGCTCCTTCTCGCATAGTGCTTCTTGGTGTTTGACTGCAAACAAACCGTCGCACTTCTCCTACGTGCGTTCTTGTTTCGCGGCACAGCATGACCGACGCTCCGTACCTGCTGTCGATGATGAAGACCTTCATCACGCAGCATCCCTATCTCTTTGCAGAGGTACTGCGGTTCCACCTATCACCCACCACACATCCTACTCACCGCCACTCGCTTCGATTGGGACCCGGATCGACCGGCGCTGCACTCACGCGCGTTTGCATGTCGTTGCCCTTGTGCACCGTGTCAGGTGGAAGATCTGGACGCGATCAAGCCCGAGCGCAAGAGCGGCGCAATCGTCATGATCCCAATCGCGCAGCTCGCGGCTCTCAACAACGAATCCGGGTCACCCGTACGGCACCCCCGCCCCCAAACCTGCGCTCGGCCGTCATCCCGCTCTGCGCTGACTTTTGTTGCGCGTGCTATTGTAGAAGGTCCCACACGTGGCCTGCCAGCCTACGTTGCCGCCCGCGAAGACCAACGTTCCACTCACGCACTCTGGCGACGCGCTCAAGCTCAGCGGCGGGTGCGTTTGCGATTCGAGTGGTCACATGTTTTTCTTGTGGGCAGCGAGCTCACACCTGTCATGTGTTCAGGAGGTCGGAGAGCGGCAACTCGCTGGTGCTGGATGTCGAGGGGTTCATGTACGATGAAGAGATGATGGAGGACTCATCCGCAGAGCAGTTGACCGAAGAGGTTCCTTCTGCCCCCTCATTTTTTTCGCATCAAATGATCGTTGGTCGTCACACACACGCGCGCACGTACTCGTGCAACACTACGACTAACGACGTACAATGGTCGGGCGCATACCATATAGGAACTGCTGGAAGCGGTGCAAGTCTTCATCAACGACTGCCAGGTCATTCTCGAGTAAGGCGGCGCCCTCTCCGCGCAAGAGAGGTTTGCTTTTGTATTTTTGTTGTGAATTGTTATCGTTCCGCTATGCAGCTGCTCTTCTTGCATCTCTCCCAGTTTCCCTCCTCTCTACACCTCTCCCCTCCCCGTCATCCGCCGCGTTTGTCTGTCTGTCTGTCTGTCTGTCTGTCTGTCTGTCTGTCTCTAGACTTCGTCTTTGTGCGGCGGAACGACCAGCACTGAAGGAGGTGAAGAAGGCCAAGGTGAGTCACAGTGCGACCACGACCAAGAGCGACGCGTGACACAGCTCAGGGCTCACGCACCTGGCACTTTGGAGTTGCGCGCACAGTACTGGGACACGCTGCCCATGAGAAGCCTGGCGCCAGACATCAGGTAAGCTCAGAGGCTTTTCCAACGCTAGCATTGTCCGTGGTGGTGGTGGGTGGTGGTGGGTGGTGCAGGTACCCGCGCACGGTACCCAGGCCGCGAGCGCCCAGAACCAGGATGTCGGGTTGTATCTCCTCCACCTTGTCCATGATCTCGCTTCTCACGTCGAGGCTCACCTTGTTCATCAGCGTGTAGCTTATCTGTTGTTGGGGGTGCAGCCATATGGTCAGACATGGGCAAGAGCGTCAAGACGATGCAACGTACGTTGTGTTCGTTGAGCGGCGCACGCACTTCCTCGAGTATGGCGTCGTTGGCGTCCTTCCTCTTCTGGGTGAGCTGCTTTGCCTCCTCTTCTTTAGGCCACACTGCGGTCAGTCAGAGCAGGGCCTGCACCGAGTGATTGTGTGGAGCGAAGAAACGGGAGCGCACCATCGCCGAAGAAGGGCCAGTCCGCTTGAGGAATGCGCTCTGTCACGGTAAGCACCACCAGCTGGTCGTCCGTCGGCTTCAGCAGCTTTATCGTCAAGTCCAGCGCCTGTTTGGAGTTGGACGAGCCATCATACGCCAGCAGGTACTTCATCTTTCTTCCACTCTTCGTTCTTCTGGTCTCAAGCTCACCTTACAAGGCTGGACTCCGCCAGGCTGAGAAGATGAAGCCCTCATCGAGCCCTCGGCAACATCACCGCCGCTTGTCGTCGGCTGGTCGTGTACGCTTCGCCCAGTTAGCGGCCGCACATGGTTTTTTGTGGGCACGTGCCATGAATTCTCACGCGAGTTTCTCCTCCTTGTCCTCCAATTTTCTGTTGAATTTCTTGCAATCCCAACCAATCGGCGATGGTGGCCGCGTGCGTCCGGGATTGGGGTGCGACGAATTACGGGCGCAAAGTTGTGTTCATTGCAGAACTCGAGCACAGTCACGCCTTGTGTCGTCTTCGCTCACCGCTCCACAGATCGAGAACGAACGAAAGGGAGGTGACCTCGCGCGGAGTGACTGAAAGATTAGACTGGTCCCTTCAGCCCAAAAGATTCACAGTGGTACGCGCCTGGCCTTGATTTATAAATGTTACGATTTATGTTCTGTAAATATTTTTAAGAGTGAAACCTGGGGAGGGTGCCACCCTCGTTGAATTGACCGAGGCCACATCTTATTACTTTTGCTTTTTATTTATTAGTTCTATTTTCATCTTTCTATTTTTCCTTGCTTTTTATTTATTTGTTCTATTTTCATCTTTCTATTTTTCCTATTTTTAATTTGTTCTGCACCGCGAGGGTCCGCAGAATATTGTGGCGGAGTTAATTCCCACACCACAACCTCAACCTCTTCTTCCTCAATGTCCGGTCACTAGTGGCACCACCTTCCTCTTCTTCGCCCTTTTTTTCCCACTCTCTTCACCTCTCTGCCACACCTCCCTCTGTTGTGTTGGTGTTTGCGCGCAGCTGCATCATCTTCAACACTCAACATCTCAACTGTTCGCCTTCCAGCCACGACAGCTGCAGCTGCTCAGCCCACCCGCTCTCCTCTTGGACTCACACACGCGCTTACGAACAGGCACTCTAGCACCACCAACAGTTGAAGAGGGAAAGGAAACCACAGAACGTCGCACGCAGCAGAGAAAAAGATGAGCAACCTCACCAAGTCAATGGAGGCCGGAGACAGGGACACCGTGGTGGAGAAGCTGCTGGCCATCTTTCCCGCCATGGACAGGGAAGTCGCCAGGTACTCTTCCTCTTCCTCTCCGTCGTCTTCGTCTTCGCTTTCGCGTTTTTGTTCGCGCTTCGTTCTTTCCGTGGATGACCACCTGTCAAAATTGGAATTCTTGGAATGCTCGGGCCTCACACCGTGAGTGAACCAACACAGGTCCGTGCTGATCACATGCGAGTACGACCTGGCCCAGACCGTGGAGACCCTCAAGGAGCTGGGCATCCACAAGGTCAAGGAGAGCGCCACCGGCGGTGAGTCGCCGGCCGGCGCTCACCACCCCGCCGCCGACCTGGGCGGCCGCAGGGGCTCCTCGGGCTCCATCAACATCCCCAACTCACCCACACGCGGCAGCCCGGGCGGCGGACGCAACTCGCCGTCGACGGCCTCGCCCAAGGGTCCGTCGCCGCGTCGCGGCCACACCGCGGCCGTCGCATCGCACACGTCGCACGCACACTCGCACGCGCGCTCGCCGTCGACCTACACCTTTGGCACGTCGCCCGTGTCGAACGCCTACTTTGCCGACCACTACCAGGACGACGGCATACTGACCCACCCGCGCGGCCAGTCGCCGATCAACCCCTACCTCACCGCCACGGGCGGCATCGGCCGGCCGTCGGCCGCCTCGCCCAACCCGTACCTGCCGCCCAACAACCCGTACCTCGTCCCGCCCGGCGCGCCGTCAGGAATGGGCTTCGGCGGCCCGGCCTCGCCCTCGTCTCGCCCCTCCTTCTACGCCTACTCCTACTCGTCATCGCCCGGCAGCGTCTACCCGATCCACTCCCAGGCGCCCTCGCTCTCCTCGCCCAGCCTCGGCCCGTTCGGCGGCGGCGGCGGAAGTGGTGGCGGCAGCAGCGCGTGGGGCCAAGGCCAGTCGGGCTCGGGCTCATCGGGGTCGAGCAACCCCTACGTGTTCTCGTCGTCGCCCAAGTTCGCGCATGGGCAACAGTTCCCGCCGGCCGGCGCACTGTCGGGCTCGCCCAATCCGTTCTACACCTATTCGTATTCGTCGTCGCCCGGCAGCGTGTACCCGATCGCGAGCGTCCAGCCCAGCGCGCGCCACCCGACGTTCGGCGGCGGCTTCTCGGGGTCGCCTTCCGTGCCGCCCCACGGCCAGCTGTCACAATCGCCCGGCACGGCCTACTTCGCATCGCTCGCTGCGACGTCGCCGGCTGGCGGCCGCTTCGGCGGACCTTCGTCGCCGTCGTCTGCCGGTGGGCCGTCGCCGCTGATGTTCAGGAAGGAGCCGCTCCACTCGTCCCTGGACAACCTGCTGCTGGCCAAGGCCATCAAGATCGAAGACGAGAGCGAGAGCGAGAGCGAAAGCGACGAAGGCGAAGAGCGGGAGGGGGAGGGGGAGGAGGAGAGCGTGGGCGACAACGAGGTGGTGTTCGCCGACGAGGACGGCTTCGATGCCGTCAAGGCGGCAGTCCAGCAGTCGTCGCCTTCGCAGAAGAAGAAGAAGCCCACCATCATCATCCTCCGCCCGAAGCAGTCCAAGTCGCCGCACCACTCGGTACGTGTCGTATGTCGTGTGTTGTGTGGTTGGGACGGCGGCTTATATGGTGTTACCACAGCCGAGCGAGGGCAACAAGCACCAGATGCCGAACCTGGCCCAGCGCAAGTTCATGCGTATGGTGTTCAAGAACCGCACCGACGTGTCGCCGCTCAACCCGCTCGCGGCCCTGTTCCTGTGCCTCAGCCAGGTGCCGGCCCTGCGCGACTACTTCCTCTCCGACGCCTACAAGGCCCAGCTCAAGCCCGAGAAGAACAAGTCCGCTGGCGCCGACAGTGTCCACGCCGCCGAGGCCTCGATGGGCGACCTCAACATCTCTGGCGAGTGGGACGCGCAGGACGTCTACCACGGCAGCCGTCGCCTCACCCTCGCTCAGCACTTTGCCCTCTGCGGTACACGCACCACCGCACACGCACCGCCGCACGCGCACACGATGATCGTTGTGAGCTGAAATGTTATGTAACGCTTGGTCGCGAACAGTCAAGGCGCTGCAGGGCAAGACGCCGAATGAGCTGCGGGAGCTGGACGAGCAGTTCGCCGCCTTCCAGCAGGTCGTCACCAGCCGCACACCGCACCTCAGCGGCACCGGCAGCGTCGAAGGTATCACCAAGTCAACCCCCCCAATGTGGTGTGTACGCGTCTTTTTAGGTCCGCGCGCAGGTTCGGACCTAAAATCTGTTGGTCTCCACCGGTGCAATGCAGAGGAAGCTGGTCGGTATTCGGACATGGTGGACTGGGTGCTCGAACACCTGAAGGAGGACCTCAGCGTGAAGAGCCCCGCCTACGAGCCCACGCCCGAAGACGAGGCCCTGGGCGACGACCACGTCGCCGCCAAGTACTGGGAGTCCTACAAGCGCGCCAATCCCATCCTCATCGCCAACCTGGTACGTGAATCAACACACACGCGCACGCACGCACGCACGCACGACACACACAGTGCAACTTTCTCCCTTGGTCATGCCCGCTTACGCTCCGTCGACATGGTTGTTGTGATTGTCGACGTACAGTTCACCGGTCTGTTGAAGACGGCGATCAGCTGCACGGGGTGCGGGCACCGCACTGTGAGCGTGAGCGTGGCCAACGGGCTCGTGTTGCCGACGAGCCTGGACAAGAAGCGCTCGATTGTCGTCACCTTCGTGCCCGACAACCCCAGCGCCACCAACAAGCCCACCAAGCACTCTGTCAGGTACCCACTCGCGCCAAGTTTTTTGAAGAATGTCTCCGGCAGTGTGGCTCACGCATTTTTGCCATTCTTTGTGCTTTGTTTGGGGTGGTGGGCGCCCACCAGTGTGTTCAAGACGAGCTACGGGCAGGACCTCAAGGTGGGACTGATCGAGCGTCTGGGCAAGCCCCTCCGACCCGACCAGCTCATCGTCACCGAAGTCTACGGCGGTCGCATCGCTCAGATCATTGGTTCGCACGCCGTGCGTGTCGTACGTCTGTCGTGTGCGCTGTCGGTCTCTCCCTAACATACGACACACGTTGTTGAACAGACGACTCGACGCCCGTGGAGGTGCTGAAGGACAAGGACGTGGTGGTGGTCTACGAGGTGCCCGCGGCCCACCAGAGCGCGCAGACCCGTCGCCGCATGAGCTTCCCGTTCGACAAGGCCTCGTCGCCCGTCGTCGGCGCCAAGTCCGACCTGCCCTTCTTCGTCATCCACCGATACCACAAGTACGGGCCTCTCCTCCTCCTCGCCCCTTCTGTGTGCGCGCGCGTGCGGTGGTGCGTGCGCGTGCGCGTGCGGTGTCGACACACACCTGACGCGTGTGCGCGCTCTCTCCTTCATAACAGGCAGCGCAAGGAGGATGACATGGGAACGCACATCATCGGCAAGCCCTTCCCCGTGCCCTCCAACCTGACCTACGCCCAACTGTACACAATCGTGTGGGACAGGTACTGTTGGTCACATCCCGTGTGCTTCCTATCGTACGGTACAGCGCGAGAGTGCACTGGGCTGACCTTGCGTTTCATGCCATGTGTGCTATGATGGTGATGGTGGTGGTGATGAATAGGTTCAAGGAGACGCTGGGCTATTCGAAGGATCTGTCGTACGCCGAGCTGGCGGACCAGATCCGGGAGAGCGAGGAGAAGCGACTGGCGGGCGAGAAGGACGCCAAGGGGCGCGAGGACAAGAAGGGCCACCACGCCGACAGCAAGCGGCACGTGGGCCCCTTCGAGATCAAGATCGTCGACCAGTTCCTCGCCAAGTACGGCGCTCCCTCCACTCCACCACCGTACATATGTGAAATCCCACAAATGCTCGAAGAGGTCTCACCGGTGCTTTCTTGACTCCATCGTAGCTGCGGCTCGTGCGACAAGGGCTTCAGGTGCGATGGCTGCGTGATGCCCTACGACGAGGTGCCGGTCAGCTTTGCCCCCGAGAACCACCTCGGTACGCACAGGCGCCTCCACACACGCCCTGAATGCCCCCCCCCCACTATTGCCGCGTGGCGCGAAGATGTTGACCCAACTTTCTCTCTTTCGGACATAAAAATAGTGGTGGACTGGAACATCCCCAGCGACGAGTACGAATCCAAGCTCCACAAGTCTCTGGTACGTACCTCCCTGCCCCTCACGTGATGTTGCGCGGGTCGGACATAAAACGCTAATGTAGAGGGGGGGTGCAGCTGCTCAACATGTGGCCCGACAAGCTCGAGGAGACGGGCGGTGTGGCGCCCAAGGTCACCCTTCAGGACTGCCTGCACAAGTACATCGGCCAGTACCGCATCCCTGAGTGGTTCTGCCAGCACTGCAAGGAGTTCAAGCAGGCCACCAAGGCCACCGCCATCGGCGAGCTGCCGCCCTCCCTCATGATCCACCTGTCACGCTTCGAACTTAACAGGTGCGCGCGACACACAACGGCACACTACACAAGCCACACGACACACGCGCCATGACGTGTGTCTCACTGCGGCGCGCTATCAGATATTGGCACAGGGTGTGCAAGACGGAGGTGGACTTCCCCATCAGCGGGCTTGATCTCACCAGCTATGTGGAGGAGACTGTCGACGGCTGCTCCGAGCACCAGCCCCACCACGGCCACAAGAAGATCCTCTACGACCTCCAGGCCGTGCTGGTACCCTCCCCCCGCCTTCGCTTTCGTTTTTCGTTTTCGCTTTTCATCGCCTCATCGCTCTTCGTTCTTTTCCTATGCGCAGCAACTGTCGGGCTCGCGGGGCTATTCGGCGTGCGTGCGCAACCCGGGCGACCGCAGGTTCTACCACTACACGCCCAGCGCCACCTACCAGCTGCCGAGCGAGGAGTCCGACCTGCCCAGCCTCAAGTCGATTCTGTGCAGCGGCGATGCCTGCGTCCTCTTCTACGCCAAGCGCGAGGACCAGGCCCACAGCAACTAAGTCGTTCATGCGCCAGCGACTCGACAAGTACGGAAACGCGCGTACCGAGCGAAAAAACGCAACGGAAACCAGGCCACGCCGCGCGCACGACGCATCGCCGTAGGAGCACCCAACAACAAACTTACACACACGCGCACACATAAACCTGTAAATGGATTTTCAAGAGCGGGACACCGTTGTCTTTCGAAGGTGGCATGACAGCCTTTTGCCTCAAGCCCTCATGTATGATGTGTACAAAGCGTTGGCAAGCCAGCCTTCAGTTGAGCATGAACTGTACGCTGCCTCGGAGAGCAGGCGGTGAGGCTGGCGGCACTTCAGGGCTGGCCAGCCCTGAAGTGGAAGTGGAAGTGGAGGTGGGGGACTCTGCGCCGCTTCGCTCTTCATGTCGCTCCTGTTGTTGTAGTTGTAGTTTGCGGTGCGCACGAGCATAGCGAATGCCGCAAGCGTTGCACAACCTGAAAGTAAATAGAATTCAGTAGTTGTTCGGTGGCTTCTGATCGATCCCCTCGTCATGTGACGGTGTAGAAAACTCGGAAGGGCAGGTTCCAACCGGAACTGGCAACCTGGTGAGTCATTCGCGTCATGAACACGAAGGAGGTCACGCACGTCGAGGGACCCACGGGGCCTGTGCGCCACTGGCTGGTGGTGGCCGTGCCGCAGTGGCGGCAGGCGCGGTCAGGGAACAGCTTCTTCGAGCGCTGCGGCTGCTTGGATGTGAGGTGGAGCGAAGACGAAGAAGAGCAAGCCCGGGCTGATGATGAGGATGAAGACGATGACAATGAAGATGAGCCCAGATCAGCTGATGGAAGTGAAGGCGAAGTAGAGGAGGGCGCTTGCTGGCTGTGGTGATGGCCAACGAGCTGGGTCAACAGCAGCAGCCGCTCGAGAAGCAGCCGATTACACTCCAACAAGTCGGTCTCAGCAAGGGTGAGACTAGCATTCTGCAACTTCGTCGTCAGCCTCGACACCTCCTTGGCCAGGATGCCCACCTGCCACCCAACACGAGCCATCAACGACGTGCATTGTATTTTATTTCATCTTTGATACTCTCAGTGGGCGAAGAGTACCTTAAGGAACAGGTCTGGGTGGTTGGTGTAGGTGTAGGGGCTGGCCATCGCTGAGTGGTGTTCTCAGGGAGTGGTGTTTGAGTTGAGTTGTTGAAGTGGAAGAGGGGGGCAGGTTTTATGTGAGGTGAGGCGAAGTGAGATTGGTCCGCGCGCGATGTGAGCAGAGATGGGTGACGGCATCTCGTTTCCGCCAGACAGGCCGTGCGTCACACGCGCCATCAACGACGTGCTGTCCACAAAGGCCACACCTTATCCAAATTGGAGCTGCCTCCTGGCGGAGCCAGCTGAGCGGTGGTCCATCACTCGCCCAAGTTACATTGATGTGAACCTAATTTGCGTTCACTGTTGGCCAAACGCCAGAAACTGGAGATGTACACCTGCTAAGTTACAAGCGAGCAACAGGCGAAAAGGTGGTTCTATGTTCTGATTTCTGATTGGTTCAATTAAGCACGAATTGAATGCTGCCTCTCCTCGCTGACTCCGCTGGCGATCGCGTGTCTATTAGTGTCTCATCGTCCGAAGATGCGGCCACAGCCGCGCACTTGCCGCGGCGAGCGTCTCGCTTGAGTTGTCTGAAATGACGAATGCCACACGCATTGCACAACCTGTCACCGAAAAGAGCGAAGAGCGAAGAGCGAAGAGAAAAGCAGGGTTAGGGTTGGTTGGTGGTCATAGCCCACCGGGGGGGGGGTAATGCCGATGGGCACTTACGTTGATGGGCCATGGGGTCCCGATCGCCACTGGCTCGTGTAGGCCGTGCCGCAGCGACCACAAACCCTGCCGGCAAACACCCTCTTTACCCGCTTCTGGTAGCCCGTAGTCACTCCCTGGAACAGGTCGGACGAGGCCGGCGATGACGGCGACGAGGACCCTGGAGATGAAGATGAAGACGAGTGGCTCCGCTTACGCACGAGCCGGACGTCGAGCTGACGCAGGTGCAGTTGAAGGAGTACGCGATTAAGATCGAACAGGTTGCTCTCCTCGGGCGTAAGCCCGACCTCCTGCTTCTTGGTCTTCAATCGCAGCACCTCTTGCGTCGCCTCGGCCAGCTGATGACGTGTGCGAAAAGAAAAGAGACTTAGCCGTCAGTTCCACGCGTTGGAGCACCGGAGGAGTTCGACATTCGTGGACGTGCCTGCTGGAACGCAATCGGTGTGGTAGTGGTAGTTGTTGGGGTGGCGTTGTTGGTTGTGTGCATTTAGTGTGAGAAGGGCTATGTGGTAGGGGCTGAGCAAAGGAGGAATGGCGACCGAGAAGGAGAACGTGAGTGTGTTGTGGTGGTCGGCGTGGTTTGTGGGCTTGTGGGAGGTTTGGCCCTGGGTCGAGGAGTCAGATTGAAGGCGGCGCACACGTGCCCGAGATCAGTTCGTAGGCGTACTTTGGAGAGCGGAGAGATAGCGGGAAGGTCGCATATGTCCACAGATGGTGTGCCACGCGGCCACGTCAGGCTTCACGTCTCATCACAAGTCGCGATCGGGCCATGGAGAAGGTCCAACAAAACGACGAGCACCAACCCAGAGCTGAAATTAAGAGGGCGGTCAGGATTGTAGCCAATCGAAACTCAGCTCGTGAGAACACCAGCACCAATTCATATCAGAGGTGGACGCACCGTCGTCCTCTTCAGCCGTGGGGGCAACAACGAGCGCACTCCTTCGCTGTTGGTGTCGGAACTGAGGCGCTTTGTTTCTCGCCATATAACCGAACAAGAAGAACGAAAGCGAAGGCTGTGTTTCGTTCTTTATTTTTCCGTTTTCATTTCCCATCTTCGTTTTTTGTTTTGGATTATTAGCCCTGTCAACCGCCACTCCAACACATCAAACGGTCTCCTCTTCACATCACCAGCAGGCAAATAGATTTCCACGCGCACCCCGACTTCATCCATTATTTAAACTCAAAAGGGGTGAATCAGCGCAACGATGGCCGATTTGGGCAAGCCATCGGCGACGATTTCTGGAACAGCAGATGGAGGGGGCGAGGCGACTCCAGCCTCGCCTACTTCGGGAGGACTCGCGACGGCCCCCATCTCATCTTCGAATGCCGGCGTCTCCATTGCGCCCGCGCCCTCATCGGGTGGCTCCACCCCCAGCGCTGGCGAGAGCGCCCCTGACACCGAGGCCGCCGGGGGCGTCGGAGGTAAAAAGAACCACCGCCTCCACCGCGCCGAACGCGAGGCCGACTTCATTCGCGTACCCCCCCCCGCTCCCATCTTTCGTTCTTTATTTCTTTCTTTTTATTCCTACAGCGAGAAAAATCAATCCGTTATTTGAATAAACTCGGATAAACGCAAATTATCTTCTTCTTTTTACGTATTTATTTATTTCAGTTTTATAAATAATTTCGTGAATTAATTAATTATTGTTTTTGTTTGTTGGTCAGATGCTGGTGCGGGGCGATTTTGCGGCCCTGCACGCTCTCTACGAGTCGGTGGACACGGGCAGCGAGGCGACGGTCCTGGTCGACGCCTCCGTCCACTACTTCTACACCAAGGGACCCAACGTACGCTCAGCTCGCCACTCCCTCACCTCAATCAACCCAAAGCCCGGCCTCATTCTTTCATTACTTCCCCCTTCCAGGCGCAATTGCTGCTCGAGTTGCTAAAATCCCTGATCGACAAGGAAGTCGACAGCACCGGTACGGGTTCCTTTCAACGCACACGCACACGCACTCGCACTCGCACTCGCACACGCACGCAGGACTGATGGTGGTGGTGATGGTTGTGCAGCATCGCCGGCGACGCTTTTCCGAAGCAACAGCGCGGCGGCGAAGATGCTGTCGGCCACGCTGCAGCACGTGGGCACCAAGTACCTCCAGATGACCCTCCGCCGGATCGTGCACGAAGTCTGCATGTCCAACCCACGCATCGAAATCGATCCCCTCAAGTACACACCCCTCTTCCCACATTCCACATTCCGTGCATTCCACGCATTCCATTGACGCTGGGCTGCACGCGCAGGCTCAAGCCGGACGACAACTACGACGAGAATCTCAAGCGGCTGACGAGCTACTGCGAGCTCTTCTTCAACACGATCACCAAGTCGATCGAAGACTGCCCCGTGTTCGTGAGGCACGTGTGCGAATACGTGCAGATGTCCGCCGTGCGCAAGTTCCCCGAGAGCAAACAGATCCGTCAGAATCTCTCCGCCGTTGGTTCGTGTCTCTCTCTCTCTCTCTTTTGCCCCAATCCTTGTCGCTTTCTCTTACATGCACGACGCACACGCACACGCACACGCACACGCACACGACACGCACACAGGCGGCCTGCTGTTCCTGCGATTCTTCTGCCCTGCGATCTTCACTCCGCACAAGTTTTCCGTGGTGGAGGCCGCACCTGGTCCCGTCGCCCTGCGTTCCCTGATTCTCATCTCCAAGGTCATGCAGATGATGGCCAACGGCCTTCGCTTCAGGTAAGCAAACCAACCACGCCAACGCCCCCTTCTCTCCTTTCGTTCTTTCCGTCGCTTTCATTCTCTCGGACTTGAAATAATGAACACGTGCGTGGCTCCGTACAGCGACAAGGCCGAGCAGTACATGATCCCCATGAACGAGTTCATCGACAAGCACTCGGCCGACCTTCTAAACTTCTTCACCGAAGCCTCGGTACCCCTCACTCACCTTCGCCTTCGCTCTCTTCGCGCTTGATGTTTGTTTTTAACTCCGATTGCTTGCAGATGGTGCCGAGCGAGGAGGAGATTGCGCGACTCGAGCAGAAGCAGCGCCAGGCCTTCCAGGAGCGCGTGCTGAAGGACATATCCAACCCGTTGCTGGTCAAGACCAACGACCGCATCAGCCAGATGCAGGACTGGAAGAACAACGTTGCCCTCCTCTCTCCGCGAGTACCACTCCACATTTTTTTCCTCGCTCTTCTCTATTCTCTTCTTCTTCTCTTTTCTTTTCTTTTTTGTCATCAGCTGCAGTCCACCGGAGCTCACCCACCCTCCAACCCGTTGGCCAATCCCCCCCGCAGCAGGCCAGAGCGCGCGCGGGCACGATCGAATCGCGGCCCATCGCCCACAGCGCTTCTTCGGCCCACTCCGGCCCCGCGCCTTCCGTTCCCGGTTCGTTCCTGCCCTCCGGCCTCGTACGTCCCCTCTCTCCTCAACCTCAACTTCTTCACTCCTGTTCCGAAGAATGACAAGACTGCTTACACGCGTGTCGTCGGTCGTGTGCGTGTCGTGCGTTTGCAGGTTGCGCGGTCAGCCCCGGACCTGGTGCGCGAAATGTCGGACGACGCGGGGGATACGGTGCGGTCGAACACGTCGCAACAGCTCCATGTGGCCGACCGCGAGCACTCGCGGGACGACGCGGTGACGTCAGCAGGCAGCCGCGGAGCGACGGACGATGCAGACCACCCGCCCAATAAGAGACCGGAGGCCAACGCCGGCGTGCCACCCACGACGGCCGCGGCGCCGGTGGCGGCAGCGCCGCACGGCGGGTCGGGCGAGTCCCACCCGCGCCGGGACGAGCGGGAGCAGCGGGCCGACTGGCTGGACATCATCCACTTCTATCTCCACCGCAACCTTGACAAGATTCGCGTCCTCATGCAGGCCCCCGAACTCCACGTACGTGCCCTGCGCGTGCGGTGGAGCGTGTGCGGTGTGCTGTGTGTTGTGTGCTTACATTAACGGTTTGGCGATGCAGGAGGATCTGAAGCACCTGGAGAAGGTGCTGTCGGCGTGGACGGTCCCGGAGATCGAAACGGAGGAGTCAAAGCGCGACAAGGAGCGAAAGGAGCGCGAGCGGAAGGAAAAGCTGAAGGAGAAGGAGCAGCAGGAGAAGCGCGAGCGCGAGCTGATCGAGCTGCCGGCCAAGGACAGCCCCAAGGAAAAGGACAAGGAGACGGCCCTCGAAAAGGCCACCCGGCGTCTCCTCCACAAGAAGACGAAGAACAAGGGCGAGCTCGAGACCAACCCCGACCTCCTCAATCTCGTACGCCCCGCACTCTGCTCTTTTGTGTGATGTTTTTTTTAACTCCTATGGTGTTGGAATGTATCGACGACTAGGAGGAGGGCGAGGACTTTGAGCGGCTGGTGGTTCGACTGAAGCTCGAGAAGGAGAAGGAGGAGGAGCAGCGCAAGCACGTCGAAAAGGAAAAGGAAAACCTCAAGAAGGCCAAGGAAATGATCGAGAAGGAGCTCATCGCGCTGATCGACGACTCCAAAAAGTGCGTTTCTTTGCGATTCGTTTCGCTCTTCCCCCCCCCCATTCGATCTTGGACTTCGCTTTCTTCTTGTTCGTTCTTTCCCCTGTGAGCTCACTGGTGGTGATCGCAGGATGCGGGTGGAGATCGCGAAGCTGCAGAAGGACAAGGAGATGGTGGACTACTGGCGCGGCGAGGCCGAGAAGGAGAAGGCCAAGAGCGTGTCCATGCTCGAGGAGAAGCACCAGCTGCTGGTCAAGCTCGCCCGACAGAGCGACGACAAGGCCGCGCTCGACGCCGATCGGGTGCGCTTCGACGCCGAGCGGGAGCAGATGGCGCGCGAGCGACGCGAGGCCGAGCGACGGGTCCGGGAGCTCGAGGCCGCGCTCAAGAACATGACCGAGGAGCGCGACGAGCTCAAGGAGACCTACAAGGCCTACGACGCCCGCATGAAGGCCGAGGAGCGCGAGCGGGCCAAGAAGGTGCGCGAGCGATTGGCCCACGGCGGCGACGACGATGACGACAGCAATGATGTCGACAAGTACAGACTGGTAGACGACTTCGACACGTCGTCGTCCTCGCACTCGATCTCGTCGTCGACGTCGAGCGACCGGACCAAGGTCAAAGAGCGAACGCGAAAGAAGAGCGAAGGCGCCGCTGGGGAGGCAGCCCTCGAAGGCGACGACGCCGCCGCTGAGCGGAGGAAAGAAAGAAAGAAGAAGAGGCGCACGGTGCACCTCCTCCGAACGTCCGGCGAACAGGACAAGGGCAGCTCATCCAGTATTACGCCGCGGGAGAGTCAAGACAAAGGAGAGAAGGAGAAGAAAGACGACAAGAAGGAGGAGAAAGAGAAGAAGGAGAAGAAGAAGCGGGACAAGGACGACGAGAAGAAGGAGGAGAAGAAGGACAAGGAGAGGCCGGCGGTGGTGGTGGGTGAGACGGCGGCGGCGGCGGCGGCGGAGGTGGAGGAGATGAGCTCGTCGATGAGCAGCAAGTCCTCCAAGAACACCAAGACCGCCAAGAAAGAGAAGAAGGAAAAGGAGAAGGAGAAGGAAAAGGAAAAGGAAAAGGAGACCAGCGAAGAAAGCCCGGCCGACAAGGAGGCGGCGAAGGAGGCCGCGAGAGAGAAGAGGCGATCGAAGCGCACCAACCGCACGTCGGTGAAGAAGACCAAGGAGGACGTCATGCGCGACCTTAAGAGCGAAGAGGAGGCGCAACAGGCCCAGGAGGACAAGGAATCCAAAGAATCCAACAGGGACGACTCGCCTCGCAAGCGCGGCGTCGAGAGGGAAAGAACGAAGGAAGCGAAGGAGACGAAGGAGGGCGTGGTGGTGATAGCCACGTCAATATCGGGGTCGGCTGAGGCGTCGGTGCTGCCACTGGCGACGTCGGCTGTGGTGCTGCGGCAGTCCAACCGAGGCGGCGAGTCGTCGGGCGACGGAAAGAACGAAAAAAACGAAGCCGGCGGGAGAGCCAAGAACGAAGGGTGGGTGCTCAGCGATGACGAAGACGATGCGCCGAAGGCGGGGGACGACGCGGCCGGCATTCGGCCGAGCGAGACCGAAGACGGAGATGAAGACGACACAGAGCGGACGCGAAAGGTCGGTAAGGTGAAGACCGGAAGCTACGTAGCGCCGCGCAAGAGCACCAACCCTCTGCGCAAGGCCGCGGAAGAGGTACCCCTTCGTTCTTCCTCTTTCTTTCTTTACTGTTCGTGTCGTCCGTCGCTTTTCGTTCTTTTGCGTTGGGGCTGATGTTGAGCCGGCGCGGGGGTGATCGAGTAGGGCTCTGGTATCCGGCGCTCGCAATCCTACGATGCACTGGGCTACAAGGAGTCCGGCAAACGGTCGGGCGGCAAAGACATCGATGTGCGCTCGCCCCTCTTTTTCATTCTTCTTCATCTTCGTTCTTCGTTCTTCGCTTCTCCGACTAAGGCGTTCGTGCTTGCAACGAGGTGCAGTTGAAGGAGTTGGGAAAGAAGATGCGGAAGGGTTTGGAGCTCAAGAGCCACAAGCACAATCTCAAGCGCTTCGAGAACTGTTTCCGGGGTAAAGCTTCACCTCTACTTTCTCTGAGAACTCATCACGCGGGCAAGTTCCACTCACAAACTCGTGCGTGTGCGGTGGTGCGTGTGCGTACCATGGTAGGCGTTCAAGCGGTGGAGTGGCTGATGCAGGGAGCTCATGTGGAGTCGCGGCCGGAGGCGGTCGAGGTGTGCCGGCGACTCCTCGAGGCGGGCGACCTTTTCGTCAACCTGCCCGGCCTTGAGGCCGAGTTTGCCGACGACGACCGCTCCGTTTATCAATTTGTGTAACCTATTTATTATTCCATTCCATTTATTTACCTTTTTCCAAGATATCTTTTTGTTTTAACTCGATGTATCTGATTGGGTGAAAGCTTTACTTTAAAACAGGATTGGGTGGAAGCTAAACTGAAACAAGGTAACAACAGCAAGTCATTGGCTGCAAGTTGTTAGTCGTAGTCGTGCTCTAGTAGTCATCGTCATCGTGGTACTTCTTGTTGCCGTCGCATTCGCGCTTGCACTGCTGGTGGTGCGGGCACTTCTCGCCGGCGGCGCGGTACTTGCCGTTCTCGTCCGGGTAGCAGCCCTTGGCGTCGGCGTAGTACACGCCGCCGCACTCGCGCTCGACCGGGTAGCACCCGTGGGCGTCGCGGTAGTACCACTGGTGGCCGATCTTGCGCGGGCAGCACCCGTCGTCGTCGCTCCACTGGCCGCCGTGGCACTGCTTCTTCTTGTCATCACACTTCTCGCTGGTGGTGGAGTAGTGCTTCTTGGTCGAGGTGGTCTCCTTGGGGCACTCCTCAGTGGTCGACGTGGTGCGTGTGTGCTTCTTGGTCGAGGTGGTCTCCTTGGGGCAGTCCTCGGTGGAAGTTGTGTAGTGCTTCTTGGTCGAGGTGGTCTCCCTGGGGCACTCCTCGGTGGTCGAGGTCGTGTGGTGCTTCCTGGTCGAGGTGGTCTCCCTCCTGGTGGTAGTGGTCTCCTTGGGCGTGGTGGTGGTCTGCTTCTTCGTGGAGGTGGTCTCCTTCCTGGTCGAGGTGGTCTCCTTGGGGCACTCCTCGGTGGTCGACGTGGTGCGGTGGTGCTTCCTGGTGGTCGATCTCTCGTGGTAGTCGTCGTCATGCTCCGGACGGATGCAGTACTTGTGGCACTTGCGCTCATCGTCGCAGTCCTCGCCGTCCTTAGGGTAGTTGCCCTTCTCGTCCGGGTAGTACCTGTCATGAGCGAACGATCAGTCAGTTCCAGTGCTCGTTTTGATGGTGTATGTGCGCGGGTGTGTGTACCCGTTGCCATCAGCGTAGTAGACACCACAGCCGACGTCCTTGGGGTAGCACTTGTTGCCGTCACGGTAGTAGGCCTTGCCGTGGATGATCTTCGGGCAGCAGCCCTTGCCATCCGGCCAGTAGCCGCCCTTGCACGGCCCCTTGTTATCGTCGTACTTGTCGTAGTCGTCGTCGGCCACGGCCGCGATGGCGAAAACAGCCAGGCTGAGGGCCACGACAAAGAGCAGCTTGGTTGTGGTCATCCCTGCGCTGCACAGTTGCTGGAGGTTGTGGGTTGTTGTGCGGAAGAGTAAGACGAATGTTGTTTGGTGAGGGCGGAAAGCCTTTTTGTGGTAATCGCTGGCCAATCAGACAGCGCCTGATTGAGCACTTTGCTAGAGCTCAGAGTCAGCCAATCCTTGGCCAGTGGGAACATACAAAGCCCGTGACCTATGTGTGTTTAGGGATGTTCTCTGCCTACAGCAGTGATGATAGCTCCCCCACGTCTCCCCACGTAAAGGCCATTGGGCATTGAGTCACCCATCCTGGTTGGCCCGGTGTGGGGTCTTTTCTCATGAAGAGTTTGAGTTGGGACACCCGCTCTTGCAGCCTTGCGTTGATCCTTCCAGTGCATCGGAATAGGGGAAGACAACCGATTCAACGACGCACTTTGTTTTTTGGCAAACTCAAACTTGTTTCGGAAATAGGGGAGTTTCACGTTTGGGAAACATCTCAGAGAGCCCCGAAAAAGTTTCGGGAACTGAGAAAACCTGAAATGCCTTCTCTTCCGCTTTCGCTTCGCGCACCTACAAAAAGGACAAGAGGCCACGCTCAATCAAAACAACACAAACCACAACAAGCGCTACACACAAGCCAGCAATGCAGATCTTCGTGAAGACCCTGACCGGCAAGACCATCACCCTCGAGGTCGAGTCGAGCGACACCATCGAGAACGTTAAGCAAAAGATTCAGGACAAGGAAGGCATCCCTCCTGACCAGCAGCGTCTCATCTTCGCTGGCAAGCAGCTCGAGGACGGCCGCACTCTGGCCGACTACAACATCCAGAAGGAATCGACTCTCCACCTCGTGCTCCGCCTCCGTGGTGGTATGCAGATCTTCGTCAAGACTCTGACCGGTAAGACCATCACCCTCGAGGTCGAGAGCTCCGACACGATCGAAAACGTGAAGCAGAAGATCCAGGACAAGGAGGGCATCCCGCCTGACCAGCAGCGTCTCATCTTCGCCGGCAAGCAGCTCGAAGACGGCCGTACCCTGGCCGACTACAACATCCAGAAGGAGTCGACTCTTCACCTCGTTCTTCGTCTGCGCGGCGGTATGCAGATCTTCGTCAAGACGCTGACCGGCAAGACTATCACCCTCGAGGTCGAGTCCAGCGACACGATCGAGAACGTCAAGCAAAAGATTCAGGACAAGGAGGGTATTCCTCCCGACCAGCAGCGCCTTATCTTCGCCGGCAAGCAGCTCGAGGACGGTCGCACTCTGGCCGACTACAACATCCAGAAGGAGTCCACGCTCCACCTCGTCCTCCGTCTGCGCGGCGGCAACTAAGCGTGTTTCCTCCACCACTTCTTCCTGCAAATACAACGACACAACTGTTCATAACCCCTACAACTCTTGAGAGTGCGCGTCTCTTCGTGTGATGGGAGTGAGCACCATTAGCAACCCGAGCCATGGCCAGCAATACAGAGCCCGTCGATCGCGTTGCCTTCATCATGACCTGACCGCCTTCTACTTCAACTCAAAAGGAACGACGATGTTCTACGCGTGGGCGACCGGGTCGATGCCGGCTCACGCCGTGGGCAAGCACGCGTTACAATCCCGCTCGCCCGCTTCTGCTGCGCTTTCCTCCACGGGTACCCCTACCCTCTGTGGGAGCTGGTCGACCTGGGCCTGTCGTCCCCGCCCGCGCCCTCTTCATCGTCATCGGCCGCTTCCCTGTCCGCCCGGTGAGGCTGGCGCTACGGCACGGAGCCGGCCTTGTGCCGATCTGCTCACACACGGCGAGCACCCCGACAAAGAACGAAGACGAAAAGAAGAACGAAGACGACTTCGCGTCGTGCGTGTACTTTCTCTCGGGTCCCCAGGGCCGACAGACGCCCGCGTCCGTCGCGCAGCACTACCTCTGCCTGCAGGCCACGACGAAATTTTCGGCGCGCCGAACGATGCCATCGCCGCCTTCTCCTTCCGAACCTACGTGTGCGTGTGTCGTGCGGTGGGTGTCGTGTCACTTGATAATAATTAATTGTTGTGATGACGCCGCAGTCGGAGAGAGGTTGGGCGCCGGGGCCGTTCGGGAAGGAAGCGTCTGCGCCGGTCAGCGCCGCCGCGCAGCTGGTCGTGACCACGTTCTACGACCACGCGCGGCAGCGCATCGTCGCCGTCAAGGCTCTCGAGCACTAGCCGGCCAGCGCCTGCTGCTGGGCTCACCAGGGCGCGCGAACCAAGGCCGACGACGCCTCGCGGGCGCAGGCAGGAGAGAGGGCAGCTCTACTGAAGCAGCAGGTCGGCCACGTCGCAGGGCAATACCTCGACGTTCAGCGCAAAGTGCTGGGCGATTTCGTTCATGCCCAACAGATCGTCCGTTGTGACAAGATTGATCACGACCCCCTTGCGACCGAATCGCCCACAGCGTCCCGACCTGTCGTGTTGTGTGGTGTGTGGTGTGCGTGCGTGTTGTGTGTGTGTGTGTGTGTGAGCATTGAATTAAGGTGGCGGACGAGTTGGGGGTGCAGTGTACCGGTGGAGGTAGGGCTCCGGCAGGCGCGGCAAATCGTAGTTGACCACGAGCGTCACGGCCGGCACATCGATGCCCAGGGCCAACAGGTCGTTGGTGATGAGCACCCGCGATGTTCCCGCCCTGAACTCGCTGCACTCGTGTGTGTGTCGTGTGTGTGTCGTGTGTGTGTCGTGTGTGTGTCGTGTCTGTTAGAAAATGTATTGGTGCGGCCAAAGCAAGAGTGGGCGTACTTGAGGAGCAGCTCGCGCTCGCTTGACTCGATATGGCCATGCAGGCTCGAGACCGTGTAATCCTTCTTGAGCAGCTGCTCCGTCAACCAATCGATCTTGCGCCGCGTGTTGACGAACACGATGCATTGGACGATCGAGATCGCGGAGTAGAGGTCGCAGAAGGTCTCCAGCTTCCACTGCTCGTAGTCCACGTCGACGTAGAAGTGCCGCACGCCCTCCAGCACCAGCTCGTCGGGCGGGATCGTCAGCTCGAGGTACGGCCGCGCGTCGTCTCGCGTCGCCGTCGTTGCCGCCGGCTGCCCAGAAGTCGGCCGCCTCAGACTCAGCTGCGCCTCCGCAGCCGCGTCGGCAAAAAAGTCGACGGCGTCGGCGGCGCTGACATCAGCAGAGAACGTCAACGCCATACGGTCGGCCGATGATGCGTCAGCTGCCACCTTAAGCTTGGCGGGCTTGAGCACGCCCTCGCCGGCCGTGCGCCGCCATAGGCGCCGGTGGTGCTTCACGAACGTCGGACCGGCGCCGGCGGTCTCGCACGTGGTGGCGAGCACGAGCTGCGGCCGCGGCCCGCGCAGGTAGGTCTCGCACAGGTGCGCCAGCGCGTCTTTGGTGGACTTGTCGAAGAAGAACGTGGAGTCGTCCAAGACCAGCATCTCCAGGTCCTTCAGATAGAGCGCCTTGCGACTGTTGCATGCGATAAAAAAAAATCAGTGTGAATTGCTGTGTGTCGTGTGTCGTGTGTCGTGTGTCGTGTGTCGTGTGTCGTGTGTCGTGTGTCGTGTGTCGTGTGTCGTGTGTCGTGTGTCGTGTGTCGTGTGTCGTGTGTCGTGTGTCGTGTGTCGTGTGTCGTGTGTCGTGTGTCGTGTGTCGTGTGTCGTGTGTCGTGTCGTGTGTGTCGAGTGGTGCGTACTTGGCCATGTCGGTGATGCGGCCGATGCTGCCGACCACGATCAACGGCCCTCGCTTCAGCCCACGCATGTCGCTTCTGCAGAGGAGGAAGAAAAAACAGTGAGCGACTCACTGGATGCGTCGCTGGGGCAGGACAAGAAGGCGAAAGTGAATCGTGTACCTGACGCTGGTGGCTCCCACCAGGGCGTGACACAGCAGCGGTTCGCTGTTGACCGGCGATCGCTGTGCACGTGGGGCACCACCGCGGCGGTGGTGGTACGACCTCTCTTCCTCCTCTTCCTCCTCAATCCGAGCCTCGTCGTCATCGTCGTCCACCACTTCCTCGCCGCCTTTGCCGTCGTCATCATCCATCGTCCCTTCTTCCCTGCTCCGCTCTCGGCGCCAGCAATCCCGGTGGCGACGATCTCGCCCACCACCAGATCTCCGCCACGGCGCAGCTTCGCGCCCGTCGTCCGCGTGGTCCACTTCGACTGCTGTCGGGGCGGCGGCTGCGGCGGCGGCTGCCCTTGCCGCCTGCTTGGCTTCGTGGGCCTCGCGGAAGGGTCCGGTTGCAAAGTGGTGGCCTATGGCCTCGATGACCCGGTGCATCTGCAGGGCGAGCTCTCTCGTGGGCGTGATCACCAGGGCCATCGGGTTCCGCTTGCCCTTCCACGCGCCGCTGCCGCCGGCACTCTCCTTGGTCTCGCTCTCCTCCTTCTCCTTCTCGCTCTCCTTTTCCCTCTCCTGCTCGATCGTCCACAGAGCCGCGACTCGCTGCACCACCGCCATCGCCAACGCCGCGCTTTTACCTGTGTCGTGTGCGTGTCGTGTCGTTTCGTGTTGCGTGCGTGTCGTGTCGTGTCGTGTCGTGGGTGAGTGAATGCGCACGATCGCAGGAGGTCAGCTGATGGCTGTAGGCGTACCGGTTCCGGGCTGGGACTGGCAGAAGACGTCCCACCCGTTGACGATGGGCGCGACGACCTTTTGCTGGATGAGCGACGGGCGCTCGAAGCCGTAGGCGTAGACCCCGCGCAGCACGTCGACGCCGCCCTTGCGCCCGACCCGCGCGTCGAACTCGTCGTCCCACATCTCGTCGAACGTCGGGCACACGTGCGTCGACCACGTCGCGACACCGCCGTCGGCCTTCTGCGACGGCGGCGGCATGAGCGACACGTACAGTCCGCCATCGATGGTGGCGGTGGCGGCGGTGGCCGCCGGCGTCAGCCAGCGCACGGTGCAGGCCCCGAGGAGCAAGGCGGCGAGCCGTGGTCGGTCGCCTGTGTTGTCGAGCGAGTCGAGCGCGCGGTCGAACCGCACCCAGTCCCTACGCGGCCCGCCCTCGGGCCTGCTCTCCGCCTCCCTGTCGCGCATCGCCGCGAGCCACGCCTCCAACCGCGCCCTCAGCCGGTGCTCGTCGCCACCAACCTCCGGCCCGCCGGCACTGGTGTGAGCCGCGGCGGGCAGCGAGTAGGCGAGGGTGGTCTGGCCGTCGTCGTCGTTGGTGAGCTGCAGCCAGCCGTCGTCGACGAGCCGCGCGACGACGAGCTCGGGCCGGGCGTCGATGCGTACGGTGAGCACCTGCTGGACGAGCGCGGCCAGCAGGGCGCGCAGGTGGGACGGCCGGGTGCCGGTGGCCACCGCCGACGCCCACCACCGCTCGAGCCTGCGCGACAGATCGGCGTCGAGCTCCTGGCCGGCAGATGATGCATCGTCGGGGTGGTGGAGGGTCACCTGAGGCTCGCCTCGTGCGGGCTTGGCCTCGATTTGGAGCATTCCGCGATGGATGAGCCAACGTAGGACGGATTCGAGGGAGAGATGCGCGGGGATGGTGTACAGGCGGCACATGGGCCGTAGGGCGTTCTCTAGCCTCTTACGTGTGCGCGGCAGCTGGGCCGCCGACTGGCCCTGCAGCCACTCCTTGACCCTAATCACCACACTCGCCACGTCGCTACTCCTCGGATCTAGCGTTCTCTTCTGCTCCATCTGATTCTTTCTATTCGTTCTTCTTTGCTTCTATATGTGTTTCTTTTCACGACTGTCTGTGACGCAGAACCCGCCCAACGCCCCCATTTCTCGCTTTGGCTTCGATTCAGTCTTCCATCGATGTTTGTTTCTATTTTTCTTCTTTTCTTTTTCCTATTTTATTCTTCTTTTATTTTCCAGCGTTCTTGTTGGCGGCTCACGAGAGCTGTGGCGGCGCGCGGTCGTGGATGGGTTGCCACGGGTAGAGCGGCGGGTGCTCGCTGACGTTGTCGAGCGCGTCCATGTGGTGCTTCTCCAGTCGCCAGCCCACGGCGCCCAGGTTGTCCCTCAGCTGCTCCTCGGTCCTCGCCCCGACCAGCACCGACGTCACCCCGGGCTTCTGCAGCAGCCACCTGATCCACCCACCGTGAGCCCCAGGTGGCGTGATGAGTGTCGTGTAGGGGGGTACGAACCTCAGGGAGACCTGTGCAGACGTCTTGTTCGTCTTGGCGGCCACGTCGGCGACGGTGTCGAGCACGTGCCAGGTGTAGGGCGTGTTGAACGAGTCGAAGTTGCCCTCGACCCACCCGGCGTTCTGCGCCCACTCCACGCGCGAACCCGCGGAGGGTCCCTCCCTCGTCAGGTCCCTCTTGCCGGCCAGCCAGCCGCCCTGACAGGACCCGCGGGACAGCGACAGCTTGTTAACTGAGAATGCGAGGAATGTGGTGCCAGTGCGTCGTGCGCGATGGTGATGGCCTACCTTGAGCGGTGACCAAGGCAGCACGGCGAGACCCTCCTCCAGAGCGAGCGGGATGATGTCCCACTCTGTGGACCGGCACAGCATGCTGTACTGCGGCTGCAAGCTCACAATAGCTGTGGACCCACAGATCAGTTTGCGCACACAACACAACACGACACAAACGACACACACGACACATAGCACACGCCCACGCCCACGACTGTACGTACGCTCCCAGCCCATGCGCTCGGTCAAGCCAATGGCCTTCTCCACCATCCACGCCGGGTAGTTTGACAGGCCGATGTGGTGCACCTTACCGCTGCGCACGAGGTCGTTCAGCGTGCGCAGGGTTTCGAGGAGCGGGGTGCGCGGGTCGGGCGAGTGGATCTGGAGGAGGTCGATATGGCTCGTGCAGCCCAGGCGCTCGAGGCTGCGCTCCAGCGAATCGACGATGTGGCGCCGACTCAGCCCGACGTCGTTCACACCGGGTCCCGTCTTGCCGCGCACCTTAGTCGCCACCACCAGGTTGCGCCGACGCTCGTTGCCTTCGCGCGTCAGCCAACGACCCAGCACCTCCTCGCTGCTGCCGTACACGTCTGCACTCGGCCAGGTCCAGCCACGACCGTCAACATGAAAGCGACGTGGCCGACACGAAGAGGGAGGCACCTGCAGTGTCGAGGAAGTTGCCGCCAGCGGCGACGAAGGAGTCAAGCAGGCGAAAGGAGGTCTCCTGGTCGGCAGCGGGCAGACCCCATGGCCCCTTCCCTGCCCGTGCGCATCAACAGCATCTTCTGATCAGCCAGAGCACTGGCGCTGGGGGGTAAGGGGGGTAGTGCCGCACCATCGGTGGACAGAGTCATGAGACCAAAGCACAGTTCGGATACCAGGAGGCCCGTGCCCTTGCCTAAGAAGGCGTACCCCATCTTAGTGTTCTCTCCATCCATGTTTCAGTTGCGGTCTTTTTGTATAATTTATTTTATTTTCCCTTCTGTTTTATTGGTGTTGCCTTCTGCTGTGCCCCCTGTGTGCCGTGTGGCAGTGCTTTCACCCAGGCATGTTCCTCAATCTTGTTCATTTTGTCCACATTTTGATTTTGCTTTGCCCCCCCCTTGCAAACGAAACAATTAACATCTCAAATCCAAATCTTGCCAGGCCACGTTGGAAACCGCGGCGTGCCCTTTCTGGGCGCCAATGGCGGGCACGTGTGCGGTGCCGGGTGGCACACGAGGCCAGGGTGTTGGGCCGTTGTATCCCAAACTGGCAAAAGGTAACGGTCTGCGTCTGCGGCCAAAGGGTCAAGGCCAGCCTTGGGATTCGAAGCCGTCAAGAAAAAGGAACCTCTCAAGTCTCTCAGAGTGTTGGTCGTGTGTTCTTGTCTTCATCTCTACCTACCCTCATCAAGAAGAAGGCTCGAGAAGGGCTGGTGATTCGAAGAAGAAACCATGGAGTCAGGTACAACTCACCAACAACATCAACGACAACAATGGACTCTGGCGCTCCACATCAAGAAGAAGGAGAAGAAGATGAACCCTTCTTTACACGGCCAGCCCCTCACACTATTGTGTACTACTCTTGTCAATTTACAGCAGCCACACCAGCCCCAGCCGAGCCCGGGGCGCCGGCGTTCCCCGCCACCGATTCGGTGGAGGGCGTCACCCGGTACCTCATGGCCCAGAGGAACGCCCTCGCCGAGCGGAAGCGCCTGCTCGAGCAGAAGGTGCGCGAGAGCCAGATGCAGGCCATAAGGTAAAGCAGAGAAAGAGAAACCTTCCCTCGTTACACGTGTTGAACTTCAACCCATTTTACAGGTTAACATCGTCATCTTCAATGGAACAGGGACAAGCAACAGATGGTCTACGAGGAAATCGAGCGCGAGAAGCAGAGGCAGCGTCTGTGGGCCGAGGAGGAGTACAACCGACGCGAGGGCACGGCCGGCGTGGTGGCCTCGGTGTCGCGCCGGGAGGCCCCAGTCGAGGTCGACCCCCGCTCGCCGCGCACGCCCGGCGCCTTCGCCACCGTGACCGACCGAGGCGACAGCAGCAATATAAAGGTGGTGGTATCTGGTGAAGGTGGATCGACGAGGAACGTGGAAGAAGATGACCATCATGACGACGATCGCAGCTACGATTCCAGCGATTCGTCAACCGACGAGGACGAGGACGACGACGATGACCGCGAGCCCAAAACGCCGCCCCCGCCCCCGCCGGGCGAGGACGGCGCGTTGGCCCCGGCCGACGACATTGGATCGGCGTCCTACCCGCCAGTCTCGTCGTCGTCTCTGGAGGTGTCGGCCCAGCCGACCACCTCTGGCGGCCTGGCCAAGTACCGAAAGAAGGCCAGCGAAGACTCGTACGACCCCCCCCCCGCTATGGTGGTTGGGCATGGGCAAAGTGAGGGCTGGTAGCTGATGGTTGGTTGGGCGTGTTCAGACAACATAACAACAACAGCGACGTGAATGACGCGTCGCTGGACACCCTGCGAGCGCAGGCGCAGGGCCTGGCCCTGTCGCCGCTCGACATGTCGCCCGCCGACTCGCCGTCGTCGTCCTACGGCGACCTCCCGCTGTCCAACTCGCAGTCGCTCTCGGGCTCGTCGGCCTCGTCGCCCAAGTCGTCGCCGCCGGCCTCGCTCTCGAAATTTACAGGCCTCAGCGCCGCACCGCTGGTCATCCCCGTGCCCCTCATGGACAACGACGAGATCCGGCGGCTGCAGGAGGAGATCCGTAAGCTCGAGGAGGAGGTGCTAGAGCAGGAGAAGTTCAAGAAGGAGATCAAGAGGGAGAGACGCCGCAGCAGCAGCTCGCGCCGCAGCAGCAGCAGCAGCAGTAGCAGCAGCCGCAAGAGCGACCGCCACCGCGATCGCGACCGTGATCGAGACCGCGAGAGCAGCCGTGACCGTGACCGTGATCGTGGGAGCAGCCGCGACCGGTCGGACAGGAGGGAGCGCAGGGACTACGACCGCGAGCCATCGCGGGAGCGGTCGTCGAGCAGGGGGACGGGGGGCAGCGGGGGCAAGATCAAGCGGTCCGACTCGTACAAGAGCTCGGCGGCGGCCCCGCGGTATTCGGTCACTGCGCTGCCGGGCTCGCCCTCGGCGCCAGAGCCCAGGCGGGGCTCACGAGCGCCGCTGCCTCGTCCCGACTTCCTGTCGTCGGGCGACAGCGCCAGAAAGAGAGCGACCTCGATGGACATGTCAGGTACACACACGACACACACGACGCACGACACACATGACACACCGCACACGCACACGCACACGCACACGCACACGCATGTGGGACCACATGGGCTTACGAATGGCATGGGTGGTGTAGCAGAGGAAGACGATGACGTGGAAAGGAGGGAGAGACGCGAGAGGGAGCGAAGGGAGAGCGAGCGGATAGCGACCCTGCCGCGCAACTTCAAGGAACGGGAGCGGAAGGGCAGCAGCGGCGGCAGCGGCAGCAGCGGCGGCAGCGGCAGCAGCGCCAAGGCGACTATGCGCGATCGGGATCGCGAGAAGGAGCGCGAGCGGGAACGGGAGACGGAGATCGAGAAGCGCGAGCGGGAACGAGAGAGGGAGCGGGAGAGGCGGCGATCGGCCGCGTACACGACTAGGAACAGAGATCGCGACCGCAACGACAGGGACCGCGACAGGGACCGCGACCGCGACCGCGACTTCGACAAGGACCGCGACCGCGACAGGGTACCGTTCAATCGCAGTTAATGTCGACACGCGTGCGTGTTGTGACTCACGCACACGCACACGACCACACCAGGCGCGGAGTCGACCACGTTCGACGACGAAGGAGCGATCGGCGAGGCCGAGCGAGGATCCGTACACCACCAGGGAGCCCCGCTCCACATGGGAGCTGCTGTGGGACGACCTCGAGCTCTCCAAGGACGTCATCAGCCAGGGCGAGTACGGCGAGGTACTGTGATTAATTATAATTATAATTATAATTAATTTTTTGATTTACTTTTCTAGTGCGTTAATATTTATTCTTTTTACATTTTTTGTAGGTGCTGCGTGCCACGTACTATGGCACGGCTGTGGCGGTGAAGAAGGTGACCAACACCGACACGGAGAATGCCTTCCGCTACGTCGAACGGGAGGTCAACCTGCTTCGGGATGTGCACCACCCCAACATCATCCAGCTCATGGGCTACTGCAAGTACAACCGCGAACTCTACCTGGTGACCGAGTACCTTCAACAGGGTTCCCTAGCGCGCCTCCTGCAGAAGTGCCTCGTCTTCCCGTACGCTACATGATCGCCGCCGCCGCCGCCTCCGCCTCCGCCGCTGCCCACCCCGCGCCATCTGACATTCCTTGCATAACTCCAGGTGGAAGATCAAGATCAAGATGATCACTGACGTGGCCTGCGGTCTGGCCTACCTCCACTCCAAGTCCATCCTGCATCGCGACATCAAGTCCGAGAACCTGCTTGTATGTCGCCGCACACGCACACGCATCACCGCACACGCACCACCGCACACGCACACGCATCACCGCACACGCACACATGCCACTGACCCAAAGCTGCGTGCAGGTGTCGTCCAACTTCCAAGTCAAGTTGACCGACTTTGGCTTTGCGGCCGAGATGGTGGTGGCCGGGAAGAAGCAGTGGCGCATGACCGTGTGCGGCACCGAGAACTGGATGGCGCCCGAGGTCATGATGGGCGAGCCCTACGACGAGCGGGCCGACGTGTTCTCGTTCGGCGTCGTCTGCAACGAGATCATCACCGGCCACGACGGCAAGCACTTCAGACGACTCGTAGACGACGGCTACGCGCTGGACATCGAGCACATCTACTCGCTCGTGCCGCACGACACCCCGCCTGGGCTGCTCCCACTCGCTCTCGAGTGCTGTCGACTCTCCCCGGGTGACAGACCCGACATGAAGTCCGTCATCGACCGTCTCAGCGACATCGAGTTCAAGCTTCCAGGTACCACACGACACACACGCACCATGACACACACGACACACACGACACACACGACACACACACGACACACACGACACACACGCACACACACATGGACCTCTGGTGCTGACTGCAATGGGCGGTGATGCGCAGCAGAAGATGATTACTCGGCGATGCTGGGACAAGTGCAGAGCTTCCAAAAGCAGGGTCTCAAGACGACCAAGACGAAGGACCGAACAGAGCTGCAGCTCGAAAAGGCGCGCCTGCTGGCCGAGATCCAGAGCTTCTCCCAGAAGGTATGTCGCACGCACGCACGCACGCACGCACGCACGCACGCACGCACGCACGCACGCACGCACGCACGCACGCACGATGCTATGCGCAGATGGGCTCACGAGTTGGTTGTTCATTGATGCGCTACAGCCGCAAGCGGTGGCACAACCGGGGCAGGCCCAGGGAGGTGACCCGTCAGTGGCTATCCTGACTCAGCTCGCCAAGCAGCTCAACCAGCTCGCCCAGGAGAATGCTACCCTCAGGTAACGCCACCGCATCGCCCATTCTCTTACTTTCTGTGCGATCGCTGATCCACAATCATTCATCTACGCCGCTTCCGCCCTTGCAGGGAGAACATGAAGAAGCTCGAGGACAGAGGATAAGGCCGACTCGCTGCTGATGATGACTATCACTATTTTGAGTTTTTGTCCGTCTACACGACAGACCTCCGTACCGTAGCTAGTATCAATAAATTGTTTTTTTAATGCATTAAAAAATAGATAATTGAATTGTAATCTTGTTTATTATGCTAATGAACTGGCTCATACTGATTGAGACACAGTACTGTGTCAGCGCCGATCTCATGACCAAGATTTGGTCGCGGGCTGCCAAGTGGGCCAGCCCTCCGGGAAGGGCTGGGGGACTTGCCGCGAGACGCGCCAGCCGTTGGTGTCGTAGCCCTGCGGGTGGTCCCGGTACAGACGCTCGCAGCGCCTGCAGGGCGCGTCGGGCTGCGGTCCAACCAGCGCGGCCATGGCCGGCGGCGGGGCCGGGTGGTCCGGGTCGGCCTCGAACACACACACCTGCTCGTACTCGGGCATGTTCAGGTCGGGCTGGACGAACAGGACCTGGGAGCGGCCGCAGCCGCCGGCGGCCTTGCAGTAGGCCACGATCTCGCCGCCCTTGAGCTCGACCACGCACGGACCCGATGCCACGCCGGCGAACGAGGCGCCGCAGTGGGCGCAGGCCGCGGGCAGATCGGCTATGATGGCCCGCTTGCGTGCGGCAGCGGCGACGAGGTCGGCCGGAGTGAAGGTGGGCGGGGTGGTGGGCGTGCTGTAGGTGGTGGTGGGGGCGTAGGCCCGGGCGGCCTCGTAGGCTGGGGCCTGCACCTGGTACATCATCGCAAGTCCGGGTGCGGGGACTGGGGTTGTGCTTGACATGTTAGGTGTGTTGTGTTGGGGTTGCTGTCTTTATGTTGTGTCTGACGGCAATACAGTCTTTTATATGATGTGGCCCGCCATTCGTTGAACGGTAAAGTGGCCGACAGCAACATTTTAGCGAACTAAAAAAAATGATAAAATGATAAAATAATAAAATAAAAAGATGGAGCAGTTGGCCACAGGAGGTGCAGAGATGGCCAAGCAGCAGCTGCACCCGCAGGTGGTGGCGTGGCTGCAGGAGATCGAGCTCGCGCCGGGACCCGAGGTGGCGCGCGGGCTGCTGTCCGCCGGCTTCGGCCACTCGCCTGACGCGTTCGCCGAGCTCTCCCTGCCCCACTTCCACCTGGTCCTCGGCCTCGAAGATTTCCACCAGCGACGCAGGCTCCACTCCCTCCTCCTGCGCATCAATCGCAAAATCGCGGCCCCCTCCGCTACTTCTTCATCGACTTCTTCTTCGCCCTACGTTCCACCTTCATCATTGGCCTCGCCAAGAAGGCCTCATCTGCCCTCACACACCACCTCGCTGCCCTCCCCGAGATCCTCATCTTCTTCTTTTTCATCTTCTTCTACGTCGCCATCTACTACGTCGCTGCCGCCCGTGCCCAGGCACTACGCGCCCAGCAAGGTCAAGTCCTTCGACTCGGCGCTCGGCTCTCGCAGTGGCCACCAACACGACGACCTCGACTGGGGGTACGCACTCCCCTCCACGCGTGTGCGGTGGTGTGCGTGCGGTGGTGCGTGTGTGCGGTGTGTTGCTAACTCGGTTGGCCTGCAGCGACGAGGCCCTGCCCAGTCCCTCTGGCGGCGAAGATGACGTGGACGGCGCAGTGGAGGAAGAAGAGGAAGTGGTGGTGGAGGAGGAGGTGGCCCTGGACGGCGGCGAAGAGGCGGTGGTCATCACCCTGGGCGACGAGGAAGAGGAGGACGAGGCTGCCGCCGACGGCGGCGAGGAGGCGTGCGCGCCCAAGCCGCGAAGCCGATCGTTCGGCAGCTCCTCGTCGTCGTCGCAGACGCAGCAGTCGGGTGCGTCGCGGTCGTCGGTGCCGTCATTGTCGTCCACGCCACCACCACCGAGCTCGCCGCGCGGCCCTGCTGGGCCTTCGTCATCACCGTCGTCGTCATCTACGCCGCTGCCGAGCTCGCCTCGCGGCACAACCACTCAAAACCTGCGGGTCAGCGTATGCGTGCGCAAAAGGTGTCGTGTGTGGCGTGTGTGGCGTTGTGTCGTGTGTGTCGTGTGTGTCGTGTGTGTCGCGCGTCGCGCTAACGTGTAGACGGCTCTTCATGACACGCAGGCCGCTGCTGGAGAAGGAGGTGCGATCGCGAGAAAGGGACATCGTGTTCACCGGCAAGCGGCCTTCCACTTTGGAGGTCCACGAGCCCAAGGTGAAGGTCGACATGTCCAAGTAAGCGCTAGCCTGGACTCTCTCCCTCCTCTGCGTCATATGCCGTTTCACTGACGCACACACACGCCACACACACACACACACACACACGCCACACACGCCACACACACACACACACACTACCGCACACAGGTACACGGATGTCCACACGTTTGCCTTCGATCACTACTTCAGCGACCTCGATGACAACCTCAAGGTCCGTACAGTTCCGGGTCTGCAAAGGCCTGCTGGCCTCTAGCGCGTCGGCCACTGACCGACCAGTCCACACCACACACACACGACACGACACGACACGACACACACACACACGGGTGTCCTCCTTTCGCCGCCGCAGATCTACGAGGAGGCGGTTCGGCCGCTCGTGTCCACCATTTTCAAGGGCGGCGCCAGGGTCACCTGCTTCTGCTACGGCCAAACCGGTGCCCCCCCCCCCGAGGCAGCGACATATTCTGCTTTCTTTCGTCTCACCCCCCCCCCATGCGTGTGCGTGTGCGTGTCGTGCGTGTGTGGCGTGTCTTGTGTTCAGGAAGCGGAAAGACGCACACGATGATGGGCAAGCGCGGCGAGGACGGCCTGTACGCGATGGCAGCCAAGGACATCTTCGGCATGCTCGACGAGGCGAGCCGCTCCCGCCCCCTCCGCGTCAGCGTCGCCCTGTTCGAGATCTACGGTACCGCGCCGGCCCCCTTTTTCGCACCGCCCGGGCGAACTGACCACTTCACTGCCGTCGTATTATTATGGTCGGCCTCATTGCAGGCAACAAGCTGTTCGACTTGCTCAACGACAAGAAGCCGCTGGTGGCGCGCCAGAACTCGAAGCAGCAGGTGTGCGTCGTGGGCCTGAAGGAGCGGCTGGTGAGCAACGCCGACGAGCTGCTGGGCCTCATCAGTGCGTTTGACACCTCCACCCCACCACACTCATTGCCTGGTTTTCTTCTTTAAAAAAGTAATCGTTGCGCTCGTGTGGGCAGGCAAGGGGAGCGCGTCGAGGAGCACGTCTGCGACTGGCGTGCACGCCGAGTCATCTCGCTCCCACGCCATCCTACAGGTACACGTGTCGTGTGTGTCGTGTGTCTGCGTTGTGTGTCGTCGTGCGTGTCGTGTGTCGTCGTGTGTGTTGTGCACACGAGAGAGAACACTCACCACTTCACAACCAACAGATCTCGCTCAAGAACGCGGAGGGCAAAACGCGGGGCATGTTTTCGTTCATCGATTTGGCCGGTTCGGAAAAGGCCGGCGACACCAACGAGAACAGCCGACAGACCAGGTACTGCGCTCTTCATCGCCTCTTAATATTAACATTATTACTATTTTACTCATCATTTTGCTCTCGCACGTGGACGTGTGGCAGAATTGAGGGCGCCGAGATTAACAAGAGTCTGCTCGCCCTGAAGGAATGCATTCGTGCCTTGGTACACGCACCACTACACACGCACACGCACACGCACACGCACCACCGCACACAGGGCAGTACCTGACTCCCACTGGCCCTCTTCTGCGTGATGGAGGAGTGTAGGATCGTTCGCAGAAGCACGCGCCGTTCCGGCAGTCGACTCTCACGCAGGTCCTCAAGGACTCGTTCATGGGTCCCCACTCGCGGACCATCATGATCGCCAGTACGCGTCTCTCTTTTTTTTCTTTTTTTCTTCTCTTTTTTGTTTTGTTTACCGTTCTAGCGCTCCGCCGACAGACATCGCTCCGAACAGCGGCTACGCCGAACACACGCTCAACACACTCCGTTACGCCGATCGGTACCACACACACACCACACACACACACCACACACCACACACACCACACACACACACACCACACACACACACACACACGCTCACACTTTTAATGCAAATGTAGGGTGCGCGAGTTGCGAGGGCACAACCCGTCGTTCTCCTCTCCGCCTCCGGCCTCCTCTCCAACGACGCCCCAAGGAGGCGGTCTCGGCCCGAGACAGCGCTCGACCGACGGCGCGCCCGCTACGACGTCGCCCAGTGGCGGCGGCGGCGGTGACGACGAGATCCTGCGATGGCACAGGCACCACCTGGAGGAGCTCACGCGGCTGGTCGACGAGGAGCTGCAGCTGCTCGAGAAGGTGGACCGGGGCGAGATCACGGGTGCGCGCTACCGGGCCGCCCTCAACGACATCCTCATCGACGAGGCCATGCTCTTCGCCAACATGCCCAAGAACCTCGAATGAGTTTTTTTAAAATCATTAATTATGATTTAAACCACGTTACAAGCTTCGTGCCTCTTGATGATCCACTTCGCGTCGCCATAGTCGAGCTCGTGTCCTTCTTCGCCCCCATCCTTCTCGTTCTCTAGTTCGGCCTCTGTTGATAAATAATGAGGGAGCATTACCATAGAGTATCAGTTGACTACTGTTTCGCCGTAGCACTTAGTGATAAGCAAAGGCGGGAGTGGGACCTGTCCGGGGAGAAGCTCGGCGATGATAGCCTTGAGAGCTGCGTATTGGCACGCTTGCGCTGCTTGTAGCATGCGCTGCCACACGGCGGGCTCCAGATGATGAGCCCAGAACGCGCGCAGCTTCTGGACGTCCTCCTCGGCCTCGATCTCGCGGAAGGTCATCATGTTGGTGCTGTGGAAGACTGTCCGCACCACCATCTCCAGGTCGTGCGAGAACGCCGGCCGGTACTGATCACCACTCTCCCAGCTGTCGAGTATCTCGTCGGGCGCGTGCTGGAGGGCTCCGTCGAAGTCTGCCAGCACGCCAGCCGCCGCGGCCGAGCCCCAGTCGTTGAGGAAAACCTATGTCAGCGCGGGGGGGGGGCATTGTTGTGTTGGTCAGCTCGCTGAGGACTGTCCAAGTGCCCAACACCACCAACATCAACATCAACATCAACGAAGGAAGGCGACTAGGTACTTGAGTGGTTCCCTTGATTCGAAAGAAGTTGTTCAAGCGGACGTCGCGATGGACCAGGCCACATTTCTTGTGGGCTTGCTCGAGGATGTTGATGAGCTGCACAAAGTCATCTCGATTGGCGAGCGCATGATCCTGGTGGGCGAAAAAAGTTGAAGTTAGCATCGCAGTTGTTGGTGCGTTGCCTGCCAGGCCGTGCTAAAGTATGATAGTACCCAGTTGTTCACTGATGACGCAAACTTGTCTCCGACCGGTTGCAGGATCAGAACGTCGCCCACTACGCCCAGAACGCGCGGTACCAGTTCACCACCCAGCAATTCCACTGCGTTCAAATTCGTGTCTGCTGTGGCTCAGAGCCGCTACTCTGTCCTCATTGAACCGCTTGATGACGACCTCCTCTCCTGCACTCCTCAGCAGCGCGTACATCCACCCGTGTTAGATGGGCGAGCGTGAGGAGCAGGCCATAATGTTCGAAAACGAGCTGTCTGCTGTATGAGTATGCAAGATGGTGGTAAGCGTAGTGTACCTTTGTACTTGCCGGAGAAGACGATCGCCGAGCCACCGCTTCCGAGGTAGCTCTTCACGCGGACGGGCGCACCGCGGATTTCTAGCTGGAGGCCGTTGTAGTTCGGGCTCTCGAGCAGAGTGGCGAGCCCCCGGGCTCCGTCCTCGACGAGCTGCATCGGCTTCCCTTCGTAAAGCTCCTTCTTCGGTCTCACCACGAGCCTGAAGAACTGGATCAAAACGCCGTCGCTGAGGAACCCAAACATCGACGAGCGCCAGGGCTGATAGTTGAGGAGCAGCTCTTCGAGGAAAGATTCGAGATGGCCCTTCTCCTCGTCGTCGAAATCATCCTTGCCAGCCGAGCGTCTCGCCTTGAGCTCACCGATGAGCACGATATGGGCCACGCTTTTGGGTTGGCCAGCGAGGTAGCCCACGATGTCGGGATTGCAGGTGCCGAACGAGACTGTAGAGTGCTTGTCCACAAGGACGACCTCGTCTCTTGGAAGCTGAGGGATGATGCTTGACCAAAAGGGTTGGACTGTCCTGCTCTCGGACGACCCAGGCCGGGGCGGGTCTGCGGCGAAGAGGGATGCCCAGTCCGGCCGCTTTCCGAAGTGTGCGGGCAACATTGGCACCCGCTTCACAGCAAGCTTCTGATAGCGCTCTCGGTGGGTGCTGGGTGTAGCTGGTGAAGGAAGAGGGGGCTGATCATCATCATCATGGCTCATTTCCATCAATCTACGTGCAACCAGAAGACGAGAATACACGTTAAGATGATGCAAAGCGTACCAGTCTGTTTGCCTTCACCCATTAAACGTGACTTCATGAGCAGCTTGAGCTCAGCCATTTCTTTGCGGTTCCGTTTTTCGTTGGCTATGACGTACTCCATCAGCTGGCGCGCTGGAACGGAATGGGCTTGAGATACAAGATCGAGAAATGAATGCAAGATCGAGAAATGAATGGTTAATGGAAGAGATACCAGGAGCCGAAGAAGCACGTAGAAAGAAGAACCTTCATCAGAGTTGCATTCACACGGATTGGCGCTGCACTCCATTTCGAATTGGCTTGTTCGAACAAAGCTCGCGGGTCGTCTCCGTCGTTTTGGCGCCACATTTTTGGCGGGAAACAATTTACAAAATTTACAACATTGTGCCTCAGGACCAGGCCGCAAGGTATGTGCGAGGTGGCCTGGCAAAGTCTCTCTCGCCAAGGTTAGTTGAGGGCGGGCTGGTCGTCGGGGGGCTGAGGCAGATGCCCACAGCGCAGTCGGGCTTCGGTGATGCGCGCCTCGTCCTCCTCTACCTGCTTCTCCTCGCGCCACTTCCTCCGCTGTCGGGCCAGGAAGCCCCATGCATGATAGCCACCTAGTAGAACCAAACGTCACTCACGCCTCGTGTGTGTGTTGCGTGTGTTGCGTGTCGTGTGCGGTGGTGCGTGTCACGTAGATTGTACCGGCGGCCATGAGTACGGAGGAGGTGCCGATGACGAACAGGGGCAGGGCCACCATGACGCCCATGCAGCGGCCCCAGAGCATGGTCGAATCGGAGGGCACAAAGGTGCTCTGCTCGGTCGAGGCCTCCCCCTTGGCCAGGGCCAGCGCCTCCACGCCCGCGTCCACCGCCTTGCCTGTGTGTGTGTGTGTGTGTGTGTGTGTGTGTGGTGCGCTGTTGTTAGCCGATCAAGCTGCGTTCGTCCGTGTGAGGCGAGATCGACGCATACAGGAGATGTCGTAGACGGTGGTGAGCTTGTCCTTCAGGTCAAACGAGGGCCATTCCTCACGCTCACCGTCGGCTGGCGAACACAGCGCCAGTGCTTCGGAGTCTGCCGCGACTGTGACCGCACGCGCGACACACGACACACACAGACAAAGGGGCTAAGAGCTCGTCCTCCAGGAAAATGTGTGAAGGCCGTACCGTTGGAAGAAGTCGACATGGCGGGCGAACTGTCGGACGAGGCGGCCGCCGCTGGCGAGGGAGCGGGAGGCGTCTTGAGGAGCTGCGCGCAGTCGCTGCAGGTCCTTTGCTTGCGCCGGTACCCGAACGACACCGGCATCTCACAGAACTGCCAACAGCACCTGAACACACACGCGCACCACACAACCCATGTAAGTTGTGTGCCGTGTGCCGTGTGGTGTGTGTGTGTGTGTGTGTGTGAGGGCGTACCGGTAACAGAAGAGGCCGCCGCAGTAATGGCAACGCCGGTGCCGCACGAAGAGGCCGAACGCGACCTCGCATCGCATGCACGACTGCGAGGAGTCCACCCACCGACCCGCCCGCCTGGTTACCGCCGCCTGCGCGCCCGCCCGGGCATCATCGCCGGCCGACGATGCCTCCGCTCGGGCGTCGGCGCCGTGGCCGACCACCACCTCAGAGCCGCCGCCGTCGTCGGGGCGAGAAGGGCCACTGAGGGGCAAAGACAGGAATGTGGGGAATGCCCAAGACGGCGGTCCCGGCGACGGGAACAGGACGCACCCCGTTGATGTCGACGATGTCGCCGAGGTCGCCGACAAGGCTGACGACGATGAATTTGGCGAGGAGGAGGAAGGAGGAGGTGCGAAGTGGAAGGGCGAAGAGGAAGAGGAAGAGGAGATGTAGTGGAAGAGGTGGGAGGGGAAGGGCAGAGGCGGAGCGGACGGAGGCGGAGATGATGACGACGACGACGTGGCATCGTTGGCCTCAGCAGCCGCGTCTGCCGCCGCCGCCCGTACGGGCGAAGGGCCTTGGTCACGGCCGTCACCGACCATCCGGTCGCTGTACTCGTCGTCGTCGTCAAAGAGATGGGCGGGAGGAGCAGTCGGGAGTGTCTCCTCCTCCACCGCCTCCACCACCTCTTCGTCGCCGCGGCCGCGACTGCTGCTCGCGATGGTGGCGTGGTCGATGGACATCGCAGCCGCTGGCGACCGGTCTTTGTCACCCGATAGGACGACGGTCGTGGAGTCAGCGCTCCGACCGGCGGCGGTGCTGTGAAGCCCTCCGACCAACCTCCGCGTCTTCTTCTTCTTCTTCTTTTTGTCGTTTCGCTTCTCTTCCTTCTCGCCCTTGGGGTGGTGCCAGCGCCCTTCATCACCACCTTCATCATCATCGTCATCGTCGCCTCGTTGGCTCGTCATCGTCGTGGGCCGCTTCCGTTTGCCGCGCGCGGCCGGCGACGGCCGTCGGGGAGGCGAGGCAGCAGCAGCCGCGACGAGGCTGCGGATGACGCGAATGGCGGCGATGAGTTCGTAGTTCTTGGGGAGGCCGCCCACCGGTCCCCGGGCCGAGTCGTAGGGCGTGCGGCATCGACACACCGGACACGCCACGCTCACCCGCACCCGCTGCGACGATGACGCGGTGGTGGAAGGTGGTGATGGCGCCAACGAGAAGGCGGGGCGGCGTGAAGTGGTGATGATGCTTGAAGAAGTAGAAGATGAAGATGAAGAGGCAGAAGTTGAAGAAGAAAAGGAGGGAAGTAGAAGGGAACCGAAGAGGCGCGACCGCCCCGATGGCGGCGTGTTGGTGACGAAGGAAGAGGGGACGCGTAGGGCCGACGTCGACTTGCTGGTCTCGGCCTCGGCGCAGCTCGCCAGGCACTCCTCGCAGAAGCTGTGGCCGCAGTGGAGCAGGTACGGCAGCTTGGGCGTCGAGCTGGCGCCATCTCTGTTGTTGCGATCACCTCAACGTCCATCCTCGAGGCGCCTCCTTTCCTCTTGTCATCTTCGTCATCTGCCGAGATGGCATAGGGCTCGAGGCAGACCCCACATTCGCTCATCTGCGCAGGCACCGCGACAGGCACGTTTGACGATGCCTGCTCTACATCCTCCTCTTCCTCATGGTCACCACAAGCCAATTGTGATGAGCAGCCCGTGGGTTGTGGTTTCGATTTTGGCTGGAAATTCGATTTTCTGGATTTCGTAGCGGGCGCCGCCTTCTTCATGACCGGCAGCCTGAACGACGACATGGCTCATTTGCAAGAACGACTGCGACTCGTCCTCAGATGAGCGCCAGTCTTGGTCGATGCGTCCAAGCTAAGGATCCGCCACCAAAGTTGGTGCGTTGTAGTGCACCCAAAATTTCACACGACCGTTAACAAATGTCGTTGGAACTTCAGGAATGTGGCATTATTTTTATTTATTTTTTTTCATCAAGAAGGATAATGCACGCAAGAGGGAAGGTGAGGACGGTGGGGCGGGCGACTACGCGGGTGCCGGCACTGCGACCATCGGGTGTCACTGGTAATGCAATCGCTGCCCAGCCACTCTACCCTACGTCTGCCACCCGCCATTTCTTCAATCTCGGTTGGCCATTTTCCGAGAATGCATCCGCAGCGGATGCGGGCAGAGCCATCGAGTACAAGGACGAACGTGTGCTACCGTGCGTTACCTTGCTTCATCCAAACATATTTATTTTACTTTTTTACCTTATATTTTTTTTTACATTACAGATATTCAGCGGATGAGGTGTACGACGTGGTCTCGGACGTGGCCAAGTACCAGGACTTCCTCCCGTGGTGCACGCACTCGCGGGTCCTCTTCAAGACGCCCACGCGCATGGATGCCGAGCTGGGTACGACCCAACAACAAAACAACGCGACTGTCATCTCGGCACTCACTCTAAGCTGCATTCCTGCTGTGCTGTGCGATGCAGGGATAGGTTTCAAGATGTTGCCCGGCCAAAGCTATGTCTCTCAAATCACTATGGAGCGGCCTCGGTCTCTCAAGGTAATGCGATCATGGTCTCTGGCTATCTATTGCACACTACGCCCGCTACCTCTGATAAATGCTCATGTTTAACCACATGCACCAGGTGGTCGTCACTCCGGATAGCTCCCTCTTCAATCATCTCATCAATAATTGGGCTTTTCAAGACCTGTCGAAAGATGGTACGTCCGACAACTGAGCTCTGTTCTTGTGCTGGTGGGTGTGCGATGGTGCCATTAATACCGGGTGCAGGCAAGAAGAGCTGTCGCACCTTCTTCGACATCAGTTTCGAGTTCCGATCGCAGCTGCACAAGAGCATGGCCGATGCCTACTTCCAGGAGGTGGCCCAGAACATGATCCAGGTGTTTAACGACCGCTGCGCTCACGTCTATCGTTGGGGCAAGCAGTAAGAGCACAGCGAATAAAATAATATATTTATTTTTATTTGTTTTCTTTGCAGCGGTGTGCGAAGATGATGCGTGAGGAGATGAGCGCAGTGGGGCGGCTGGAGAAGATGATTGCCACCGACGGTCTGCATGCGACCGTCTTTGTCACAGCCCCACTGCGGCCGTTCTATCCGCCAGTGCTGCAGCAACAGGCTCACTTGGAAGAATACGCCTTGCCAGATCAGAGCCTCCCACCCAATGCCTACTTCAAGCCCATGTTCTTCACTTGGGCAGCTGCCAGGTGGGCACCATCCTACACCTGGACAAAGTTGAGCAGGGCAACAAGATTATTGCAGCCTCAAGACCCACCCCACCATCAACACCAACATCCACTGGCATGTCCTCAGCCAGGGGGTTGAACCCACCAGGATGGTCACAGGTAAATTTGGCCCATTACCCTATGGTGGCAACCAAAAAGACAGTGTCCTTGCTGAAGTGTTTGACATCTTCATCCAGACCACATACAACTTGCAGTCATTTGAAATGAGAGGTCCAGTCATTTTGAAAAGTGATTTGTTTGTCAGTTTAACCTCATAAAAATGGTTTTGATAACACAAAAGGAAACCCTCAAAGGGTACAAGCACATACCAACCATTTTGTCCTGTGCAACATCTTTGTCAATGTTCACACAACTGGCCACCACAGCAGAGAGGGCTGCTTATTGATGATGGCCCTGTGGGACACTGTTTCTGCCAGGCCTTGAACATACACTCAGTGTTCTATATTGAGGGACTTGAGATGAAAAAGATTTCATAAAAACTTGGAATGAGTGGAGTTAGTGATTTTATCAGTGTGAGATGGAGCTTTGTTGATTTTATCTTCAGGAATAGTGCTCCAATTCAGCCCAAATGATGTGAGGTTCACCATGAAGTGGATGTGAGAGTAGCATGTGGGCCACTGATTAGGAATTGATGGAGGGTATGAAAGCAAAGGCAAGGTGCATTTTGAAGTTGTTCAGTGGATCACCAACACAAAACAAGCTAAGTTCAGATTTTCTGGATTGTGTACATGTCTGGTTTTGTATTTTCAGTTGTCACACACATGTACATGATAGATTGGTCATTCCAGACCTTGACTGATGGCCCCATTACATCATCATATCTCTATGGTATCATTATGATGGTATTGTAAGCTGCCATTTCTCAAGATGCTCCCAATTTTGTCTTGCTATTCTTAAATTAAAACCATTTTTGTGTCAAAACTATTTTTATGAGCTTAAAATAAAACCATTTTATCAAAACCATTCTTTGAGGTTAAACTCACAAACAAAATCACTTTTCAAAATGACTGGACCTCTCATGTCAAATGACTGCAAGTTCAGGTTCTGACGTCATGTGTAATATTGTCTGCAAAATGGCCATAAAAATCATCTGTCATCTGCATAAAATCATCTGCCATCTGCACAAATTCATTCACCATCTGCATAGAAATCATCTGTTGTCTGCAAAATGGCCATAAAAATCATCTGTCATCTGCATAAATTCATCTGCATCTGCATAAAAATCATCTGTTGTCTGCCAAAATGTCCATAAAAATCATCTGCCATCTGCATAGAAATCATCTGTCATCTGCCAAAATGGCCATAAAAATATCTGCCATCTGCATAAAAATCATCTGTTGTCTGCAAAATGGCCATAAAAATCATCTGTCATCTTCATAAAAATCATCTGTGAAATGGCCACAAAATCATCTGTCATCTGCATAAAAGTCATCTGTTGTCTTTAAAATCATCTGCAAAATGTCCATAAAAATCATCTGCCATCTGCATAAAAGTCATCTGTTGTCTGTGAAATGGCCATATAAATCATCTGTCAACTGTCACTCATTACCCACCCTTACACAATTAGACAAAAACCAAAACAACAAATTGTTGAAAATAACAAAGATACCACAAAAACCTCCCACTGCTGTCGACATAAAGCTGCTCCTGCCATGGTGGTGGCAGGCAATGGTTGGGGGTGCCTTAGCAGGCTGAGCCCAGGGGCACACAACAGTACAACATCTGCTCATGGCCAGGACTAATCGTCAGTCTACCACTCCTGCCTGCAAGATGTTACCCATTTCATTAAAACTTGATAAAAATAGCCAGTGAACAGTCTCCACCAAGTCCATAACATAACATAAAACTGCAGTCAGCCCTCACTCTGTCTTGAGGCCTCTGCTAGCACCCGGGCCACGACGCGCTCGATGTAATCGAACTCTGCGTCCCAGAGACTGTAGTCACGGTAAAAGGCCTGCCGCACAGCCTCAGTAAGGGCCTTGTAGCTGGTATCCGCTGGTGTCGTGTCTGCCAGGCGCTGACGAACCAAGTCCGCAACTGCAGCCATACGACCCTCAAAGTCGAGGGCGTCAAATTCCTCCTTCGTCGCACAGACCTTTCCCTGCGCCATGCTGTCGGTTTTGTTGGTTTCAATTTTGATTTTTGAAGGCAAGGTCGGGCGAAATAAAACAGATGTTTCATTTTGTTTTTTTTTTAATTCCTTTTCTTCACTTTGCGTTTGGATGAGGCTGGGGAGCGAAGAGGCCGTGCAGGCAGCGCGCTGGGGCGTGTGGTGCGCGTGGGGTGGCGCGCTGACGCTGTTCGGCCTCAAGTTGGCGTGGCGCTGGCTCGACGGTCTGACCTCGTTCGGGAAGACTACGCTGGCCCCGCCACCGCTGCCCCATCAACTTCTGGGCTTCTCCTCGCGGGTGGTCTTCACCTCGGCCTATGCCGGTGGCTCACTTCTCAACGCCATGCTCCTTCTATTCGCCTTTCTCGTCATCCTCAGCTTCCCCTCATCTTCATCTCCGCTCTACACACAATTTTTCAATTCATTTTCTTCCTCTACTTCTTCATCTACGGTGCGCCTGTGGTCATGGTCAGCTTATGCAAGCGCGGGTTCGTGGTACCTGATGTTCGGTTCGCTGTTGGAACTGCATCTGCTGCGACGACTTTACGAGTGCCTGTGCGTGCATCGCTTCTCACCACGGCCCGTGAGCGACGCCAATGCCATGTTCGCTGGCGGGTACTACTTCTTCGTGTGCCTCGCGCCTTGGGTCGAGTTCGTGGCGGACACCTGGACCGCACCGGCGGTCGAACACGACCAAGAGACGACATCGACGTTCAGCCCAATCACGTCGGTGTGCGGGTGCTGCCTCTTCTTCTTCGCCAGCTGGCACCAGCATGTGTGCCATCGCATCCTGGCGCGGCTACGAACCACATCAACTCATTCGTCGTCGCCATCGTCGTCGACATCGACGCACGTCGACGCCCACGGAGCGACACGACGACGCACCCCAAGCCACGAGCTACAGAAGAAGGCCCAGCTGGTGTCGGCGCCGGGCCAGGAGGGCCGCTACGGGCTGCCGACAGGCGATTGGTTCGAGTACGTGTCTTCGCCGCACTACCTGGCCGAGATCCTGATCTACGTGGCCTTCGTGATGATCACCGGCGGCCGGGTGGTGTGCCTGTGGCTCATCCTCGCCTTCGTCGTGGCCAACCTCACCCGCTCGGCCCTGCAGACCCACCGGTGGTACCAGGGCCTGTTTCCCGCGGCTCTGCCCAAGCACCGCCGGGCACTCTTCCCCTGTCTTCTCTGACCTGTTGGCCGTGTGAAAGCCACAAGAAGGCGATCCACGTGTGCACGTGCGAACGACGGCCAAGACCTATGTATGAGACAACACCAATCACACGCGCACAACAGCGTATGAAGAAAAATAGAAAAGAAGAAATCAGCAATATATTAGCATTCACAAAAGCCTGAGATGGAGTTGGGCAAGCTGGTGGAGGTCCTCAAATCGTTGGCCCCCGTAGAGCTGGCAGGGAGCTGGGACAACGTGGGTCTCCTCTTGCAACCTTCGCAGAGGAAAGACGTCTCCCTCATCGTACTCACGATTGACCTCACCGAGCAAGTTTTGGATGAAATCATTCGCATCAAGGTTGATGTTCCTCCATTGCCGATTTGAAATTGATGTAAGGAGGGTGGAGCCATTTAATGTGTTCAAATCAAATGCAGAAGGAGAAGGGGACGGAGGGAACGACGATGATCGTGTCCTACCACCCGCCCATCTTTCAATCGATGAAGCGTCTCACTCAAGCCGACGTCAAGCAACGCATCGTGATTCGTTGCATAGAAAATCAGTGCGCCATCTACTCGCCTCACTCTGCGCTGGTACCGACGAGTCCCCTCTGCCATTGTCTGTCAGTATTGGCTAACCACTGCGGCGGTGGACCACTGCAGGACAGCGTGGCTGGCGGCATCAACGACTGGCTTGCTGAAGGTGCCGCCTCTCATGCCGTCGCACGCCATCGCACACGCACACGCCGTTGCACACGCCGTCGCACGCCGTCGCACACGCCGCACACGCACGCATGGTGGCAGCGAGCTAACTGTGCGAACTTGGAATCGGTGGCCGCCTACTAGGCCTGGGCGAGGGCCACAGCGAGGTGCTGCAGTCGCTCTCTTTCCCCAAGGATAGCAACTACACCCACAAGGTGGTGGTCTACGTGCCCGAGGACTGCGTCGATACTATGCGATCAGCGCTCGCCGACATCGGAGTCGGGGTACGCGCGTTTCCTTCACAAACGCGCCTCTTCTCTGCGTTCCTGCAATTCACGTCCCTGGCCCTTAACCCCTCGTTCTTGTGTGCGAAGGCGATCGGAGCGTACAAGCAGTGTGCTTTCTACAATCCAGGCGTGGGCAGCTGGTTCGCCACTGACGCTTCGAATCCAGGTACCACGTCTCGGCTTTTCTCACGCGCACAGAACCGGACCTTGACCCTTGAGTTACAACTCCCCAACTGCCAGTGGTTGGCGAGAGGAACATGCTCGAGAAGCACAGCGAGTGCCGTCTCGAGATGAACTGCGGCAAGCGACAGGTGCGCTGTTGTGAGCGGTGGCGTGATGGACCATCGTCCGTCCGCTGACCTGATGGTCGGTACCTGATGCACGTCTTTCTTTTTTTCCCTCGCGATTCGCCAGCTGGTCGAGCTGGAGAAGGTCATTCGGTCGGTGCACCCCTTCGAGGAGCCTGCTTGGGAGGCATACCCGCTCGCCGACATTCCGTCATCCACCACCGGCTCGGGTGCGCCTCAACCGTCCCTCCCCTCTATACGGTCCTACGTATGGGATTGAAAGGGCTTCTTACACTGGCGCGATGGTACGACGACCCAGGTCGCGTGCGAGTTCTCAGCGAGGCCGTGGAGCTGCGCGCTCTCATCGACCGAGTCAAAGCGATGCTCAATCTCAAGTAATATAGAGCCCCTCGCCTTCTCTACACCCTCGTACCTCCCATCCACGGGGCGTTCAGCCGTTGCTTACACTTTGCGTCGTGTTCCGTGCGCGGTGTCGATTTAGGACTGTGCGGCTGGCGGTCTCCCCCAAGCACTCTCTGCAGAGCGCCGTGAAGAGGGTGGCCATGTGCGCCGGCTCTGGCGGCTCCGTGGTCAAGTCCGCCCGGGCAGACGTGTACCTTACGGGTACCTCTCCACCTGGCCCTACGCACTTGGGCAAGGGAAAGTGTTGTTGGCCCCTGGCTCACGCAGTGTGCGACGTGGTTCAGGCGAAATGAGTCATCACGAGGTTCTCGATGCGTTGGCCAAGGGGACGTCCGTCATTCTGTGTGAGCACACCAACACGGAAAGGTACAATCGCATGACCGCACACGCAGGTGTGTGCACACACCTAATCTGTACACTTTGATCGACAGGGGCTACTTGCCGGTCTTCAAGACTATGCTCGAGGAGAAGCTGCAGGGCAAGATTGACGTCCACATCGCCACCACCGACGCCGACCCCTTGACTGTGGTATGACACAGTCTGCCTGGGGAAACGGAATGGACCGACAATGGCTTTACACCAATTCGCCAAAAACAGTATGTTCTAAAACATTCGTGCACATCAGCGGAATCCACGCACCATATGTTGTGTGGTTGCACGGTCTTGTGCTACACGTATGATACTTTTGTGTGGCCCGACGTTGTTGTAAGGGACGAGGCTGCAACAAGTTGTGAACACAACCCCCACCACAAACTGAACTGGCCACAAGCATGAAGAAGAGCCGCGTCGCCGCCTGCCTGCTCTGCCTTGCCACCTGCTTGGCTCTCCTTGTCTGCCATGCTGACGGACAGGCCGCCTCACCTCCGATAGAGCAAGTGCCACCACTATTGTCGCCCTCGCCATCGACTCCTGCTCGTGAAGTGGGGATTGCTCCACCGCCGCCCACGTCGCCATCCCCTCTGAAGCAGCAGCATCGACACTCGCCCTACCCGCAAGGGATCGAGACCCTGCCCGCAGGCTGGGCCGTGGTCATCGCGCTCGCGATCATCGCCGCGGGCACCGCAGCCGCCACAGCCCTCTGGCTCAAGCGACTACGACACAGCCGGGCGCTGCAGCCGCTGCGCCACTCCGTCCGACCACCCACAACCATCGTGCCCGGACTTGCTATCGCTTCGTCCTGATCAGCGCCGGGGACAATCAACCACGAGGTGTGCTCGAGGCTGGTTGCATGTAAATAACGTATACCTAAGTCAGGCATGATATACTATATAAATATGTATGGTGTGTGACTATGGTACGGGCGTGGCGACCGTAGAGGGAGTGGAGGTGATTGTCTCGCGACGCAGCACCCGGGCTGTGAAGGCTACGTCGGCGATGGCCTGCTCGATGCGCTGATCGGTGAGCGCGGCAGCGTGGAGGGCGGGCACGGTGATGTCGCCCTGGCCGGTCCCGTAGGCCAGGTTCACCCGGGCACACCGATCGAGCCTCAGCAAGGCGTTGATGGCGCGGTTCTCGCACGCCGCGCAGTGCAGCCCATCGACGTGGACAAAGATTCGAGTAGTGCCCTGCTGGTAGGAGCAGGCTTGATTTGTGGAGTCGGCGTTCGAGTCCGTGCTTGCAAAGACGTGTCGCTGGATGGGTGCAAGGAGGAGGTCAGGGCGAGCGTTGACGGCGGCCAAGAGCTCGGGCGAGAACGAGAGCAGGAGAACAATCGCCGCGGTGATGGCAAATCGAATCTTCTTGGCGCGCTTGACCTCCTCCACACACGCTCGCCCCCCTTGCCCTTTTTCTTGGCCTCGGGCTGGCATGGAGCAAGCACGTCCGTGTAGAAGCTGTAGCCGAGTCCACCCAACGCGAACAGGAGGAAGAACCATCGATAGGGTCCCAGAATTGTGTTGAATCCAGCGCATCCAATCGAGAAGATATTGAGGACCAGCTGCACCACGCAGCAGCTCGATGCCAGCAGCCCACCTGCCAGCGCTGCTCCGTACCTCTGCATCTGATCTTGGTGTTTATTTATTAATTTTCTTTTCTTTTCCACTTTTCTCTTCCTGACGTCAGCGTCGGAACAGAAATGTTTCTGGCGCGCAAAAGAAAACCAAGCACAAACTCGCAACGGCTCCGATCAAACGATCCAGAAGATGCTTGCTCCCGATGGAATGGGCCAATTTATGGCCCACAGCACGGTACGCCTCATTTGTTCTTCTTTCAACAACGTCTCCATCTGAGAGGGCGCTGTGGACGCACTGCACGCTGCGCTGGCTCTCATATCCGAGCGCGAGAACCGGCTGAGGCCACAAATGCTCATCTTTATTCTACTCGATTCTGTTGATGCATGCACGCAGACGCATCCCAAATACCTACACAGCAACAGTACCTCCCATGTGTGGGCGTTTGGCGCTATTGCTGAGCTTGTTGGTGCGTCCTGCTCTCCGAAGATCTCGTCTTGTAGTGCAAAATCTCATCTCTTTCATTTTGAAGACAATGCACTGGATGCCGGTGCGTCCAAATTTCACATTGATCTGCTGACAACCTCGCAGCTCTTTTCTATCAAGCCCGAGCCAGGTACGTTCAACGTTCCATCCTTCTACACAATTCACCCCCGACGGACACTAATTGGTGGCACCAGGACGGCGCTCAAGTTCTGCCAGGAAGCCTGACCCGTTCGTCTTGACGTTTCGGGATGATGGCAAGGGAATGACCCCTCTGGAGCTCCACAAGATGCTCTCGTTCGGTCACTGCGACAAGGTGCGCCCAACAGTGCGGTGTTTGCACACTTTCAGCTCGAAGAGGCTAGAGGGCTCACACGATCGGGGTGCACTGGCTTCTCTACCGGATTCTGCAGGACCAGCACGTCAGCGTGAATGGTCAGGTGATGCCCATCGGACACTACGGCAATGGCTTCAAGTCAGGTTCCATGCGCTTGGGCAAGGATGCGTTGGTGTTTACCAAGTCTAAGAAAACGCAGTCGGTCGGACTCCTTTCTCAGGTACGACTTGTTGTAGGAGATCCTTCTTCTTCTTCTTCCGTTGTGTGCGCGTTTCGTGTTCTAACAAGCCTTCTTGCAGACGTTCCTTACAGAAACCAACGCTGCGGAGGTTCTAGTTCCCATCGTCAGCTGGGACAACGACACAGGAGAGGTTTGACGCGCTCTGGCTTTGGCTGAGTTGTTTTGAGGTGGTGCTGACGCTTGACTCACAATGCAGGCCATCAGTGTGGGCTATTACGGCAAGTCACTAAACATAACGCCGATAAGCACCAGCCCCCAACTGACCGAAGCGTTCAAAGCCAACGTCAAGGTGAGTCGCTCCTGAACTGAGAAACTTACAACCGAATGAAGCAATTGACCGCTGGTTGTGACAGGTGATCAACAAGTACTCGCCCTACGAATCCACCGCAGCTCTGCGGGTAGCGCTCGACAAAATTCAGGTATTTTTGATTTAAACCTTTATACCTCGACTACTACGACGAGTGTCTAAGCTCTAACAATATATGCTGTTAATGTATAGGGTACCGGCACACATGTTGTCGTGTACAACCTCCGCAAGCCTGAACAAGCCGATGATCCGTGCGAGTTTTCGCTTGAGGATAACGTAGCTATCCCTTACGCTTCGTTCCCCTGCTTAAATCTAACCAATCCACTCACGCACACTACACGGCAGTCAGGCTTAGGGCTCAAGCACGATATTCAGCTAGCTAAGTGCATGTGGGACGAGGTCACAGTTGCCGCAGGCCACACGCTGGCGCCTTTGTACTATTCGCTCCGCGAGTATACTTCCATTCTCTACCTCAACCCGCGCATGCAGGTACTTTTGTTTTCCGCCGACACAACGACCATTCATTCGAACTCACCTTCAGGGGTTTCTTTACGTGGTGATAGATTTGGATCCGCGGGCACAAAGTTCAGCTGCGCAAACTTGAGCACTGCCTCTACGAGCCCCGGGAGTGTACCTACAAATCCAAGGCCGCCGATGGCATGGCCGAACCGGTAACTGTCACCCTCGGATTCAACAAGGTACCTTCCTCAACCCATCACCACGCCTGGTTCCCCACCGTCAGCACCAACCTTCTCAAACGGTGATTTCCACGCGTACCGCACACTGCAGTTTTCCGATAAGGAGCATTTTGGCATGATGATCTACCACCGGGATCGGCTCATCAAGTGCTTCCTGCATGTGGGTTATCAGCTGTCGCCGGACTCTCGAGGAGTCGGTGTGATTGGCGTCGTACGTGCTCTCTTCGTTTACCATGTCAGACTTGTGCACGCGTGTCATCTCACGACTTTTTTTTTGTGCTTATCACATTCAGCTGAACGTGAACGCGCTGCAGCCCACGCACAACAAACAGTCCTTTATTATGGACAACAACTATCGCCTGCTCGTCAACAACCTCAAGGATCAACTGGCCAAATACTGGTATACCCACCAGCCCCAATTATTATTATTTTATAGTTTGTTTATTTAATCCATTTATTGCCTTGTCTTCTCACTGCCTCGCTAACCACCCACTCCACCCTCCCGGTTGACAACAGGTCCACCGTGACCAGCAAGGGTACGCTCACAGAGTTCTGGCATAAGCTGAGCAAGGCGAAGAGCAGGGTACACCTCCCACCCATCCCTTCACCCGCCTTTATTTCATGGCCCCGCTCATCTCCGTCCGCTGTGCAGGGCAAAATTTGTATCCAATGCACCAAATGCATGAAGTGGCGGAGCGTCAACAAAGGCGAGATCCCGGAGCTGGTACGTCGCTTTTGTTGCGCACTCAACACGACTCAATGTGAGGAGGACTTAACGATTTGTTGCGTGCGTGCATGCCTCTAGTGGGAGTGTAAGATGGAACCGGGATATAGCTGCAGTGTGCCTCAGCGGCTGCCCAAGATCGAAAAACTCATCAAGCGGAATGCTGCCGCTGATCTCGGCGATGTTGAGAAAAAGCTCGAGGAACAGGTCATCAAGATTGAGAAGAGGCACAAGGACACCCTGACCAAGGTCTGGCGCTGTGTTGTGTGTGTGTGTGTGTGTGTCGCGTCTGCCTTTCCATGTGTCCTGACTACTTATTTGCAGCTGCGCGCGGTCAAAGCCAAAGAGCTGGCGACGATGACGGGCTTCCCCGTCGAAAAGTGCACCGCCGCCCTGAGGTGTGCTCCCCTTCCCATTTTGTTGGCGCAACGTGCACGGACCCAACCTCACCACCCTTCCCCTCCTAATGTGCGGCCCAGAGTCTCGGCCGACAACAAAGAGATCGCCGGCCAGCTGCTTTTCTCGAACAAGCCTATTCCCGGATTCGATTTTGAGGTGCGCTTACCCCCTCTCTGCGTAGCTCTATGCGGTAGTGTACATACGGAACCTGATCTGAGTGTGAGTGTGGTGCGTCGTCATAGATGGAGGAGTTGGACGACGACGAAGAAGAGGAGGAAGAACAGGAGGCCGAGGAAGTCGAGGTGGGCGGCGAGGCCCCGTTGCGACGGAAGAGGAAAGGCAGGGCCAAACCCGCAAAATCGAGTAAGCGGCGAAAGACTTCGTCGTCGTCAAAGCGGTCGGGCAAATCGACGGGCGGCAACGACAGCGACAATGACGAGGACTACAACGATAACAACAACGAGGGTTCGGCGAACGAGTTTCGATTCTTGGCGGCCGACGGCAGCAGCAGCAGCGCCAAGCTGACGGAGCGCGAGAGGCGTCTGATGGAGCGACAGAAGCACAAGCAGCGCATGCTCGAGGAGCGGATGCTGGGCCACGACTCGGTCGTGGGTCGAAACAAGGGCAAAGAGAAGGACCCCGCAGAGGAAGACCAAGAAGAGGAGGACGAGGAGACAACGACTACGACCACCACGACCACCACCAGGCACACCGCAAGGAGGAACGGGCCGAGGGCGGACGAAGATTACGACGAAGACGATGATGACGAAGAGGAGGGTGACGAGGACGAGGAGACAGAGGCGCCACCGGCAGCGCAGCGGCCCTACGGCGCGGCGTCGCACTGCGAGCGGTGCGCCACCGCCGAGGACGAGCTGCGGCGAAAGAACGAAGAGCTGCGACAGAAGAACGAAGAGCTGCGACAGAAGAACGAAGAGCTGGCGGCTCTGCGACAGCGCGTGCGCGAGCTCGAGTCACTTCAGCTTCAGCCGCTCGAGCTTCAGACCCAGCAGCAGTCGCCGCAGCCCAAGCCTGAGCCCTTCCTACAGGAGGCGGCGCCGGTGGTGCAAACCACCACCACCGCCGAGGTGGCTTACCACCCGCACATCCTCATCAAACCCGATCCCGATCTCGATCCCGAGCCGGCCTACGAGTTCATCGAGTTCTTGTAATGTTGAAGATGAAGATGAAGACAAGCTGGTGGCGCACGTGTGGTGCCCCGAAATAATAATTGTGCCAATAATTATATTATATTATTTATTATTTATTTTATTGTCAAACCAAGAAGAAAGCTTTCTTTGTTGGTGTTGTGCAGCATGTCGTCTTCGTCGTTGCCGGAGGTGCCGTTGTCGGAGAAGGAGGCCACGCAGCCTACAACGCTCACCGCTGCGGACGATGCTGCCCCCGAGCGGGTGATCATCGACACCGATCCGGGCATTGATGACACCATGGCCCTCTTCCTCGCCCTCTCCAACCCGCACCGCCTCCGCATCGTACGTTTTAATATTTTTAAAATAGATAAAATAGACTATTTAATAATATTATAAAATCAAACATTAAAATTAATGCGTCACATGTTTAGGAAGGAATTACGATCGTGTTTGGCAACCACAGCGACCTCGAGCTGTTGGCTACCAACGCGTGCCGCGTGCTCCACATGGCCGGCGACGTTGAGATTCCCATCTACAAGGGCTGCTCCAACCCCGTCGTACTCTTCCCCAGTGTGTGTGTGTGTGCGGTGATGTGCGTGTGCGGTGATGTGTGCGGTCGTGTGCGGTGCTCAATGCAGTTGCGTGTGCTGCGCATGCGCAGGACATGGACTACCACGGGCATTCGGGCATTGAAGTCCATGGACAAGACGGCATCGGACACCTCTACCTCCCCACTCCGCCCAACACGCACCTCATCAGGTCCGACCACCGCACACGACACGCACACGCACACGCACACGCACACGCACACGCACACGCACACGCACACGCACACGCACACGCACCAATGGCTCACTGAGTGTGTGCGCGACCAGGCGAGACAAGACGGCGGTCGACTTCATCATCGAGACGTGCAAGGCCAACCCGGGGCAGATCACGCTCATCACCCTCGGCCCGCTCACCAACGTCGCACAGGCCCTGATCCAGTGTCCCGAGCTGCCCCAATACGTGAAGCGCATCGGTACCCGTGGTGTGCCGTGTGTGTCGTGCTGCGGTAGCCGTGTGTGTCGTGCGTTCGTTGCATGTGTCGCGTGTTGTGTGTCGCGTTGTGTGTTGTGCCGTGTGTGTCGTGCGCCTCACACTGTTTTTTTGTCGTGTCCAGTGTCGATGGGCGGAGTGCTGAACCTGCCTGGCAACAAGTCTCCTGTTGCCGAAGCCAACTACCACAAGTACTGCACCAGCGCGCACACAGCGCACGCGCCGCACACGGCACACACGACACACTGAGTTGAGCTGAGCGGCTGCTGACTCGGGAGACCTTGGCTTTCGCTAGTGACGCCAAGGGGGCCAAGCTGGTGCTCAACGCCGGGTTCGAGTTCACGATGGTGCCCTTGAACGTGACGCACCAGGTGCACATGAACAAGGAGTTCAGGTCCGCCCTTTGCTCCCTGGGCGTCATCGGTACGACACGCACGGCTCGCACCGCATCGCACGCACGACACGCATCGGTGACGCTTACGGCGTGGCGATGGTCGCGCACAGGCGACTTTTGTGAGAACGCGCTCAAGTACTACGTGGGGACACTCTCGCGCTGGGGCAACGACCCCGAGACCATCCCCGTACCTACCTTCCACCTCCTCGTCTTCGCCTTCGCCATTGTCTTCGACGGTGTGGAGCGGTGATTGATTGACCGATTGTTGGGGGATCACCGCACACACGCGCCACCGCACGACACGACACGACACGCACACGCACACGCGCCACCGCACACACGCAAACGCAGATGCACGACTCGTCGGCGGTGATGGCGGTGGTCAATCCGTCGGTGTTCACCAAGGCCGTCAACGTGTACGTCGACATCGAATCAGTCGGTGAACGCACCGCCGGCATGTGCGTCCCTGGTACGTACACACCTGATAACCGACAACTCTACACACGCACCACCGCACACGCACCACCGCACACGCATCACCGCACACGCACCACCGCACACACGGCACTAACGTGAAGTTCGTGGGGGGGGGCACAGATTGGAAGGGTCACTTCAAGAGGGAGCCGCAGTACCACAAGAAGACCAAGGTGGTACTCGAGGTGGACCAGGCCGCCTTCAAGCGGTACTACCTCGACTGCCTCGCCACCTTCCTCCCCAAGCTCCAGCACAACAAGGAGGAGGAGGCCGAAGAAGAAGCCGCACCTCCTTCATCCGCCTGATCAAGCCTCGAAGAAGAAGATGATGATGAAGATGAAGGTGTGGTCTCCAGTGAGGACCGATTATTATTTACACTGCACACACAGAGCTGGCCCTTGGCTTCTTCCTCTTGAAATAGTCGACTCGGGAGCAAGGTTGAAGACGAAGACGAAGATGATGACGAAGAGTGCGAGCGAGCGAGCTCACTGCTTGCCGTCAGACGTCTGCGGGACCGACGGAGGCGTGCCGGCCGGGGCGCTCTGCTGTGCGGGAGCGGCAGGAGGCGAGGGCGCGCCCGCGCTGCGCGGCGGCGGCGGCGGATAGTAGTAGTAGCCCGTGGGCGGGGGCGCCGGGAACTGCACCGGCTGGCCGTGCTGGTAGGGCACCGGCTGCGGCTGCGGCTGCGAGCCAGAGTAGCCACCGCCGTTCGAGGAGAAGGAGGGCGGGTTGGGCATGTAGACCACGGGGCGGTAGTCGCACGAGTAGTAGTAGCGCTGCTGCTGCGGGGAGGGCGCGACGGGCCGGGCGTGGAGGAGGCCCAGGTGCTCCTGGTGGTCCGCCGACGAGCTGCGGCCGTCGAGCCTCACGCCCAGCTCGGCCTCGACCGAAGCGCGCAGCTCGGCCATCAGCAATTCGTTTCTCGCCCGCAGCGCGTAGATGGCGCCCATGGCCTGCGCGTAGACAGCACACCGTGAGGTCAGCACGAACGAACGTTGTGAGAAGAGAGATGGAGCGCTGTAGTAAAGGTAGCGGTAGTGGAAGGGGGCTCTATACCGCGGGAAAGCAAGGGATGAAGGCGAAGAGGAAGCCGATGAAGGTGAGGTGGGCGATGGCCTTGGCCTCACCCCACGAGCAACCGCCGCCGTAGCCGCCATCGAGCGCGCACAGGATGGTGCCCAGGACAGCCGGGAACATGATGAACGCTGCGTCCGCGTAACGCAACGCAATACAACACAACGACGACGATGCGACGCAGTAGCGCTTAGATGATGGCACACGAGTACGAACGTTGGTATTATGGAGAGAAGTGGCTTTGCACGTACTGGCGAGGACGAAGCAGATGATGAGCACGTTCAGAATGAAGTAGGCGTGCAAGAACGACGCGCGACGCTTGTGCGCGCCAATGTGGCCGACGTAGAGGACCAGCCACAGGAACATCAGCGGGAAGAAGGGCACCAGCGAGAAGTGGCCCGAGGTGAGGCCCGTGAAGAACTGCAACGTCGCGCCACATGTGCAGAACACGTTGCGTGTAAGCCCACCTGCGAGGCCAACGCAGAAGCAGAACAGATGGACGGAAAGAGGGGCATGCGTACGTTGAGACCGACGAGGATCAACAGAAGCACCTGTGATGGAACAATGAATTTGCGAGTAGAAATGTCAAGGAAGGATCTATCTCGACAAGGGGCAGAGAGGGCAAACAACGTACAAACATAGATTGGATGAAGGCCAACAGCCGCTTCCTCCAATAGCCCTCGTCGCAATCCGCAAGATCGTCAAGGTGCCCCATCGGGGGTGGCTCCTGCTCAATCGAACGATACGACGTGTGCGCAGTATGAGGGGCGAAATCGGATTGCATAATTGCACCAAAAGCAACAATCAGGATCAATCTTGGGTGCAGCCGATGTGCTACGCGATGCGATCAGAATACACAACGGGAGGTTGCTTCTGTGCTCGAAATTTTGCTTCTTGCGGTGGCCGGCAATAACCCGGATTAAATGCACAAAAAGAAAAAGAAAAAGAAAAAGAAAAAGAAAACAGCCACAGACTTTTTCTAAAGCTGGCGTCCACACTCGGGAAGAGACTTAGTGCTGTGCACAGCGCAGTTCACCGTGCGCCCTATTGCCCAGCTTTTCGTGCCTCGCTTGTTGATTGTATGATCAGCCAAGAAGTCCTACAGAAAGCCCAGCTTCTGGAACTGCTGCGCCGGCCCAAATCCGAAGAGCCAAGCGAAGAAGCAGCGCCACAACAGCTGTGTGCACAAGGGCAGAGGCTTCCTGTGATTCCATGCGTCGCACCTGCCCAAAGCCGGATGGCAAAGCGAGCACAGGAGCCTGGCCGATGGTTGGGCTGGCCGGCAGCGACCCCTCAGCAAGGAGAAGCGGTTCATCGTGCAGGAGGATAAAATAGGGAAACTGAAGTGGAAAAGTGGTCACAACTAATTAATTTACGCAGAGGAGCGCGCGCCCACACAAACAAACATCCATCTCAACCCGCTTCGAGCCGGCTCAGTTGGACGATCTACGAAGAGCAAGAACAAGAGGCGATCCAACGGAAACACGTGTTGGAAGAGAGGAGCTATCTATCGATTTGAGGACCTCTCTGTTCGACCCCTTGGGAATCAGAGATGGCCGATAAATTGAAGAAGGGTGGCAATGGAGATGGGGATGGCGCCTGGAGCGATGCAGTGCTTAACAAGCTGCTATCTGAGCTCAAGAACAAGTACATACCCGCTTCTCTCTTTTGCCACTCCCTCGTTTGGGCCTTGAATCTGCATTTCTTTTTTGCCCCCCCCCCAATTAATGAATGATTGCTTTCATCGATCAAGGAACCCTGAGATCCGAGCCAAGGCGGCCAAGAAGCTCAAGAATCATGTACGTTGCATCCAGATTCTGTTCATCTTGCATTTCCATCAATCCTGGTCGTGTAGCCGTCTGTCCTTTCCAACCTGCTCTACTTGTCGCCGGTACGTAACGCAGGTCGCCACACAAGCACGCGAGATGTCGAGCGAGCACTTCACGCGCTTCATGAACGACCTCACCAACAAACACATATTCGAGCTTGTAAATAGTCAGGTCGTGCACGAGAAAATCGGAGGCATCATGGCCATCGGTACGTACCAGCCACTCTTCGCCTCATCGTCGCTCACCATCGTCATCATCACCAACAACAACAACTTGACGTGTGTGTCGTGTGACCGCATCTAGACAAACTGATCGACATCGAGCACGACGAGAACGCGAAAACGACGCGCCTGGCCAACTATCTCCGACTCGGCCTCCAATCCAACGATCCCACCGTCATGACAATGGCTGCCAAAGCTCTGGGTCGCTTGGCCCAAGCCAGCGGTACGCTGACGGCGGTGTTCGTGGTCGAGTTCGAGGTCAAGCGCGCGCTCGAATGGCTGCAGGATGCCCGACACGAATCACGACGCTACGCCGCCGTGCTCGTGCTCAAAGAGCTCGCAGAAAACGCGCCCACCCTGTTCTATGTCCACGTCGCATCGTTCTTCGATCTCGTGTGGTACTGCCGCCTACACCCCGATGACTTTGTACATTTCATTGACACCGCACACGCACCACCACACGCACCACCGCACACGCACAGGTCGGCTCTGCATGACAACAACGTCTCCATCCGAGAGGGCGCTGTGGACGCACTGCACGCTGCGCTGGCTCTCATTTCCGAGCGCGAGAACCGGCTGAGGCTGCAGTGGTACCACAAGATCTACGAGGAGGCGCAGAAGGGACTGCGCCAGAACACAGTGCCCACGATCCACGGCTCGCTCATCACCCTGGGTACCCCTTTGAGGCCCCATTGTGTCCCTCGCGCGCTGCTGGTTGGCTCACCGCTGTGCTATACTTTTTCTGAACCACCTCGCAGGCGAACTGTTGCGAAACACGGGCGAGTTCATGAACTCGCGATTCAAGGAGGTGTGCGACACCATCCTCAAGCACAAGGACCACAAGGAGAAGATCATCAAGCGCACCGTCATCTCGCTCCTACCCCGCCTGGCGGCCTTTGCCTCCGAAGAGGTACAGTCCAGGGCCTTAGCTTCCACGCACGCACGCACGCACACACACACACACACACACACACACACACACACACACACAACACACACACGACACACGACACGACACGAGCCTCGTGATTTCCTCTAATTCTCGGCCACAATCGACAGTTCGTGCTCAACTACCTGAACGTCTGCATGCAAACGCTGCTCGCGGTGCTGAAGAAGGACGGCAAGAACGAGGAGCGAGCGAGCGCGTTCATCGCGTTGGGCGAGATCGCGCACTCGGTGGGCACCAACATCAAGCCCTACCTGGAGCAGCTCATCGGCATCCTCAAGAGTGCGCTCAACGTCAAGAACAAGAGCTACTGTCTCCAGTCGCTGACCTGCGTGAGCATGATCAGCCCGGTCGTCGGCGTTGCCATGCAGAAGGACATGCACGAGATCCTCGGTACACCTCGCGCCCATCATACTCCCTCCCGCACGTGCTGACGTCAGCTGACTGCCTATCTCATCTCGACCTTCGTTCTTCGTTCTTCTTCGTTCTTCTTCGTTCTTTGTTCGTTCGTTCTTTCTCTACTGCGCAGATCTGATGTTCTCGGGCGGGCTGAACCCGACGCTCACGGATGCCCTTACGGAGCTGGCGATCCATATCCCGTCCATGCTGCCCATGATCCAGGAGAAGCTCATGGACCAGCTCTCGATCGTGCTGGCCGGCAGGCCCTTCACCCACCCCGGCAACCGGACCACCAAGCTCCGGAAGAGTATCAGCGTGCAGCCCTCGATCACCGTCGGATCCCAGCCGGTACCTCAGTCGTTTATCCTAAGAGATATATATATATATTAGTATTATATTACCATATTCTACATTGCTATATTATTCTCTTTTTTTTTGTGATATTTCTAATAATTTACATCACTGTGCCGGTGGTCCAGATCTACGCGGACAAGCCTGCCGCGATCCAGCTGGCCCTGAAGACGCTCGGGTCGTTCAACCTGCAGGAGAAGCTTCTCACGGAATTCGTGCGCGAGGTGGTGGTGGGCTTCCTCGATGATGATGACCCGTACCATACGCCGCCCACGTTTCTTTTGCTTGTTCGCGCCGCAACCACTGGTCTCGCGTACTTACTTCTTTTCCTCTCCCCCTGGTCAGTTCGATTCGTAAGGCCGCGGCCCTCACGTGCAGCAGCCTACTGGTGCGCTCCAACACGCATGCGCCCACCCGAGGCCAGTTGGCCGTCGTCATCGGCGAAGTGCTCGAAAAGCTGCTCATTGTCGGCATTGCCGACCCTGGTACCCAACTACGACGGATTTATTTTATAATTATAATTATAATTGTTAAACATTCATGGCATTCCACACACAGATTCGTCGATCAGGAAGACTGTGCTGTCGTGCCTGGACTCGCGATTCGATCACCACCTGGCGCAGGCCGAGAACTTGCGTTCGCTTTTCATCGCCCTGAACGATGAGGTGTTCGAGATCCGTGAGTTGGCGATCACCACCATCGGCCGACTCACGATCCGCAATCCCGCCTACGTGATGCCTTCGCTCCGCAAGACGCTCATCCAGCTCCTCACCGAGCTCGGTACGCAGCCAACGCTCAGCTTTGCACACTCTGCCCTCCTTCATCGTGCGCTGACACGTACGCACACAAATGCAGAGTTCAGCGGTGACAGCCGCAACAAGGAGGAGAGCGCGCGTCTGCTGGGGCATCTGATTCGCTCCTCGCAGCGGCTTATCAAGCCCTACGTCGAGCCGATCCTCAACGCCCTGCTCCCCAAGCTCAAGGTGCGTGTGCGGTGGTGCGTGTGCGTGTGGTAAGTGTGTGCTGTTCCCGAGTGGTGGCGCTGACAGTGGCGGTGCAGGACACCAATCCGCGTGTGGCCTCGTGTGTGTTGGCCACGCTGGGCGAGCTAGCGACCGTGGGCGGCGAGGACATGACGCCGCACATCCCTCAGCTGCTGCCCCTCATCATCGACACCCTCCAGGACCAGAGCTCGGTGGTCAAGCGCGAAGTCGCCCTCCGCACGCTCGGCCAACTCGCCGAGAGCTCCGGTACGAGCCTCTTTTCCCTCCACCACCGCTAATAGGAGTTAAAAACCACGGCAAGCGGAGTTAAAAACCATCGCTAACACAACCTCCTGGGCCTGCAGGCTATGTGATCGAGCCATTCGTCAAGTACCCGAAGCTGCTTGAGATTCTGATCAACGAGATCAAGACCGAGCAGGGGGCGTCGATCCGCCGCGAGGTGGTCAAGGTGCTGGGCATCCTGGGCGCGCTGGACCCCTACAAGCACAAGACCATCCAGATCGAGGTCCGCAAGGAGAAGAGCGAGGAGACCAGCACCGGGCCGGCCAACCAGCTCCCCACCGACTCGCTGCTGGGCATGGGCTCGGAGGAGTACTACCTGACCGTCTCCGTCAACGCGCTCATGAAGATCCTGCGCGATCCCTCTCTGTCCCAGGCACGACCACACACACACCACACACACAACACACACACACTAACACTAACATTTTGCTTTTTCAAACTACACCAGCATCACACGACGGTGATCCAGGCGGTGATGCTCATCTTCAAGTCGCTGGGCCTCAAGTGCATCCCGTTCCTGCCGCAAATCATGCCGCCCTTCCTGCAGTGCATGCGCACCAAGGAGACCGGATTCCTCAAATTCCTCTTCAAGCAGCTGGGCCTCCTCGTTGCCATCGTCAAGCAGCACATCCGGGTACGACACGCACACGCACACGACACACGACACGACCAACGACACACGAATGGTAGTTGGCTGACCCACCAATTATGCACAGGACTATCTGGACGAGATCTTTTCGCTGATCAAGGAGTACTGGGAGACCTCGCTCCTCGACCAAATCATCACCCTCGTCGAGGTCCTCTCGCAGGCACTCAACGACGAGTTCAAGGGTAAGCCAAACCTCTTGACCGTCATCGCTGTGCAATCATCGGCTAACCTTTCGCTTTGTGTCGTGTGTGTCGTGTGCGTGTGCGTGTGCGTGTGCGTGTGCGTGTGCGTGTGCGTGTGCGTGTCTCGACACAGTGTACCTGCCGGAGCTCATCCCGCAGATGCTCAACGTGCTGCACACGGACCGCACCAAGGAGCGCGACGCGACGCAGAACATCCTGCACGCGCTCGAGGTGCTGGGCACGAACTTGGACGACTACCTCCACCTCATCATCCCGCCGTCGTCAAGCTGGTCGAGCAGGCCGACGTCATCGACTCGCAGGTGCGGATCCTGGCCACCCAGACCCTCGGCCGGCTGGGCAACAAGCTCAACTTCTCCGACTACGCGTCGCGCATCATTCACCCGCTCGCCCGCATTCTCGACGGCGACGACCTCGAGATCAAGCACGTGGACCATGGAGACGCTGTGCACCCTGGTGTACCAGCTCGGCTCGGACTACGCCATCTTCATCCCCATGGTCAACAAGGTGCTGGTCAAGCACCGCATCCAGCACTCACCTACGAGACTCTCGTCTCTCGGTACGCATGGCACGACACGACACGACCAACGACACGACACACACGCACATACGTACCACCGCACGCACGTGACGACACACGCACACGCACACGTGGCACTCACTTGGTGTTGATGGGAGGGTAGGCTGCTGAAGAATCAGCCGCTGGTGCTGGAGGGCGCCGAGGCGATCGAGGCCCAGCGGAAGCACGCCGAGTCGAACGCGTCGAGCGAGATGTTCGCCATGGGCACCGGGAGCAAGCTCAAGATGAACGAGCCCAAGCTCCGCAAGGCCTGGGAAGGTACACACACACATACGACACACGGCTCGCGTGGTGCTGACGTCAGCATTCTTCGAATTACTGCAGCGTCGAACCGGTCGACAAAAGATGATTGGCACGACTGGATGCGTCGCTTCTCGGTGGAGCTGCTGCAGCAGTCGCCGTCGCCCGCGCTCCGGTCGTGTCTGTCGATGGCCCAGGTCTACCCGTCGCTGGCGCGCGAGCTGTTCAACGCCGGCTTCGTCTCGTGCTGGACCGAGCTGCACGAGCAGTACCAGGACCAGTGCGTCTACAGCCTCGAGATGGCCCTCAACGCGCCCTCCATTCCGCCCGAGATCCTGCAGAAGCTGCTCAACCTCGCCGAGTTCATGGAGCACGACGACAAGCCCCTCCCCATCGACATCAAGGTACACCACCGCCTCACTCTCATCACCTCTGATCGTGTGTGCGTGTGTGTCTCATCGTGTGCGGTGGCGTGTGCGATGGTGTGTGCGATGATGACAGACGTTGGGCGCGCTGGCCGACAAGTGCGCTGCGTTTGCGAAGGCGCTGCACTACAAGGAGATCGAGTTCCAGACCTCGCCGGCCACCACCTGCGAGGCGCTCATCTCGATCAACAACCAGCTCGACCTGCCCGAGGCGGCCGTCGGCATCCTCCTCTACGCCCAGCAGAACTACGACATCGAGCTCAAGGAGTCCTGGTACGAGAAGCTCCAGCGCTGGGACCAGGCCAAGGAGGTACGCACTGCCGCTTCCCTCCTCCTCCCCCCACCAATGGCCCTCGCAACACGTCGTCTCTGATCGTGTGTGTGTGTGTGTGTGTGTGTGGTGTGCGTGTGCGTGTGCGGTTGTGTGTGTGCGGTTGTGTGTGTGCGGGTGTGTGTGTGTGGTCTAGGTGTACGAGCGCAAGCAAAAGGCGCGGCCGGATGACATCGAGCTGACGATGGGCCGCATGCGCTGCCACCACGCGCTTGCCGAGTGGGAGGTGAGTCGTGTCGCGTGTCTTGTGCACAGATTGATTGATTGATTGATTGATTCTCACATCTGCACCGCACGCGCGCAACACAGGAATTGACCAAGCTCGCCGAAGGCATTTGGCCCAAGGCGGACAAGTCCACCCGCCAGCGGATGGCGCCCCTCGCCGCGGGCGCCGCCTGGAACCTGCGACTGTGGAAGAACATTGAGGACTACATCGGCGTCATGCCAGACAACACCGTACCGACCATCATTCTCATCATCATCATCATCATCATCATCATCACCTTCATCATCATTGCCTTCATCATCATTGCCTTCATCATCATTGCCTTCAAGAAGACTCATCAAGTTCGTCGTGTGTCGTGTCGTGTCGTGTCATGTCGATCATTAGCCCGATGGCACGTTCTTCAAGGCGATACTCAACCTGCACAAGGAGAACTACGAGGAGGCGCACAAGTACATCAACAGGACGCGCGAGCTGCTGGACACGGAACTGCGCGCCCTGGTGGGCGAGTCCTACAACCGGGCCTACAAGGTGGTGGTCAAGGTCCAGCAGCTGTCCGAGATGGAGGAGGTCATCAACTACAAGCAGTCCGTGGACGCCGAGGACCGGAAGGCCATGATCCGCACCATCTGGACCAAGCGGCTCAAGGGCTGCCAGCGCAACGTCGAAGTTTGGCAGGTACTTTTGTTTTAGCTCCGACCCGTGTTTCTCTTGACTCTGTTTTAACTCCGATCTGTGTTGCAAACACGACACACGACACACGACACACGACACACGACACACGACACACGACACACGACACACGACACACGACACACGGCACACGGCACACGGCACACGGCACACGACACACGACACACGACACACAGGACATGCTGGCTGTGCGGTCGATGGTGATTCCGCCGATCGAGGACATGGACAACTGGCTCAAGTTTTCGAGCCTGTGCCGCAAGAGCGGCCACATGCGCCTGTCGTACAAGACCCTGGTCAACCTCCTGGGCTTCGACCCCGCGCCCACCTCCCTCGACAAGTTCGCCTCGCACCCCTACCCCGGGTTCGCACCACTCTCTTTCCTCCGCGCGCGTGTGTCGTGTCGTGTCGTGTCGTGTGCCGCTCTGCTGGTTCATTCCTCACATTCCAACGCGTTGCGTGCTACATTGTAGGGTGACGTTCCACTATTTGAAGCACATGTACGACGCGGGGGACAAGAAGGACGCGTTCGAGCGGCTGCGGGTCTTCACCCGGAACCTGCAGGACGACGCCAAGCTGCTGGCCCGGTGCCACCTCACCCTGGGCCAGTGGGAGAGCGAGCTCCACGACAACCTGTCCGAGTCCACCATTCCGCACATCCTCGCGTCGTTCAAGGCCGCCACCGAGTACGACGACCACTGGTACAAGGCCTGGCACTCGTGGGCCCTGTCCAACTTCGAGGTCATCACCCACTACCAGAAGCTGGCCCAGCCCGACAAGATCACCCCGCACCTCGTGCCCGCCGTCGCCGGCTTCTTCCGCTCCATCGCCCTCGCCCCGCAGGGCAAGAGCCTCCAGGACACCCTAAGGTACGCACGTGCGCGCGTGTGTCGTGTGGCGTGTGTGTGGCGTGTGCGCGTGTGCGGTTGCGCGTGTGTCGTGTCTAACGTGTGCGCACACAACGGACAGGCTGCTGACGCTGTGGTTCAAGTACGCCGACAAGAAGAAGGTGGAGGAGGCCCTGATCGAGGGCTTCAACACGGTCTCGATCGACACGTGGCTCCAGGTCGTGCCGCAGCTCATCGCCCGCATCCACTCGCCGGTGCCCAGCGTGGCCTGCATGGTCCACGACCTGCTCACCAACGTGGGCCGCGAGCACCCCCAGGCCCTCGTCTACCCGCTCTCCGTCGCCTCCAAGTCCCAGGCCTCCGCCCGCGTCTCCGCCGCCAACAGGTGCGTGTCGCGCGCGTGCTGCGTGTGCGGTGCGGCGTGTCTCACTCTCTCGGTACGTGCGGTGTGTGCGGTGCGCGTGTGCGGCGTGTGCGGTGTGGTGCGTTAGTATCCTGGACAAGATGAGGAAGCACTACAACTCGCTGGTCGAGGCGGCGCTGCTGGTGTCGAAGGAGCTGATCCGGGTGGCGATCCTGTGGCACGAGATGTGGCACGAGGGCCTGAACGAGGCCTCGCGCCTCTACTTTAGCAACCGCGACGTCGAGGGCATGTTCAAGAAGCTCCAGCCCCTCCACGAAATGCTCGACAAGGTGCGTGCCACACACACACGCACACACACACGACACACGACACACACACACACGACACACGCACACGGCAGGCGGTCTGATGGTGGTGTGGTGGTGCGTGCGTGGGTGAAGGGACCGGAGACGCTGCGCGAGGTGTCGTTCCAGCAGGCCTACGGGCGCGACCTGCAGGAGGCGCTCGAGTGGTGCAAGAAGTACTCGCGCTCCAACAAGGTGTCCGACCTCAACCAGGCGTGGGAGCTCTACTACCACGTCTTCCGCCGCCTCGACAAGCAGCTCCTCCAAATGACCACCTTCGAGCTCCAGTACGCACACACCGCACGACACGCACACGCACCACCGCACACGACACGACACGACACGACACACAGATCCTTTTTTAACTCCGATTGGACGGTGCAGATATGTGTCGCCCAATCTGCTGGAGGCGCACGATCTGGAGCTGGCGGTGCCGGGCACCTACGAGGCGCACACGGACGAGGTGGTCAAGATCGCGTCCTTCGCGCCCTCGCTTTCGGTCATCATGTCCAAGCAGCGCCCGCGCAAGCTCTCCATGTTCGGTTCCGACGGCAAAGAATACACCTTCCTCCTCAAAGGTACGTGTGCGGTCGTGCGTGTGCGGTCTCGCGTGTGCGGTCTCGCGAGTGCGTGTGCGGTCGTGCGTGTGCGATGTGTGCCGTTTGCTGACACGGGAGCAGGGCACGAGGATCTGCGACAGGACGAGCGCGTGATGCAGCTGTTCGGGCTGATCAACACGCTGCTGGCCAACGACCGCGAGACCGCGAACCGGCACCTGAGCATCCAGCGCTACGCCATCATCCCGCTGTCGCCCAACAGCGGCCTCATCGGGTGGGTGCCCAACCACGACACCCTGCACGCCCTCATCAAGGACTACCGCGAGTCGCGCAAGATCCTCATCAACCTCGAGCTCAAGCTCATGGTCCAGATGGCCAACGCCTCCACCTGCGACGCCCTCTCCCTCATCCAAAAGGTTCACCACACGACCGCACACGATCGCACACGACCGCACACGACACACACGACACACACGACACACACACGACCGCACACACGAGTACAAATGGGAGAGTGTATGTAGGTGGAGGTGTTCGAGCATGCGCTGGAGAACACGCAGGGGTCGGACCTGGACAAGGTGCTGTGGCTGAAGAGCCCCAACTCGGAGGTGTGGCTCGACCGGCGCACCAACTACACGCGCTCGTTGGCGGTGATGTCCATGGTGGGCTACATCCTGGGCCTGGGCGACCGCCACCCGTCCAACCTCATGCTCGACCGCCACACCGGCAAAATCACCCACATCGACTTTGGCGACTGCTTCGAGGTACCCTGTCGTGTGTGTCGTGTGTGTCGTGTGTGTGTCGTGTGTGTGGTAACGGTCGTGTGTTGTGTGTGTGGTGGCGATGCATAGAGAGAAGTAT